CTCGACCTAAAATGACCTTAATCAACGTCGCCTAAGGTCGTTTAAGGTTGGTTAAGGTCATCCGACCTAGCTCGACCTAATTCAGACCTAAAACAACCTTGATTTAAGGTCGGTTTAGGTCGGTGGTTTGCGGGGACAAGCACGCAACCAAGGGAAGGGAGAATTGTACCTCGAGGCCAAGAAGTGGGCAAACAATTGCCAAGGGAGCTTCCTGCAGAGGTATTTTTAGCCAATCCAGATTTAACTTAACCAAAAAATTAATAAAATTGTTAAATTGTTTAAAACTCAAAATTGTCGCCGTTATCTTTGAGAATTACCAAGGGAGAAATAATTTTGGAATATTTTGGGATAAATGAATGCACTGAAAGGCAAGTATTTTTTCATCCTCTTTTCCTACTTTTCGCCCAAAATTTTATTTATTTTTCTCTAAAAGTTATTTATATTTATATTATAAGGGTGATTGATTTGTGAGTTTTTTTAAGAAATCAGCTAACCGACCACTGGAGGTTGCTGCGTTTTCACTTAAAAAATTTAGCTATCAAACAAAAAAAAATTTTAATCATTCATATGGTTGCGAATTAACAATTTAATATCAGGGAAAAACACCATAAAGAAACCGAAAAAAATATTTTGACAAATTTCATGAGACATAATTTTTGTTCAGTTATTTTCAATTTTTGTTCAGTTATTTGCATTTTTGTTCAGTTATTTGCTTTCAGGGGCGGATACAGGATTTAAGTGAGGGGGGGGGGGGCAAGATTTTTTAGGAACAAAAAATTCATAATTAGGAACAAAAAATCGCGCTGCAGGGGAAATTTTTTTTTGACCCAAAAGAGTCAAAATTAATGACTAAAGACTTTTCACACATTTTAGTTTATAAAGACAGAAATTTTTCCTGTTTTGCACTAGGGTTTCTTTCCCTTAAGCATGCTATTGTAAAGCTATTCTGAAAATAGGAAAAACAAATTCCAAATTCAGGGGCTACCCCCCCCCTGTAACCGCCCCTGTTTGCGTTTTTGTTCAATTATTTGCAAATAACTTAACAAAATTGTGAGTTAGGTAAAGATTAATATTTATATTTATAATGAAGAATTATTTAAAAACATTAAAATGATAATTTTTCAGACTGGAGAGAACTTTTCCAGTTGCAAATAAAGTCAGCCATTTCCTGCGGGAAACAACATTCTAGCTAGGAACAGTCGCTTATTACAACTTTATTTTGGTTATGTCTAAAATGAAATTATTTTCTGTCCTTCTTATTTATTCATATTTGTCAAAAATATCTTAATGCGACTGATTACAGGTTTAAGAACAAAATCTATTTTTCGGTTGTATAACGGAAATTGACAGTGAATATCATTTTATTTGAGTCTTGTAGCAGGTAACAAATTAGAATTTAGCAAAAATTCAATGGAGAATGTCCACATTTCCATACAAAAGGTGGGGGGGGGGGGCTTCTGACTTTGTTTTTAGAGATATCTCTCTGATTTTTGACATGCAGGCCTGAATTGTGATTGTTGGGGAAAAATAATTTTTCCCGCATTTTTCAGACATTTTTTCAAAAACTTTTTGTTAGGTCCATGTGGGGTGTCTAAAGCAGTGATTAGAATCCCGATCCGTTGGATCCGCAAGATTTTGGCTTCCTGGATCCGGATTCGCAAAAATATGCGGATCCGGTCGATCCAAGGGGTAAAATATCAACTAAAAACTGCAAAAAAAAATTTTGATTCCTTAAATCCAAATCTGAACTTTTGAAAAAAGAGAGATTGTAAAATTTACTCATTTCTGAATGGTTCATCAAGTTTTAGGATAAAAATAAGCAAAAAATAAACAAAAATTTTTTTAATTATTTTTTGTTAAAAAAATTCAGTAAATCTTAAAGAATTGACCTGGATCCGGATCCATTTTATTCCAGTCTGGAGCCAGGATCCGGATCCGGATCCGCATCCGCATCAAAATTAAATGAATTCTAAGCACTGGTCTAAAGTCATCAACATTTAGTCGGGAAACTCAGTTTAGACACCCCACATGGACCTATCACAAAGATTTTGAAAAATGTCCGAAAAATGCGGTAAAAAGGGGAAAAATTATTTTTCCTACATTTTGCTGTTTGATTCAAAAACTAGATCACAATTCAGGTCTGCATGCAAAAAATCAGAGAGAAATCTCTATTAGAAGGCTTCTTTGGATCATGACATTCATATCCAAGTATCAAGATCAGATAAACAATCAGACCCAACCTATATCAAATTAATAACATTCGTATCCATCCTTTTCAACATTCGTAGCAAGCCTATCATGACATTCATATCCAAGTATCAAGATGAGATAAACAATCAAACCCAACATTCGTATCAAAAATATCAAATTCATAACATTCGTATTCATCCTTAACATTACTATAGAAGCAAGCTGTCAGAGCAAGCTGTCATAGAGAGAGAGAATTAAGAAAATATTATCCGGTATTCGCGCATTCATAGGAGTTTTATCTATCCCCCCCTCCTGCTCCCTTCACCCCATGCCATTTTTCCCGAAATCCATAAATAAAATAGGTCTGACCTATTCTGCTGAGCCTAAAAAAACTAATATTCTGTACTTTTTTACAGTCGTCGTCGTATATATCAATAAAGTGAAGACAACTTTAGATTTTAATTTTGATTTACCAAGCTTTAACAAACAGCAGGATACACATAAATATATATATATATGGAAACAAAGAGATGCTTTAAATAAATAGTTTCTCTTTGTTTTCTTGTAAACTTGTAATTTCAAAAAAACTTATTAATTAGAAATCAAAACTTTAATAGAAAAGTCGTTTTTTATGTATATAAACGTTAACACTGTATGATAATTTAAAAGTTAGAACTTACCACTTTTTTCCTTCTTTATATCTTTTTTTAGATTAACAGTACATGTATCCTCTCCAGTGAGGATGGAAGGATTTCTTCCTTTAAGTAGATCATCAATTTTTTTCTGGCAAAGTTGGGATTTTGATCTAAGATATGTGTAATTGGATCTAAAATAGGATGAATGTGATCTAAATTTTTTTTTTTCAGGAAACCATTTTTTTTCAAATCCTTAACTTGTTTTGCTTAAAATATGGAATTTGATCTAAAAAGGGTTAACTTTTATCTAAAATTGTAGACTTTAATCTAAAATTTTATAATTTGATTAAAAATATTAGATTTAAAAGTTTAGAAATTTGTAAGGTTGACTCCTTAATGGTGAAAGAGTTGGGTTCATGGGTTCAGCGTAGGCATTAGTATAGTTAAAGAGTAGGGTACAGGTTTGAGGAGAGTAGGTTTCAGGTTAGAGAATAGTAGGGTTCAGGTTAGAGGAGAATAGGGTTCAGATTAGAGGAGAGTAGGGTTCAGATTAGAGGAGAGTAGGGGTTCGAGTTAGAGGAGAGTAGTGTTCAGATTACAGGAGTGTATTTCTCAGAGTAGAGAAGAGTAGGGTTCAGGTTATAGAAGAGTAAGGTTCAGCCAAAGTAACAAAAGTGAGGAATTTTCCAGATTCTAAAACCATGGTGACTTTCTTTGAAGAATTTCCCAGGAATTTCGCGAGAATTATTTCCTGTAACTGATTCCTTGGAAATTCTCGAGAAATTCCCCAGAATGAGTCCCCAAGATGAGAGATTTTTTTGGGATCATTGTTTTGATACTCAGTTTCGAGAAATTCCTGAGAAATTCTGAGGACTTGGTCACCATGTTTACGGATTTTTAGGGGAATTTATTAAGAGAATTAGTTTCGAGAAGTTCCTGGGAATTTTTCCGAAATTTCACCCCAAGAAAAACCTGAGAATTAACTGGGTTAGCTCCTTAAATTCCTGAGAAATTCTTAGGACTTGGTCACCATGTTTATGGATTTTAAAGGGAATTTAATAAAAGAATTAGTTTCAAGAAATTCCTGGGAATTCCTGGGAATTTCTCCAGAATTTCACCCCAAGAAATTCCTGAGAAATTCTCCTGAATGCTTCTCCGGAAATTCCTGAGAAATTCTTAGGACTTGGTCACCAAGTTTACGGATTTTTAGGGGAATTAAATAAGAGAATAAGTTTCGAGAAATTCCTGAGAATTTCTATGGAATTTTTATAAAGAAATTCATAATAATTTCTCAGGAATATTTCTCCGGAAATTCCTGAGAAATTCTCAGGACTTCATCACTGAATCTTCAAGTTCCAGTTTTCTCCAATAGGCGTATCTGAGGAGGGAGGGGGTGCAGAGGCGCCATGATCCCCGCAAAATCGACCTCCGAGCCTCAGGATTTGCAGAATTACCTACAGGCCCCGCTAAACTGGTCTCCCAGCCTCCGTGACGTCACCAAGCCTTCCACCATTCTGTCTCTACGCCCCGCATTTTGGCTCCAATAAAAAAATATTTGGCTTTCATTTCCACCAAGAACCTTTTTTTTTAAAATTCTCAACATGATGAAATAGTTCAGAATGATGCATTAACATTTGTATTAAAAAGTGAATTTTAATTGAGATTAAAGGATTGTATTTTGTTTTTCTGAATTTCACAAATTCCTTATTATGAAGAACTATTGCAGTTTTGTATAAAGATAGACAAATTTTATATTATTTAAGAGGGGTCTCATATACGAATCAAACAATATCAGCGGCAATTTACAAAACAAGGTAGTTTTTGTGAAATCCTTGTATTTGTGATTTTATGGTAAGCTTTAGAAAATATTGAAGAACTATTTTTTTAAAAATTGAAACAAAGAACTAAAATAATCTAAATATCTATTACATGCTATATCAACAGGTTAGGGCAGCTTTGTGTTATATCTTGTTGTTTTAAAAAGTTAAATTTAATTCTAAATAGTTTTTCTTTTAGCAAGAGAATTCATTTATTTGACTGAAAAAAAATGATATACAGAGGTGGGGGGTTCATGTGTGCAAGCAAAAAACTCGTATATTATAGGACAGATCCTCATTAATTTGCATTTTTACGACAAAATGTAATGCTAAGGAATCGAGAGTTAATAAAATCTTCAAATCATGATGTAGGGTTTCCACGAAATGGCTAAATCTTTTGCGCAAAATTTGCGCTATTTTCGCGCAAATTTTTTTTTTGCGAACTTTTGCGCTATTTTTGCGCATGAAACGCAATGAGTTTTGCGCGGTTTTGCGCTATTTTTTTTGCGCAATTTGCGCAAAACCGGAAATATTTTTTGCGAAATGTTGCGCATGAAACGAAATTTTAGTTTTGCGCAAATTTTTTTGCGAAATTTGCGCAAAACCGCAAGTTTTACGCAAAATGTAACTTTTTAGGCACATTGTCAAAAATTGATATTCTAAGCTTAGAATTAAACAACTGAAGATTTATTCCATATACAAAAAAAAATATTAACATACGAGTATGATAACGATTATACTACACTCAATTGGTTACTTCCAGTTACAAAAAGTTTAAATTAAGGGACCAAAATTAATAAAATAGAAATTAGAGAGTGTGAAACTTGGCAATATTTTNAAAGGGGGGGGGGGGGGGGCTTCTGACTTTGTTTTTAGAGATATCTCTCTGATTTTTGTCATACAGGCCTGAATTGTGATTGTTGGGGAAAAATAATTTTTCCCGCATTTTTCAGACATTTTTTCAAAAACTTTGTGTTAGGTCCATGTGAGGTGTCTAAAGCAGTGATTAGAATCCCTATCCGTTGGATCTGCAAGAGTTTGGCTTCCTGGATCCGGATTCGCAAAAATAAGCGGATCCGGTCGATCCAAGGGGTAAAATATCAACTAAAAACTGCAAAAAAAAAATTTTGATTCCTAAAATCCAAATCTGAACTTTTGAAAAAAGAGAGATTGTAAAATTTACTCATTTCTGAATGGTTCATCAAGTTTTAGGATAAAAATAAGCAAAAAAATAAAACAAAAAATTTTGAAACTATTTTTTGTTAAAAAAATTCAGTAAATCTTTAAGAATTGACCTGGATCCGGATTTGGATCCGGATCCATTTTTTTCCAGTCCGGAGCCAGGATGCGGATCCGGATCCGCATCCACATCAAAATTAAATGTATTTTTTCTTAATCTTGTCAGGAAATGAGCTAAGAATATTTTTTATAAGTGAGGAGTGAAAACTGCTCAATCTTCTTATCTCTTACTTCATAATCCGCATTCCCTTTTTAAAAGAAACAAAAAAAAAGCCCTGTAATACCTCTAAGAGAACAGAAAATTTATGTCAAAATGTTGTTTAGGTCTGAGCTGAGCTCTGAGAAGATCTGAGCTGGGAATCGAAGGTAAAATTTGATTTTTTTAAATTAGTAAACATGAAGTAATTAATAATCTCTTATGAGATTTCTACTGCATTTTTAACCTGAGCTGAAACTTAGAATGCGATATTCTTAATCACGATCGGTTAATTTATCTGGAGAATAATAACAAGAGGAGAACAAGCATATTTTAATCTTGAGATTAAGAAAATGAGTAGATCAAGCATTATTTCCGATATCCACTATTCAAAAGTTCCCAGCTCTGGATTTCTATTTTCTTTTATTTAATTAAACGGCGTTACATTTTCTACAAACTTGTAGTTTTTACCTTTTCTCTATCATGGTATAAAACTGTGTTTATACCGTTACTAAGAACTGAATTTTTAACCACGATCTTTTTTATTTAATTAAACAGGTTTGGGGAAAAAAGCTATATGTCTCTACGAAATAAACCGATTCTTATCTTGTTATCCTTTATTTCACTGCACTTGGCTGAATTTGTCATCTAAAATCTAAAGCGCCAGATTTAAAAACTGTTTTTATGGCACAACTTTTTTATATTTAGATGTTTCCCGCTGAGGCTGTGCCAACCTGGTCGACTTAGATGGTTTCTAAAAGAAAATTCAGAATATATATTTTAATTGATCTTTAAGAAAATTTTAAGTTTGAATAAAAACGAACCTGTTGATTTAATTTGTAGTAAAAAAATTTTAGGGAGAAAAAGAGTAAATGAATTAAATAAAGAATACATGGGATAACTTGGGCGAGGGGGGGGGATTTTTTCCGCGAATATCGGAACTAGTTTCTGTAGTTTTCCCGATTTGTGTTTACAGTGCGACTGCACTGAATTATGTTGATGGTTTTAAATGTCAGTTTCTACTTTTCAAGTGCACTTTACACATTTACTTTTCTTACACTTTGCCAAATATCTTCTTCCAGGGTTAAAATTTTATATAGTGTAAGAATAGTAAATATAAAAAAACACAGTTTGAAAAATTTTAAAACTTCTCAAATGCCCAACACTAGTTGCCATCTATTGAACTTTATTATTCTTTTTGGTACTTAAAAAATGAGAAATTCTTGACTTACAATGTACAGCTGTTTCTCTCTCTCTCTCTCTGCCAAATATTAATATTAAATATAAAATAATTTATTTAATTCACACTTTTTTAAGCATTCATTCGTTTCTTCATCTGCCAACATTTATCTTTCATTCAAAAATCAATAAAAATTTCCAGTGATTCGTCGGGAACTAAGAACAAAACGAACGATGAATAAACGGTCGCGTGGGATGCGACCGATTTTCCAAAGACCGTTATGCACTTTCCCAAAAATGATAAAAACAAAAATATAACAAAAAAAAATTAGTTTATATGCTCTCTTCTATTTTATGTCAAGTGAGAAATGACCCTTTCCAAGTTTTGGGGTGCATAAGGGACTTTTCTGATCCGACATAGTACAATTTATTATGCGTGATATTACAAGGTTTTTTTTACAGTACTCCAGTATAGGCTGTACAATTTTCAAGGTAGATGTACAACATTAAAAAAAAATAAGTTTGCAACAATCAGTTTATCATGATATTTATATATTATATATATTCGAGCGTCCAAGAGAGGTTGATGAGCTTTTATGGAGACATTTTTCAGACCTTTTTTTTACCAGGATTGCCCTCATTGATGGTCATTTTTATTCGTTTTTTTTCGTGTCCATATTTGTAAATCCGTAAACTTTTTCTAGCCGTTTTTTTCCATTGTAATATTCCTTTTCATTATCCAATTTCTTTGTCCATTTCAATGCAGTAATCCATGCTTAAAAATAATGTCTAATTTAAAAATGGTTGTTTTAAATATTCAAACTGAATGCAGCTTTGCTCTCCCCCTTCTTATTTGTAACAATAAGAGCATATTGGCCGGCATCTGCTACACAACATTCAAGAATATCCAAACCCAACGTGGTGCCTTTGTTTGTGATCCTGTACTTCATTCCTTGTTCCTTCAGTTCCCGTCCGTCCTTCATCCAGCTGACAGTGGCTGGTGGAGCATCTAGCTCTGCTTCAAATGAAGCTGCCGATGATTTCTCTACAGTGAGAGAAATTGGGAACCGTTTGAACTTGGGAGCAAAAACTTCTTCTCCGGGGACTTCAACAACCAAGCTACAGCTAGAAAAGCATTCACCAATGTCGTTGAACGCTTCGCAGGTATAGGTTCCAGAGTCTTCAGGGAATATCTCGTGGATGATTAGGTTATAGCTGTTACCGGAGGAGGTATATTCAAAATCCTTGCTGGGTTTGATTTCCTTTTCGTTATGAAGCCAAACAACATCAAATTTGTCTGCTCCGCCAATGTTGGCTGTCAATGTCACAGCATCTCCGTCGTTGACCACCTTAGATTTGATGTGGTCAAACACCCGAGGAGATTTATGTGCAGATGTTCCATTGGTCGCACCATTCATGGCTTTCTTCTCCATTGGAAGAATTTGAACCTTCGAGGATGTTTCAACGCTTCCCTTGGTGTTGGTAGCTTTGCAAGTATACTTGCCACCATCCTCAGGGAAGACTTCATTTATGATAACAGATGCGACGCCGTTTTTATACTTGACCTCCATGATTTCAGACGAGGAGATCAGGGTCCCGTCTTTGGTCCAGGTCACCTGAGGGTCAGGATCTCCCTTTACAGACACTTTAAGCTCAAGACGTGTCCCGTCTTTGATCTGAAGGTCTGGTTTGAGTCCGGTGAGGAATGACGGAGGACACATAAGGGAATCGTCTGCAGGGAGTGCAAGTTCCTTTGTGTGACCACGAGAACGGCCTCCCATGGAAGTGGAAGAGTCAGATCTAAACAGTACAAAATTTAAAAATTTGAAAAAGTAAACTAAAAAAAATCAGAATTGATTTATAACCTTTTTATAAATTCAGCTACAGGGCTTACATTTATATATTAGAAAAGCACTTAAAATGGATGGACGTGTCACATATTAAAATTTGACAAAAGTAAAAATATTTATTTTTGAACATTTTTCCGACTACTTTTTGAACTTTCTAAAAATCCCGCCCTTGCACCCAAACCATTAAAGTTAGAGGTCTATCTTTTTAATGAGCAGGCCTTGATAAGATGGACATGTATCTCACTCCCCTATCGCAACTCAGAGAGCAAAATCATATTAGACAAAAATAGGGCTCAGTAACATTATGCCTAGTTCCCGAATGCCTAGTTCGTGAATGCCTAGTTCACTATGCCTAGATTCATGAATGCCTAGTTCGTAATGCCTAGATAACACCATGCCTAGATTCATGAATGCCTATATAACATTATGCCTATATTTCTGAGTGCCTAGAAAACATTATGCCTAGATTTCATAATGCCTAGTCACCCAATGCCTAGATAACATTAGACTGAATTGAATGACTATAGACATTGTCAAGCAATAAATAAATGATACTAATATGTTTACATGATTTTTACATATTTTATAAAGTAGAAATATAATCTGCTCTTGGCATGCTGTCAAAAGCATCAACAACAAGCTTTAATCTTTCTCTCGCATCTTCCAGTGTTGGTTGTTGTTGTTGGTTTGCGGATTTTTGTAAAAATGTTACCGGATTGTATGTTTTTTCTCTCTCTTTAATATTTTTATTTCTCTTTGAAATACATTGTCTAGGCATTCAATTTACTCTTATGTTATCTAGGCATAATGTTATCCAGGCATTCATGAATCTAGGCATTGTGTTCTCTAGGCATTATATTATCTAGGCATTATGAACTAGGCATTCAAAAGTCTAGGCATAATGTTATCCAGGGATTCAGAAATCTAGGCATAATGTTGTTTAGTCATTCATGAACTAGGCATAGTGAACTAGGCATTCACGAACTAGGCATTCGGGAACTAGGCATAATGTTACTGAGCCAAAAATAGCCCAATCGGGATAGGATTAAAGATTTTCTATTTCCGCCTTAAATTAAAGTAAAATGATAAAGATATTATCGTTTTCCTTTTTAAAAATTGATAATATTTGAATTTTTTCTATTTTGAAGAAGACAAAGGTCAGATATTAAGAATTTTTAAGAAAAATAAAGAAAGATTATCAGATAACCGGGTCTTCATACACCAACCATTAAATGAAGAAGTTATTTTATCAGTTAAGAACTATTTTCTTATCAGAAAACACAATTCAATCTTAGGATTATCATTGCTAATAAGTTTTAGGTCGAAATTTTTTTTTCATCTTTTGAGAGTAACCCTGTACTAAAGAATAAACCCCTTCAGAAATCATTTGAACAAATTCAAAAAGATCCTTCCATTGATAATTCAAATAATTTAATTGAATTAAAGCTAATAACTAATCTATTGTTTGAATATCACAATGAAATAATTTAAGGACAACTTTCAAATAGGGTGTAATCCCGTTCAAAGAAAACAATTTTTTAACAAAGCAACAAAATTTTTCATAAATTAATTTTTAAATTTTCTATTTCATATTTCACGTGACAATATAAAGTTTAAAAATAATGTCGAGAATAAAATTCTTTTTTTAAATTAGAATAAATAAACTGATGAGCAAAATTTGGGTTTTAGAAAAAAATATAAAAATTATTGTAATTGTCCATAAAAATGCAGATGATAAAATGAAGAAAAACTTTTCATCCCGTTTACGATCAATACTTTTATCCTCTTTAGAAATTGTAACCATAAAAATCACTAATCCCTTATGACAAAGAATGAGACTTGAATTAAAACCTGAAACTCGTTAAATTTGACGTTCTAATGTGGTCTCTTCTTTGGAAACATAGTGTTTAAAGTTTGTATTAGAAATGATAGAAACAGAGCTATGCCACAAACTATGAGACTTCAGAGACAATTCTTACTTTTTAAAATCACTTAGTTTCTCATTGAAAGACCAAATGTATTATTCAAATTTACTTTTTAATAACTTTTAGTTCTTATTAAACTTTTATCCTTTCTGGATAACCCTGTACACATGGGTCCGATCTGTACACATGGGTCCGATCTGTACATGGGTCCGATCGGTACACATGGGTCCGATCTGTACACATGGGTCCGATCGGTACACATGGGTCCGATCTGTACACATGGGTCCGATCTGTACACATGGGTCCGATCTGTACACGTGGGTCCGATCTGTACACATGGGTCCGATCTGTACACATGGGTCCGATCTGTACACATGGGTCCGATCGGTACAAGGATTTACCGGCCATCACACATATACATATACACATTTACAAGAAAAATGTAAGAAATATGAAATCAAAGATAATTTTGATTGGCTCAACATTCGTGTGGGGTAACCCTACAACAACACTGTGATCCTTAAAACCAAAGTTTGTAGCTGAAATTTACCTTCTGTAAGCTTTTTGCTTTTTTCCTTTTCCTCCACTTCCGAGTGCGTCAGCGACATCTTTAGGATTGACGCCGTTGGGTTCAGAGATGCGTACAGTTGGAGCATGGACTACTCGGTTGTTGCTGTGGTCGGTGAATCGACGATCTAAAAAACTATTGTAAAAAATCTGATAATTACGAAGTTCATAATTTAATATTAATTAAAAACATATAAAAATAACACTGTGTGTCCTAAATATATATTGTAGTTCCCAGTGAACAAAACTGATTTATAGATTGTTACTTTTTTAAGCAAACTGTGACACTGAACAGTTAACGGACAAGCATATACAAGCATATTTTGGCATAGCTCGATGTACTACAATATTATTTATAATGTATAATCCTAGCTAAAAAATTATTTTATATACAAAGTAAAGTTTGTTTGGACAAAATACAGCTTTTTCCGGAACCCAGTTAAAATTCTAACCAAAAAAAACTATAAAATTGTAAAAAAAAATTAGGATTTAGCTAAAAATAATGATTCTAAATTGTAAAAGACAGTGTTTTAGACTTATTTTTAAATAGAAATTAGACAGAGTTTATCAACTATGTGCATACTATTAAATATTTAAAAGCTGAACCAATATTTAGTATAATTCCTTTTATTTTAGTTCTTGAAAAAGCAAGCTGTACAGTACAGTGCATACACTAACAAAAAGGGACTGTTGTCCAACTTGTCCTTTGTTCACTAGATGTCTCTCCTGTTCTAGCTTTCAAAAATCCGGGAAAATGTTTAAAAAATGCGCGCCACGCCATTTCAAAAATGCGGGAAACAATTTTTGAAAGAGCGCGGCATGATGCCCATTTAAACTTACTAGATATCATTCTTATAGAGGGGGACCATTACTGATCTTGCTGAGATATCTGTGATCTACACAACAATAACAACTCAACAACAAATCAACAACCATTCAGCTGATGTAATAATCAACTCTAATTAAAAGAATAGTTTTTGGCACTTTTCGCTGGTACAATAACTGAGTCAACATATTTACATAGGATTTGAAATAGTACAAAAAACAAAACAAAATAATCGTCTTCTGCTTAAGTTTAAAAAGACATGCTGAAGAAGTATTGAAACAAACTCGGAAAGAAATATTTATTTTTAATCACAAAAAAATCCGAATTTTTTCCAATTTCTGTTTTAGAAAGAGAAGAAGAAGTTTAAAATTTTAAATGAAGTAATAATCTATTTACATAAATCTTTAAATATATTTTTACTTTTTGAAAAATAAGGTGAATCGTACACAAAATAAACGAACAGAAATAATACATTTTTTAACATCTGAAATTGCTTTCAATACTAAACGATTTAATAAAAGTCGAAAATTGTTTAATTAAACAATTTTCGACAAGAATTAATCTAACAATAGAAATAAATAAAGCTCGAAAAGAACGTTTGGAATGTTTTTTCAGCTCAAAGTTTTTATCAAACGTAGCAAAAGTAATTAGAATCTGTTCTTTTATCTATAATTAGATACGATGTTTGTAAAGGGTTCGCTAAAGTAAAAAAAAAAACCAATAAAGATAGATAAAAAGCTTGCTTCAGCTGGAAAACTGGACGGAGAGAATGTATTAATCAGGGGCGTATTCAGGAATTTGTCCAAGGGGGGCTTACATTTTTTTCTATTTCTAGGGGGGGGCTCAGCACCTGTTGGGGCCTGAAAACCCCCTTAAATCAATTGATTTCACTGGTCCAGGGGGAGGCTTAGCCCCCATAGCCCCACCCCCTGAATACGCCTCTGGCATTAATGTAATAAGGCAAAAGTGGGGTGAATAATTGGATTTGCAGAAAATATAAGAAAAGAATATTTATGAGAATTTATAAATGCAAAGTGCATTCGTGCAAAGTTGAAAGCTGAACCTAATATCGTGTTATGCATCAATTTGTGACCTAATAAATTGATAAATAATCTGAGTTTGAAATATCAAAGGTTTACAACATCGAGTTCTAAAGATATTGTGGTTTAAATATTTGATTTTGTTCCAAAGACTCAATTCCTTTCAAATAATTTTTTTTCTTTTTTCTTTCTGATTTATGATGTTATGCAAGTATAAAAGTTTAAATAATTTAAAGCATTTAAATTCATTTGACATTATTGGTTAGACTTTGTGACCTCTAGTTTTGGTTTTATATGCAATAGTATGAAATAAGGCAATTTATTTTGTTACATAAATGCTTTTTTTTTCTTAATAATAGGAGTTGCAACATCAGGACATTTTTCCAAAAATTGCAGGACACTTTTCAAAAAAGGGTAATTTTTTCTAAAAATGTGATTTCAATACAACCTGAAATTTACTTTAGTTTAAAGGGAAAACACACTAAAAGCCAAGCTTGTGACCTCAATCAATGAATAGTCTGCATATTTAAAAGTTAATTAAAAAAAGAAAAGATCTGAAGCAAGCTTTTAATTTTTGTATAACAAATTTAATTTGATCACGTTTTTGGGAACCTTTCAAAGAGTGCTATGTAAAGTGACCTAAAGATAACAAGATTTTTGCCTTCTTTTTAAGTGTAACAAAAAGTACAGTTGCCGTTAGGTCGGGTGAGAAAGTGTATTGTTATGCTATGTTTCTTTTAAATACCTGAGTATAGGATAGAATCAGACATTTGCCTCTGTTCCTCTGACATATTGTTTCCTAAGGAACAGAAAATAAATATATTTTCATTTGACAATATTGCAAAGCTGAGGAATTATTTGTTGTTTAATTAAAACTTACCTTCAACAATAACTACACAGTCGGTAGAGTCAGAGCCTAAACTGTTTGTGGCAACACACTTGTACTTTCCAGAATCAGAAGGTTGGCAGTTGATAATCTCAATGGTAATAACACCATCTGTATGGGTGATGGGGAACTTATCGGAGTCCAATTCTTTACCAGCCTTGTACCACTTGATGGCTGGGTGAGGTATACCGGTGCAGCAACATAGGAGCTTACATGTTGCTCCTTCTTGCATAACGCGGGGTCTAAGGTGGAATGTAAACATGGGAGCGCACTCCTTCTCCTCTCTGTACAGTTTGTAAGTCTGCAACTCCCTCTTTCTGACTGGAAGAGGTTCAGGTTCATATCTGGGAAGGTCCTTAGGCACCGGTTGTACATTTAGGAAGACAGGCTCCTCAGTTACACCGTAGTGGTTTTCAGCATGGATAATGAACTCCCCACGGTCTTCTACCTTACACCTGTTGATGATAAAGGTGTAGTCGTCCCCGATATATCTTTTCATATACTTGACACTCTGTCTGAGTTCCACATTATTGTGGTACCATGTCACAGAACAGTTTGTCAGGGAAATAATTCTACATGTGAATCTAGCACTTTGACCCTCCAGAGTAAATGTTGATTGAGGTTTAATAACAAATCTAGGTGCTGCACATTTGCGATCTATAAGAACCTCTTGCATTCGATACTTCTCCATTTGGAGCTTGCGTAGAGAACTAAATTCAGACATGCGCCCCATGGGAAGTACAAAGTCATTCCAGTTTGCATACTTCTGCCTGATCTTTTCTCTGATGGCAAAGAATCTATTTCTAGCAATTTCCAGAGTTTTGTGAGAGTGATCTCCAGTTAACCAAGCATGAGTAAGACATTCATGTGCTGACAAACGTTTCTCCTTCTGCTTTACAAGAAGCTTTCTGATAAAGTCTCGGCCTTCTTCACTAACATTCTTGAAAGCCTCTTCATCAAAGGACCAGTCACAGGCCTTGACATTCTTCAATGTCTCGATATCACTGGCTCCAGCAAATGGAGATAGACCTGAGAGAAGAACATAAGCTAGCACGCCAACAGCCCACATGTCTGTATAGAATCCTACAGCCTCTCTTTCAACAATTTCAGGAGCTGCAAATTCTGCAGTTCCAGTTGAGATCTTGACTAGTTCATTAGGATCAAGCTTGGTGGCAAGACCAAAGTCAATGATCTTAACACTAGTGCTCTTGCTGGTAGTACACATTACATTCTCAGGTTTAATATCTAAACATGTTATAATAAGATATTGTTAGTGGAAAAAAATTAAAAACAGAATAATTATTTAAAATGAAATACCTAGATGAATAATGTTTCTTTCATGCATATGCTTGACTCCTTCGCAAATCTGTCTCATGTAGTTGATGACTTCAGCTTCACTCATAGTATAGCCCTCAGCAGTGATTCTTTCGAAGAGTTCCCCGCCGGACAGACTGGAATACATGCGGTCCATTAGGGTTTCACCAGACACGCTACAAAGACGACATGTAAGTGTCCGGCCAAACCAAATATTTACTTTCATGGGTTTGGCGGGACACCAAGCACAGGGTGTCTAGCCAATCCATTAGTGATCCAAGAGAAACTTTACTAAATGTAAAGGATAATATAAAAGAAAATTCTTTGCTACTTTTTGCAACAAATTCACAGATTGAAGTTTTTTACTTTAAAATTAAAATCAGTTTACTTAAACAAACAAAACATTTACTAATTTTAGAAAATACAAATTTATGAATAAATTGCAAAAAATGGATGGAAAATCAAAAATTAAAATTTCTCTGGGACCATTAAAGAGCATGGAGGCCAAATCCTCTAACACTTAATATTTGTCGTCTTCAATATTATACTTTGTACAGTGTGCACACAACAAACAAAAACTACAAACATGTTCAAGGATTTGTTCATAAAAATTATAAAACTTGATAAAAATTGGCATGCCGACGTTTTTCAATCAGTATTTATTGAGAGAAGAATTGTTTTATAAAGAAACTAACTAAAGGGCCCATGTTACCCCTGGAAAAATTTTTTTTTTTAAATGTTTGAAAAGAAAAGTTTAGAATTTTTCTTAACCTATAAAACCCCCCGGCCACCCATGAGTGTCCACAAAATAAATCAGCCCAATTGGTCCAGCCATTTGACCGGCTATAGGGAACACATATATGAATGTCTTGTTTTTTATAAAGAAATAAATTATTTACGTACCGATATGTAGGGCTGGGCAAACGAAATGGAGTTTTTGAAAATAAACTTAACATAAAAAAATAATTAATGGCTCCTTGACGGCTCAATTTCTCAAATGTTTGCCGTTAATGTCGTTAATAATATTGAGATTGTGAACTAACAATAGCCTAAAAAAGGAAAACAAATGTTCTGTTTACAGGTAAAAGAGAAAGGCTGTCTGAAAAAAAAGAATTTAACGATTTTAACTAACCATTAACGAATGGTTAGAAAAAGTCCTAGCTGTAAGAAACAAAATTAGGTTTGAACTTTTGAGTTTTTACATGTTTACAACTTTTTTTAGATAATGCTCTTACACTAATTTCAAGTGGACAACATAATATTTGCTTTCATTGGTTTACAATCCATGAAGGTGTTTTAAACAAACTTCTAAACAAAATTAATATTAGTTGTTAGCCAAACAAAATATTTATTTGCTTAGGTAAAATTGGTTTAATTTTGATTTCCAGAACAATTTGGTCAATGAAATATCCAGTAATTGGTATGAGTTGCAAATTATTCAGAAAGATAAAATCCATTGAAATTATTAAAACAAATTTAAATTGACTGAGTTATATCCAAAAAACCATTAAAAATGTAATTTTTCTAAAAAAACGAGCATTTTTTTTTAAATTTCAACGGATCCGAGTTCTCTGATTGAAAACGAAGATATTGATATGAAACAACATAATTTCATGATTTTTTTTTTAATTTCTTTGATTTAAAAAAAAAACTTTGGTAGCGATTATATCCTAGAATTTAAGATGTTTAGACCTAAAATTTTCAGGATTTACTCACAAGTCACAGTATGTAGTGCAATTAGAAAAGTTACCGCGCTCATCGCGCGAGCCATTTTTGAGAACTAGTAATCATTTCTGGACACCTTACTGGCCATTTTAGTGATATTCAAGAGCAGAGAATGTTAGTTAATATTATTTTTTTACGTCAAGAACTCTTTCTCAGTAAAATAATTCTGAACTAAGTTGAGGGACAAAATGTTTCTCAAAACCAGTAAAAAAGCTTTTCACGGACAAAATTAAGACCTCTTTAGATTCAATTCTGGGTTTTAGTTCTACAGTGATAACCAGAAAACTCTGGAATAGAAAGACGACTTTTAGACTTTAATTATGATTTTAAATGGTCCAATGAACACGAGACACATCAATTGTGCAGTTTACACAGACCTGTTTTACTTTATAATTGACTTAAAAAGCAATTCGAAAAACTATTTGGTTTAAACCAACATGAAATACACTTAATTTTTGATTTATTGTCGTCTTTCAATTCCATAATTTTATGGTGCTCACGGTAAATATATTTTTCAAAACCCTTTAGAGATTTTATCTTTTAGAAGATCCCACACATTTTTAAAATTTGATTCCAATTTGTCAAAATTTAAATCCTGAAATTGAGTTTTATTCCCCCAGTTCTTGACATATTTAAATATCAGGATAAAGAGTTAGTGTAAAAATATTAATATTTATGTCCAATCTGATGTTTGGTACTTTGCTAAAGGATCTCAATATTAAATTTGAATTGTTTATTAAAATATCAATAACTGTACTTCTTCATTTATAGAGGGGCAGGTCAGATTTACAACTTTAGCTTCATCAAGGAGGATTGAGGTATTCGAAAAAAAAAAATTTCTGGTTTAAAATTGATTATTTTCAAAAGCGACATTAAAAATTTGTTATAGTTACTCAGAAAGGAAATTTTCAGAATGTAACACATTTTGAGAGAGAAAAACGACAATATCTTTTATGCATTGTTACTCAAATAGAGATTTAAAGGGCTCTATTGTAAATCAGACTTTATAAGTGGTTTTAACTTAAAACTAAAGTATTTGAAAATAATTTGAAATCCTTCAGGGTTAAAAAATATACACATTTAAAAAAAATGTGCCTATTGTTGTTTCACACATCATATCAACATAGCCTGGTTCATATCTAAGTTTCAATTTTATTCAAGAAAAAGAAACAAAATGAATTCTTTTAAAATTGTAAAATCCAAACTGATGTAATCTTAAACTCATAAATGTTTAACTTCTCAGAAATCATCAATTTATAAAATACATTTTGTTCTTTCATGAAAGTTTTAAATGCTTTTAATGTTCTAATTATTTTTGCATTCTGATAGTATTGTGTGAAACAAAAAGATTGAAAAGTACCTCACACATTAAATGTATGATTACACACATGTTAGTAAACTATCAACCACAAAAAATAGCTACTTACAATTCAAAGATGAGAACCATTTCATCCTCATCTTCAAAGGCATCATGAAGGTTAATAAGTTTGCAGTGATGTAGATGATTCATTATGTCAATCTCCTTACGGATCAGAGCCTTCTCCATGGCATGTCCAATCGGAATGAATTTTGCTGCATAAACATGGCTAGTTTTTAACTCTCTGCATCTATGAACAACTCCAAAGGCACCAGTTCCTATTTCTTCGAGAATATCATAATGGTCGTATACACTATCCTGAGTCTTGATTTCCACAGGTTGAGGAATATATTTGGCATAAATGTCAAATACAAATTGGTCGTAGTCCTTAACCTCACATTTTTGGCCTCTGATCTTCTTTCCAGTGTCTGGGTCAATCTTATACTGAGTCCTTGCTGTTTTCTTCTTAAGAATTCCCTTGGTTTGACAAATTCCAGACTCATCACTTGGATCTGATCGTCCATAGACATTTTCTGCAAAAACTCTAAATTTGTATTCATTTCCAGGAATCAAGTTAGTCACAGGCATAAGTGTAAACCTAGTGTGTCCAACTCTACACCAGCTTGTCATTGGAAGCTCCTGCTTTTCTACCACATAGTTGGTAATTGAAGAACCACCATCCCAGCTTGGAACTTGCCATTCCAAAACTAAAGAATCAGTTCCAATCTGGCTAGTCTGTGGCCACCTTGGAGGATCAGGACGATCAGAAATATTTACATTGATAAGAGCAAAATCGGTTCCAAGCTCATTATCAGCAGTGATTGTATATGGACCACTGTCATCTTTAGAGCAATCCATAATTGTTAGAAGAGCATGACGTTCCTCAGTTTTCACTTGGAAGTGAGCTCCACTCTCAACAAACTCATTGTCCTTCTTCCATGAAATTCTTGGCTTGGGGTTTCCAGTGAAAGGTACTTTAATAACTGCATTCTCACCCTTATCAAAGAATGCAGAGTCTCTGAATCTTGGAGGAACATTAAGTCTAGGTGGTTGTTTGATTTTAAGCTCTGCCTTTGATGATTTGGTGCCTCCACTGTTAGATGCACGGCATGTATAAGTATCCTCATCCTCTCCAAATACATTCTTAACTGTAAGGAAGTAACTGGTTCCAATCTGTGTAATTTCATGCTTACCACTATTAAACAGTTCTCGGGCTCCTTTGTACCATGTAACCTTTGGTTTAGGTATTCCAGTGAGCTTGCACTCAAACTGACCATCCTTATCCTCAATAGCAGCAATGTCCTTCAAAGGAGCAATGATCTCTGGAGGTTGTGGCTCATCTGGATCCTTAGCAACCACTTGTTGTGAGTTAGGTGATGCTGCACTCACACCAATGTCATTTTCAGCAAAAATCCTGAATTCATAGGATCTTCCTTCAATAAGGTTAGAGATATTGAATTGAGTTGCTGAGTGAAGGTATTGATTGACTCTCTGCCAGATGTCAAGTCCTATTTCTCTCTTTTCAATCCAGTATCCCTTAATTCTGGAACCTCCATCCATCTCAGGTCTATCCCAAGAAAGATTGACAAAGTCACCACCAACGGCAACAATGGAAGGTTTGCCGGGAGCTGATGGAGGATCATGAGGAGGTTTAGCTCTGATTGGATTAACTCCATCAAGTGGAGGTCCAGTACCATTGACATTAGCTGCCAATATTCTAAAGAGATACTCCTGGCCTTCTGTAAGCCCTTGGACTGCAAAGTTTGTGCTTTTGCAAAAACTAGCAATGACTATCCATTCATTATGGCGAATGTCACGTCTCTCCACAACATAATGAGTAATCTTGGAGCCTCCATCATAGTCAGGTGGATTCCAAGCAAGCTTGCATGTATGGCTTGTAATCTCTGAAACCTCAAGAGGTGCAATAGGTGCTCCAGGAAGTCCAGAAATGTAAACCATAAAAGATTCTTCAGTTGAACCACTGGAATTCGAGACTTTTACAGTATACTTGCCAGCATCCTCCTTTTTGATGTCTCTCATAAAAATTATAAGGAACTCATCAAACAGTGTCATCTTAACTCTAGAGTTATCAACAAGTTCTTCACCATTTCTGAATATTTTGACAACAAATGGCATATCTCCTGACCATTTCACCTTGATCTTAGTGTTGTCTCCTTCAGGCAGATGTAATTCACTTGGAATGTATTCAATCCTAGGAGGAGCACCAACTTTCACCCTGCAGCTGGAAGTGGTGAATCCCATAGAGTTGTAAGCTTGGCAGGAGTATTCCCCATCATCAATCTCCCAAATTTCTTCAATGATCATCATGAAGAAAGAACTCTTATCAGTTTTCTTTTCTTCAAACTTAACTCTTCCAGGGTGTTCTGTAACCTCTCTTCCATTTCTTAGCCATCTTGCACTGGGTTTTGGCTTTCCTGTGACTTCAGTCTCTAGACAAAGTCTCTTACCTAATCCTACACCACAGTTGTGAAGTCCCTTTACAAACTCAGGAACTGTACCATCAGAAATCTCTTGTACTTTAACAGGGCTGCTAGGCATTGATGGATCGCTTTTACCTGCAGAATTGACTGCAAGGATTCTGAACTCATAATCAGAGTTATTGGTGAGATTGATAGCTGTATAAGATAGATCTGTAATATTGTAATCATTGATTCTATACCACATTCCACTGCCCTCTTTAGCTTCAACAATATATCCAGTGATCTTTGCACCCCCATCATAAGCAGGAACAGACCATTTAAGATCAACATAACTCTTGCCAACTTTGGTAACAATGGGAGAACCTGGAGGACCAGGGGGATTTGCTTTAGCCTTAAGCTCAAATGATCCTGATGGTTGAGATGGTCTGCTGTCTCCTGCAGCATTTGTTGCCTTAATTTGGAACTCGTAAGTGCTTCCGGTGACAAGGCCAGATACAGTATATGTCTGGGATTTGACTAATGCCCCAGTTGCAGAAATCCATATTGCCTCACTAACCTCTCTGTATTCAACCCTATAACCTTGAATCTTACTTCCTCCATCAGAATATGGCCTCTCCCACTGTAGATTCACAGCAGAAGTAGTTTCTGCCACAGCCTTTGGTCTTCCTGGAGGATCAGGCACTGTAAAGGGGAATTTAGCAGTTATTGGTTCATCAATTTCTGTAGGATCAGACAAGCCATATTGATTTTCAGCTCTAATTCTAAAACTATACTTCTTGTTTGGCTCAAGACCAATAACTTCATAATGAAGACCTCTGACAAAGCTGCATGCTTTTGTCCAGAAACCTCCGGAGACATCATATTTCTCAACAATGTAGTTTGTGATGTTGGAACCTCCATCATCAGAGGGCTGTCTCCATGAGAGTGTGCATGTCTCTGGAGTGATATCATAAGCATCAATAGGTTTCTGGGGTGGCCCAGGTCTATCCACAACAAGTACCTTGCATGTTGCTTGATCGCTGCCCTCAGAATTAGTAAGCTGAATATTGTATGTTCCTGTATCAGATCTTTTGGCCTTCTTGTTGTAAAACTTAGCTTCATAGCTGTTAAGCTCCAAAGATATTCTTGTATCCTGGGAAATTTCATATCCATTTATGCTCCAGTGAGATTTTGGTTGAGGAGATGCAACAAATGGAACAGTAATGCTGATTTCATGTCCTGCTATAATGGTCATATCCCTTAGGCTTAGATCACTAGTAATCTTAGGAGCACATTTAGCAGGTGAACATCTAATTGGTTCAGATGGTGCGCTCCATGGACCCTGTCCTGCTGCATTTACAGCAGATACTTTAAACTCATAATCATTGTTCTCAGAAAGTCCTGAAACCTTGTAGGTGAGATCATTAATCATGGAGTGGCATCCCTTAGTCCAAGATCCTCCCACCATTCTCTTTTCAATGAAATATCCAAGAATATGAGATCCACCATCCTGTCTAGGTCTTGTCCATTGAATAGTAATAGAATCAGAGGTGGATGACAAATCTCTTGGTTGTCCAGGGGCACCTGGGGGATCAAATGGATGTTTAGCCTTAATAGGTTCATCAGTTTCAGCAGGATCAGATATACCATATTGATTTTCAGCATATATTCTGAATTCATAATCTTTCCCAACCACAAGATTACGTATTCTTGTGTAGCAAGTGGTCACATAGCTGCTAACTTTAGCATAAGTTCCACCAACCTCCCTCTTTTCAACAATATAGTTGGTGATTGGAGATCCACCATTGTCAAAAGGAGCAGACCAGTTGAGGTTGAAAGATTCTCCTGCAAAGTCTGTGGCATAAATTTTTCTTGGTGGTCCAGGCCTATCCAACACAGTTACATGGAAAGTGGCTGTATCATATCCGGAGTCATTCATAAGTTTAAGTCTATAATGTCCAGCATCAGCCTTGGCAGAGTTTCTTACAATTATAGAAACAAACTCTTCAGTAACTTGAATAACAATTCTGACTTCAGAAGAAAGCTCTGTTTCCTCTCGCCAGAACTGAGCGGTTGGCTTGGGGAATCCAGTATAGTTAATATTGACAGAGAAATCTTCTCCAGCTCTGACCTTGATATCCCTGATTCCAGACAAATCAATCTTTGGTTGATTAGGTTGCTCTCCAATTTTGATATTGGGAGTGGGGCGAGAAGGCTCACCTCTGCCAACGTCATTGACTGCACAAACTCTGAAAGAATATTCATCTTTCTCTCTCAACTTCAGAACTGTGTATGTTAGGTCTGCATGAGGATATCCATTAATATCTTCATATTCAGCTTGATCCTTCTGCTTCTTTTGAATGATATATCCCTTAATCTTTGATCCACCATCATTTCTTGGTGGCCTGTAAGACAAACTCACAGTATTCTTGGTGATTCTGTCTGGGTTCAGACCATCTGGTGGTCCCGGGGGGAATTTTTGAACACCAGCTGTCATGGGCTCAGAAGGTCTTGATGGTTGTCCAGGACCAGCTTCATTACAGGCAATTGCTCTGAACTCATATCGTGCTCCCTCTCTCAAGCCAGGAATAATGTAGTTGAGGTTAGGTGTAGGATAATGGTTAACTCTGATCCATTCAGATCCCAATTCTCGCTTTTCAATAAAGTATCCAGAAATGGGTCTTCCACCAGTTTCAGTTGGTGGGCTCCATGTGATGGTTGCACTTGAAGGGGAATAGGCATCAATTTGAGGCTGACCAGGGGGTCCTGGAGGATCATAGGGTGATCTTGCTTCAACATGCTTTCCTTCAAGAGCATCTGACACACCAATCATGTTTTCAGCTCTAATTCTGAAAACATATAACTTGCCTTCAATCAAGCTTCTTGCAGTGTACTCACAGTGAGTTGCATATCCAGGACATGACATCCAATCATTTGATCCATAATCACACTTTTCAATGATATAACCTGTGATATCACAACCACCATCATCATCTGGTACTTGCCACTGAATCTTGATCTGGTCCTTTTCAACATTTTGATACACAACTGGGCCAATAGGAGGACTTGGTCTGTCCACAACAGTAACATACAAGTTTCCAGTATCTTTTCCATATTCATTAGACGCTGTAATCTGGTAGACTCCAGTGTCAAGTCTGTTTGAGTTTTCAATGTAAAATGAAATAAGCTCAGATTTGACCTCACAGTTGAACCTCTTGCTGTGCATAGACTTTCCATCTTTAGAAACTTCTACATTGGGAATTGGGGAACCTACATAGGGGATAAGAACATGAATTTCCTCACCAGCCTTGACTCGTATTCTTTTGCTGAGAACATCAATGTCTAACTTAGGAGCTGCCTTCATTGGGCGGGCTGTCAGAGAAAGGGAAGGATCAGAATGAGGACCAGGTCCTGCTTTGTTGTAAGCTCTGACCTTGTATTCATATTGGTGGCCTTCAGTTACATCAGTATCATGGAACTCTGTCTTGGTGACATTAGATTTAACCTTAATCCATCTTCCACCAAGCATATCTCTTCTTTCAACATCATAAGCAGTAATTTCAGATCCTCCATTATGTGTTGGTGGTTTCCATCCAACTTTGATAAAGTGTTTGTCTGCATCAACTGCAAATGGCCTTCCAGGCTTTCCAGGAACATCAAATTGTGCTTGTGGCATAGCTTCATCTGATGTAGTTGGAGCTCCTCTGCCTTGGGCATTAACAGCAAAGACTCTAAACTCATAGCGATTTCCTTCAAGTAGTCTTGGTACCCTCTGTGTAAACACATTAGCTGCAACATAATTGACAGCAGGAACCCAGCCACCAGCATGATCAAGATCTTTCTTTTCAATAACATAGCTTGTTATATCAGATCCACCATTGTCCTTCGGGGCTTTCCAGGAAATAGTAACAGAGTTGCTGTCAACATCTTCAAACTCAATTGGTCCAGTTGGGGGTCCTGGAACATCCAGAATGTTGAAAAAGAAGGATCCTTTGTCTGATCCTGACTCATTTACTAGCTTTATAACAATATCTCCAGTGTCAGACCTCTTGCAGTTAACAATATGGAAAGTTGTGATGGGTGCAATGGCAGAAACAGTTGTCCTTTCATCTGTTACTAATGGAGTTCCATCAACATACCAGTTAACATTAGGATCTGGACTTCCAATGTACTCAACATCAATGGTGAAGTTGTTTCCAGCCTTGACATTAACATCAGTAAGAGGAGTAAGTATTTTTGGAGCAAGATAGCGGGGTCTAGCTTGAATAGGATCACTAGGTTCTCCAGGAGGAGATTGTCCAGCAGCATTGAAAGCTATTATTCTGAACTGGTAGTACTCTCCTTCTATTAGCTCATCAGCTCTACCCTTGTTAATATCCCTTGAAATGGTAGTGCATTCTCTCCAGGAAGACATTCCTTTAGGTTTTACTTGAATTATGTATCCTTCAATGGGACTTCCGCCATCATTAAGAGGCTTATTCCATGTCAAATCAATAAAGGTTCTGTCCCAATCATATGCAGATGGTCTACCAGGTGCCTCAGGAACATCTGATGCATTTCTTGCAATAAATGATTTGTCCAGAGGAAGTGGATCAGATTCTCCAATGGCATTCACAGCTTTTACCTGCATCAAGTATTCCTTTTTGTGGACTAGGCTTCTGATCACACACTTAAACTCAGTTGTAATCTCTGCCTCAACCCATGATCCTCTGCTAAGATCCATTTTTTCAACAAGATAGTGAGTTATGGGTGATCCTCCATCATCAGGAGAAGCCCCCCAAGCTAAGTTGCAGCTAGAGGCTGTAACTCCAGATAGTTTCAGAGGACCTTCAGGGGCAGCAGGTCTATCAAGAACAGTGACATTAGCCTTTGCAAAGGCAGATCCAAGTTCATTAGTAACTTCCAGAGAGTACAATCCGGCATCTCTTCTTTTCGAGAATGCAATATCTAAAATTGTTTGACGCCTGAGATTTTGAATGTCAAAATGTTCATCACAAACAACTTCTTTCTTGTTGATTCTCCAAATGATCTTTGGTTTAGGTGCAGCCTTGATGGGAATAGTGTAGTTGATCCTCTGTCCAGCACGAACAACCATATCTTGCATTGCTGAAGTGTCAATTTCTGGTTTAACATACCTTGCTTCTGCAGTAATGGGGTCTGAAGGTTCTCCAGGTTCACCTGCACCAGCATCATTTACAGCAATTATCCTAAAGATGTATTCTTCACCTTCTGTAAGTCCTCTGACAGAACCCTTTGGTTGAGGTCCTGGAACCTCTGCTGCTTTCTCCCATAGTCCAAACTTGTTCTTTTTCTCAATGATCCAAGTCTTAATTGCACTTCCACCATCACTTCTAGGTGGGTCCCATTTCAAATCAATTCTGTCAACATCCCAATCTTCTGCAGATGGTTTGCCAGGCTTGCCAGGAAGCTTGTAAGGATCTCTGGCTACAACAGCTTCAGAAGGTCCAATGAGAGGTCCACCCTCTCCTTGGGCATTGACTGCTCTGATTCTAAATTTATATTCATGTTCTTCAATCAAACCTTCAACCTTCAAGAAGAGCTTTCTGGAATCTCCACATGGGACCCATCTCATGTTATCCTGGTCTTGCTTTTCAACAATATAATGCTTAATCTCACTTCCTCCATCATCTTTAGGTAATTTCCAGTGAACAACCATGTAGTCTTTATGAATATCTTTGGGTTCAACTGGACCTTCTGGAGGGCCGGGAACATCCAGAACAATGACATTACATGTGCAAGTGTCAGTTCCATTCTTATTTTTAGCAACAAGCTGATAAACACCATAGTCAGACCTCTTACTTTCACTGATTCTTACAGTTGATCTGTATTCCTCATTGTGTATCATTAGTCTCATGCCATCATCAAGACCTGAACCATCCTTGGTCCATGTCTTCATTGGAGGTGGCTCACCATCAACAGGAACATTAATGTTCAAAGGTTCTCCTGCCAAAATCTTGATGTCCATCATTGAGTTTCGGTCAATTCTTGGTGCAGCGTTCTTGGGTCTTGCTCTGTGTGGAATAGAAGGATCAGAAGGTTCAGACTCTCCAGCTTTGTTATAAGCTTTGACTCGGAATTCATAAACAACACCTTCAACCAATCCCTTAACTTTTCCAACAGGAACCTCTCCCTCAGTTTTTGCACAAGTTTCCCATCTTGCATTGTAAGTGTCTTTCTTTTCAATAATGTATCCAGCAATTGTACTGCCTCCATCCCATTCTGGTTTGTCCCATTCAAGTTCAACCCAGGGAGTATCAAAATCAATAACCTTGGGTCTTCCAGGTTTGGATGGAACTTCAAAGGGATTTTTAGCTTGATATGCACCAGAGGTTTCAAGAGGTTCACTCTTTCCTTCCTTATTGACAGCTCTGACTCTAAACCTGTAGTAATGGTTTTCAGTAAGGCTTTGCACATCATATGTTGTTACAGCTCCCAGGGTTTCCCCAATCTGGGTCCATCTTGCAGAGGCACTCTCATCACACATCTCAACTATGTAATACTGAATAGCCATGCCTCCATCATCCTTGGGGGCTTTCCATTCCAATGTACAGTCACTTGCAGTCATGTTCTTAACTCTAAGTGGTCCAATTGGAGCACTTGGTACATCTAGAACAGTGACTTGCACCTCAGCTGAATCAAAACCATTACTGTTTCTTGCAGTTAATGTCATCATTCCATTTTCCTTCCTTGTTGCTGCACGCACAATAAGCTTGATGTTGTGATGAGTTTGGACAATCTTGATCTTTTCAGTAACAGTTATTTCCTCTTGGTTTATCATCCATTTCTTTTCAGGGATAGGCTCTCCACTGACATTAATGTCAAAGCTAAAGGTTTCTCCAGCCTTGCACCTGACTTCATTCATGTTTGTACGATCAATCTTGGGAGGAAGATTTCTAGCTTTGCAGGTTACTGGTCCAACTTCATTAGAAGGCTGGCTTGCTCCTCCAGCATTGATTGCCTTGACTCTAAACTCATAAGTTTCACCCTCAGTAAGGTTGGGAACAGTGCACTTAGTAAAGGTTCCAGGTACTTCATGGGCTCTTGTCCATTTACCAGATGAATCTTTCTTCTCAATTAGATAATTGGTGATTTCAGATCCTCCGTCATCTCTGGGGTGTTCCCATTTGAGATCAACAGAGTCCTGGTCCCAGTCAACCAGCTCCAGATGAATTGGAGGACCAGGTTCACCAAAGGGATCCTTAGCAACTATCTCATCCTTCATGGTGCAAGGATCTGATTCTCCTTCTTCATTGATTGCGCTTACTCTGAACTTATATCTCTTCATGTGGGTCAGGCCCTTGACAACAATTTGGCAATCTTCAGATCTCCCACATGGAATCCAGAGGCCAGTTTCTACATCCATCTTTTCCACTTGATAATATTCAATGGGGCAGCCACCATCATCCTTTGGCCTTCTCCAAGACAGACTGCAGCCTACACATTATCATTAATCATTATTATTATTACTATAACATTATTGTAATTGTTTTGGAATTTCAAGATGAAAACAGAAAAGTCCTGCTAGTTTTTTTAGTGTAATCATTTTTTGAACAAAATTTTAACAAAATTACCCGTTGAGCATATGTCTGATGTCTTCAGCTCCTCTGGAGGTCCTGGTTTGTCAAGAACTCTTAGATTTACAGTGACTTGATCCTTTCCACATTGGTTCTTGGCCAAAATCTCGTACTGTCCTTGGTCATTCCTTCTGCAGCTTCTTATCACCATCTTTGTGTTGTACGGAACATTTGTGATTATCATGGATTTATCTGTTCTGGAATCAATAAGTTCACTTTCATGCCTCCAGGTTACTGTTGCTGGTGGTTCACCAATGATATTAGCATCAAACTTAAGCATGTCACCGGCAGAGACAGTAATGTCTTTTAGGTTTTTACGATCAATCTTTGGGGGAAGGAATCTTGCTCTTGCTTCCTTAGGTCTTGAGGGTTGACCAGGTTCACTGGGTCCAGCTTTGTTCAGAGCAATAATTCTAAACTGATATTCATCTCCTTCAGTTAGACCATGAACACTTCCCTTCTTCCGATTTCCTTCTATTTGCTGGCAAACAACCCATTCTGAGCTGTGACGCACCTTCTTTTCAATAATATATCCAGTGATTGGGGAGCCTCCATCATCAATAGGTTCCTTCCACTCCAGATCCATATGGGACTCACTCCAGTCAACAATCTCTGGAACACTTGGTGGCATGGGAACTGTAAATGGATCTTTGGCAATGATAGGCTTCATTGATTTCAAATTTGCAGATTCTCCTTCTTCATTAACTGCTCTAACTCTGAACTCATATTCCTTGCCAGGCTCAAGATCTTTGCATTCAATATCACAAGATGGACTGGTTCCTACTGGGGACCAGATACCTGTATCAGTATCATACTTTTCAACAATATAGTATTCAATGGGCAAGCCTCCATCATCCTTTGGAGGTTTCCAGTGAAGTTTACATCCATTTTTGTGAATTCCATTAATTTCCAAAGGACCCTCAGGAGGTCCAGGGGGGCCAATAACATAAACTCTAACTTCTGCTGCATCTTTTCCATGCATATTGACAGCATTAATGAGATAAATTCCATCATCTTTCCTAGTGGCCTCATCAACATAGAAGCAAGTTTTATAGGGTTTATGAGTGATCTTTCTGGTTTCAGTGTCACTGAGAGTTTTTCCATCCTTAGACCATGTAGTGTCTGGTGCAGGCTCTCCTTGAATATCTACTTTGAAATCTAAAGATTCTCCAACTCTAATGGTAATTTCTCTCAAGGATTTTCTGTCAATCCTTGGTTTCAGTGCCTTATACTTGCACTTGAGATTGTCAGATTCTGGGCCAGGAGGTCCAACACCTCCTGCATTCTGAGCACGAACACGGAAGTTATAGGTTTGTCCAACTTCAACTCCAGTTGCTTTTCCACGCTCAAGCTGCTCTTTAGTTTCTCCACATTTTGTCCAAGTGTCATCATTTGAGTTGCGCTTTTCAATGATGTAGTTGAAAATTCTGGAACCTCCATCATTTTTGGGTGGGGCCCATTTAAGTTCAAAGAAGTCATAATCATAATCCACACACTCAGGTTTGCCTGGTGGGCCTGGAGGATCATAGGGATTTTTAGCAAGGACACTATCAGAGCTTGTCAGGTAGCCTGACTCACCTTCAGCATTAACAGCCTTTATTCTGAACAAATACTCATGACCTTCCTCAAGTCCTTCAATAGTAATTCTCAAGCTTTTAGTTTTACCACATGGAACCCAAGCTTCATCACCAACCTCCATCTTTTCAATAATGTAGTGAGTAATTGGAGACCCTCCATCATCCTTGGGAACCTTCCATAGAATAGAGCATCTGTCAGCAAAGATATCTTCATAAATGACTGGTCCTTGGGGAACATCTGGTGGTCCAACACATAGAACCTCAAGATCAGCTTCATCTCTGCCGTTCTTATTGATAGCTTTGAGTGTGTAAGTACCCGTGTACTCACGTTTAGCAGCAACAACATGGAACACTGTTTTGTGAGATTCATAGTTGATGTTAAGATGGATTGAAGATTTGATTTCAGTTTTACCCAGCCACCAGGTTTTATCTGGATCAGGTTCACCAGAAACCTTAATGTTAAGTTTCAAGGGTTCTCCAACCTTCACCCTAACTGGATCCATGTTGGTTCTATCAATGATTGGAGGAGCATTTCTAGTACAGCATGTGACTTCATTTGAGGGTTCAGAAGGCTGTCCTGGTCCTGCCCTGTTAACTGCCTTTACTCTGAATTTATACTTGCTATGTTCAGTTAGATCAGTTACCTTAGCATAACAATCATCAGTGTCAGTGTCCATTGCCTTAATCCATTTGGAGCTAAACTCCTCTTGTTTCTCAACAATATAATGAGTTATCCTGGAACCTCCATCATCTTGAGGTGGTTCCCATTTCATTTTCACCCATTTTCTGTCCCAATCCTCAATAGATGGTTTTTCAGGAGGACCAGGGGGATCATATGGGTTCTTGGCAAGAATTGCTGCATCGGCTTCCAGAGGTTCACTCTCACCCTGTCCATTTACTGCTTTGACTCTAAACAAATAAAAGCAGCCTTCATTCAGACCTTCTACATCAAACTCACAAGTTTTACCCTCTGTTTCTCCACATGGTAACCAAACACCTTTCTCTGTGTCCATTTTCTCTACAATGTAGTACTTTACTGGATCTCCACCATCATCCTTTGGTGGTTTCCAGTCTAGATGGCAAGAATGGGATGTGATGTTGGAGACCTCAAGAGGTCCCATGGGTTTTCCTGGAACTCCAACCACAAGAACATCACACTCTGCTTCATCTGAGCCTTGATCATTCTTGGCTGTAATTTTGTAGATACCAGTATCTTTTCTGGTGCATTTTCTAACCACAAGAGAAGTGTGTCTGTCTTCAATATTGATGTCTAGGTTGTATCTGTCATCCGCTGTTAGTTTGTCTCCATTTGGAAGGAACCAGACAACATTGGGATCAGGTTCACCTACAAAATCTGCCTCAATCCTTAGCATTTGATCAACATGAAGAACCTTCTTCTGAAGTGTTTTCCTGTCAATTCTTGGCTTCATGAACCTAATCTTGGCCTTGATTGTTTTTGATGGGTCGCTTGGTTCTGAAGGTCCTGCAGCATTGCAAGCAATAACTCTAAATTCATATTCATGATTTTCAACTATAATTGGTGCAGAGCATTTGCCCTCTAGAGTTCCTGCTTTAGTTTTGAAAGCTTCTTTCCAGGCTCTTTTGTCCTTATCTCTTATCTCAATGATATATTCAGTAAGAGGAGATCCTCCATCACTTGATGGCACTTTCCACTTGAGATCACAGAAGTCTGGACCCCAATCCAAGGGAGTAGGAGCATCAGGCTTGCTTGGAGGATCAAAGGGGTTCTTGGCTATGATGGATTCATCTCCTTCAAGATCAGGAGATTCTCCATCTTTATTGACAGCTCTCACTCTAAACTTGTATTCCTTTCCTTCGCTCAATGGTTTAACAGTATGCTCGCAGGTAGTAGATGTTCCAGCTGGAAGCCATTGACCAGTCAGTGGATCTAGTTTCTCAATTTCATAATATTCAATTGGAGATCCGCCATCATCTTTAGGAGGTTTCCATTTCAGCTTACAACTGTTCTTAGTAATATCAAATGGAGTTAAAGGCCCCTCTGGGGCAGAAGGTTTACCCTTGATAACTATTTCCACATCTGCTTCATCCTCACCTGAGTTGTTCTTTGCTTTGATGGTGTATTTTCCAATCATATTCCTTTTTGCAGGAATTAGCATTAGTTTTGTATGGTAAGAGCTATGAGCTACCTTAATCATCTCAGTGCTTTTGATCTCCTCTCCATTGAAGAACCATTTCTTCTCAGGATCAGGTTCTCCAGACACATCAACTTCAATAACAACTTGTTGGTTTACTTTAACTACTTTCTGGTCAAGATTGGTACGATCAATCTTTGGTGGAGCAAATCTTGCCTTCATGAAGTGAGGAGTGGTTGACTCACTAGGCTCACCTAGCCCAGCTTTATTCTCTGCCTTTACCCTGAACTCATATTTCTTTCCAGGAGTAAGATCTTTTACCTCACCATCTGGGTACTTCTTTGCTTTTACTTTGGGTCCTACAACCCAATTGTCAGTGCCATACTCCCTGTACTCAATGGTGTAGTGGGTAACTGGGGCACCATTTTCTCTTAAAGGGGGAGACCATTTTAATTTAACCGAATTTTCTGTCCAGTCGGTCACCTCTGGTAGTCCTGGAGGTCCTGGTGGATCAAAAGGATCCTTGATCATTACTGCATCATCAGGGCCTTCAAGCCAATCAGAATCTCCTTCCTCATTTCTAGCCTTGACTCTGAATTTGACCTTCTTGCCTGTTTCAAGGTTACCGAGTTCCAGTTCTGTCTTGTCTCCATCAGTTTCTCCGCAGGGAGACCATTTCCCAGTTTCAGTATCCAGTTTTTCAAGGATATATTTCTGAACAGGTTTTCCTCCATCATCTGCAGGGGGCTTCCATTTTATTCTACATCCTTCTTTGTGTACATCTGCTACTTCAAGATCTCTTGGAGGACCTGGAGGGCCAAGTACAACAAACTCCACCTCAGCCTCATCCTTTCCATGCTCATTCACTGCCCTGATCAAATACATGCCAGTCATTTTTCTGACAGTGTTCTTGATCTCAATGCTGGTAAAGTAGTCAACATTTGTGATTGTAGCATTGGAGTCTTCAGCAAGGTTTCTTGCCTTGAAGTACCAGGAAACCTTTGCAGCAGGTTCACCATCAACTGGAAGATTCTCAAATTTCAAAACTTTGCCAGTCCTTGTCCAGATTTTGTCCTTGTAAAGGTAGTCTCGGTCAATGATGGGAGGATCTAAAAATAAAAAAAAGGTGTTAAAAGGTTATAAATGAAGAGAATGTTAACTAACCTATAGTTCGAAAATTATTTAAATTGAGACATAAGACTGTAGTTGTGCATGATATTTAGACTGTAAACTGTACAGTATATACTGTTGTCTGTATAATGTAGGCTGTTGTCTAATAAAATAAAGTTCTCTGTAGTTTGTAGTCTGCTACCTGTAATCTGTAGCCTGTAGTCAATAGTCTGTAGTCTGTAGTCTGTAGTCTGTAGTCGGTAGTCTGTAGTCTGTAGGTTTAGTAAGAAAACTGTAAACCAAATATAAAGAGAAAATATTTAAAATAAAATATTTAAAATATATAAAATATTTAAATTTTTAAATAAATAAAAAAGCTTTGACAGATAAAAGAAATTCGTTCTTTGGTAACTTTTATTGAAAAAGAATTATTTGTTGAAAAAAATGCAACGTATACACCTTTTTGCAAAAAAAATCATTATATTTCCACATTTTTAACAAAAGACCTGATTCCTTAACTCAAACTCTAATCTTCTAATATTTATATCTTTACAACCTGATGGTGTAACCTTAAATAGTTTAAATTATGAATGGTCTTTACATCAGAATGCAAAGGTATGAGAATCAAAAACTAGACTTGGAAGTAAGCTTTAAGTGTTATTCACTGTTTTCAAATGATTATCTTTCTAAAGTGTACAGAAAATTCAATTTCTACAGTGAAACCCATAAAACTGTGGAATAGGAAAATAATTTGTAGACTCAAGGAATGATTTAAATAAGTCAATGAACGTGAAAACGAACAACTGTGCAGTGTACACAGAGGAACTTTAGTTTAAATGATTTCGAAGCATAATGCTTTTTGCTTTTTGCTTAAAAGGTTGCTTTAATATGTCGTTTACAAATTCTAATGTATCGTGGGTTTTACTGCAGAATAAAAAAATGCCTGTATCTCTAAGACCATTAGAACTGGTTTTAAAGGGTTGACTGTAGAATAATAAGTCCCTGTATTCCTAAAACCATGATTACTTACATCGTCTAGGTTTGGCAGTAGCTAGAGGGGTAGGTTCACTTGGCTCAGAATCTCCAGCTTTATTCACAGATCTAAAATTTACATATATATATATATATGTATATATATATATATATATATATATATATATATATATATTCATAGATATATATTTAGATACATAAGTACATTTATTTAAAACGAAAAATTGTTCATAAAAGAATTAAGTATTTGGCACAACCCCAACTTTTCTAATCTCTATATCTTTGCATCCTTATGGTATTTTACTTACCAGAAATCATAATTTAAAATAACTAAGGTCTACGACATGATGGTTTGTAAAGATATGGGGATTAGAAAACAAGAGTTTGTGGCCAAAACTCAATTCCTTTTTGTTTCATTAAGGTTCTGTTTTAAATCAATAAGCCCATGGAAGGTCTGTATGGCCGGATTTAATTAAAATATTTCCTCTCCAAGAAAATTATTAAAAATTTTTTTGTTGCTATTTTTGTATAATGAAACAATAAATTAAAGACAAAATAATTACATTTTATAAAGGTTTTTTTTTCTCTTAGGATTGCATATTTGATGCATATTTGATGCAATCGATAAAAATAGAAATATATAAAATTTTGTATATTTAAAAGAATAACATTAAAAATCTTCTGAAAAGTCTTCATAAGTTTGAGGTTTCGAAGAATTTTTCTTTATTATTTATTTGATTCAATCTTAACGATAATCGATAAGAAATTTAAAGAATATAACAATAAAACCCTTATTTAAAGAATATAACAATAAAACCCTTATTTAAAGAATATAACAATAAAACCCTTATTTAAAGAATATAACAATAAAACCCTTATTTAAAGAATATAACAATAAAACCCTTATTTAAAGAATATAACAATAAAACCCTTATTTTGATCGATTTTCTCATACTTTTCATTTTTAAAGCAGTACATGCCCGATTCACAACAGTACCCTTCAGCTTTATCGGATCGTTTAAAGGGAGTGACCGGCAATTTATAGTAATTCAATTGAGAATTTCATATTGTGGAGAATTTGTTAAGGATTTATTTAAGACGTATAAAACGTTTTAATGATGTACAATTACTGAGTTTGAGCGCAAAGGAACTCAGTTTTTGTCACAAACTCAAATTGTCTAATCCCTATATCTTTACAATCTGATGATGCAAACCTTTGATATTCCAAACTTAGATTATTTGGTCTAACAGAATTCATAGTTTGAAATATCAAAGGTCTACTACATTGGTTAGCAAAGATTTGCAGATTAGAAAAGTAGAGTTTGTGACAAAAACTCAGTTACTTAGCGCAAATTATACATCATTAAAACATTTTATATGGCTCAAATGAATCCCACAAAATTTCTCTACAATACTACATTCTCAGTTCAACTAAGATACATTGCCGGTCACTCCCTTTAAATAGTAATTGTTATAGTTTATTCTATAGATCTATGAGTAACAATGAGGAAAATATCGTCATGTATCTGATATTATTGAGCTTTATTTCCTTCCTTTTTTCTGTGGCACAAATCCGCAAATCACTTTTTAGAGAATCCAAAAACTTAATTTTCAAATTGAAAAACATGAATAACTCCATTTTTTGTGGAATTGTAAATTCTGGGTCACTTAAATTACGGCAAATACACCCTTTAAATGATTAGGGGCTTGGTCTTATTAAAAGTGTTTGACAATTTGGTATCAAATAAACAAAACTAATTATTTAGTTAGTTCTACAATTATTAATTTAAGACAAAAAATCATTTAGTTTTATAGCAAAGCATAGATTTGCAGTGAACTTTTAAATTCAAGAAATACAATATCTGAATTTATCAGACTTATTTAATAGTTTGTTAAAATCCATACCTGACTCTAAAGCTATATTTTTCTCCCTTGGTGAGTCCAGATTGTGTATAGGCTTTCTTAGGACCATCAGATTCTCCAACAGGAACCCAGTCATCACTCTTACTGTTTCTCATCTCAATCTTAAAATAAGATAGATTTCAATACAGTGGTCAGCCATATTATCAATACAATGAAGACGATTTTTCTGTGTAAGCTTTGATTTCTAATAAGCCTTTTTTCAAATCCCAAGTTTACAAGTAACTGAACAGAAACTGTAAATTGACAGCTTTTCTTTGTTTCCATGTTTACATATGTGTCTCCATGCTTTTGTAATCTTGGTAGTAATCGAATATTAATTCTAAAGTCGTCTTCATTTTATTGATATATACATGAAATATATAGACTGAATTCTTTCAAGAAAATCCATCGTTTGTTTGTAATATCGAAGTAAGGATGAATAAAATGACAATTTCCAACAAAACTTTCGAAATTTTAAAATATGTTTTTTATCTTAAGAAGAAAATGTTAAAATGTCTTCTATAAGCTTATATTTGAGCATTACAGCAAATCTATATGGTTATCTTAAAAAGAACCAAAGCCTATTAGAATAATGTTTATGGCCAGTCAAGAAGAATTTCCTTTAAAAACAATATTTGGAAATCCACAAATAAAAAACAGAAAAATCTGGGAAATTTCCAACGTTTTTTTCTTCTAAAATGTACGAACGCAGATTGTTGTAGCTACATGAAGTCAAAAAAAAACCTAAAATTAAGAAAGAAGGGAGCGACAAGACGCCAAATATAAAACTCTAAAAATTTACAAAAGCTTGGTTATAGGACATATCTACGAATAGCCTGCGGCTGGAAAGAGAACTAGGAAGGGTTGCTGAACCTAATAAAGTTTCTAATACAAATCTTGAGATTGATTTTTATGACCTTTATAGAGAAAAGATTTTTCCTTTTCTTTGTGTAATCTGGAATACCATTTCAGGCTAAAGGAGTGTTTTTACTTATTTTCATATTATTTAAAAGGGTGCGTACACGATTGTTGTGTAACATGCTTATTGGACTATTTAAAGTCATATCCCCTCCTGTTCCAGAGTTTTCTGGTTATTACTGTATGTATATCCATATTAATTCTTCATTTACTTAAACAAACTTTTACTCATGCCCTAAAATTGTTACCTTATATTTGATGATGGGTGCTCCCCCATCACTGGGTGGGAAACCCCATTGTAGGTCCATGTGATCTACATCCCAGTCACACAGTTCTACCTTGATTGGTGGGTCAGGGAGACCTAGGAAAAATATCTGGTTAGATCGGAAATAATTCTATTTTTAGCACTCTTTGAAATCTTTATGTATATTGAGGGCAAAACAGTTGATTAATAATTCGACGCTTAGGATTAATTTTCTTAAAGGAATTGAGTCTTTGCCACAAACTCTAATTTTCTTATCCCTGTATCTTTGCGAGCCAATATCGATTTATGAATTCTTTAAGATTAAATAATCTAAGTTTGATAGATCAAAGGTTTTCAGTGCCGGGTTGCAGATAAAAAATGGGATTATAAAACTTGAGTTTGTTGCAAAGACTAATTTCATTCATTGGTGTAAATTGTGACTTAAATCTATGATTTGATGGCTAAACCGACACTTTAGGATATCTTAAAGAGGTGCCATGAATGAACAATGCAACCAGAATTAAGGAGTTTGACCAGTGAATACCTAGTTCACTTGCTAAAGCTAGATAATATATCCCGATCAAAAGTTTTACCCTCAGGCATAGTCTAATAAGTTGGTATTGAAGCATGATACACTATAACATGCAGTAAAAGTAGGGAATATTTTTTTACATGCAATGAGATAAGAAGGTTCTTAAATGACATGCATGGATGTTAGGATTAATTTATCGTCTGTAATGCTTTCTTCTGTTCTTTTCTCCATTTTTTGAAAACACAAAGAAGTTATTTTTAGCTGTTAATCTGAATGGATTTTTAATCTAATAATTTTTTCTTTGAAAGAAACACAATAACTTCCTAAAAAAAATCAACTCTTTCCTAATTAAAAATAATAATTAAAAACAGTTTATAAATGCTAATTTCAAAAATAAGCAAATGCATATTTAAAATTCCACAAGATTCCATAAATCCTGAAAATGTTATGTAATATCATGCTAAGCAAGGTTCATGCGAGATAGTCCACAAGTGATTACTTCTAAACTTAAATTTAGGTTTTGCATTGGTAATTAAGAGAAGGATGTAATTTACTGAACATCATGCATTTGAATTCCATGCGAAATTACCAAATGGATCTTTTGCTTTTATCGCTTTGTCAGCCACTAGAGGGTCTGACTCTCCTTCTTCGGTGACAGCCTTCACCCTGAATAAATATTCATGCCCCTCCTGCAGTCCTTTCACTTGGGCGTTGGTAGTGTCTGGCTTAGTTCTACAGACTGGAACCCATTTTCCAGTTTCCTTGTCCATCTTTTCAACGAGGTACTCCAAGATCGGATAACCGCCATCATCCTCTGGCGCTCGCCAATTGAGTTTACAGCTATCCTTAGTAACCCCATACACCTCCAGAGGACCAAGTGGAGCTCCACATCTACCCAGGAACACAATTTCTACAAACTCCTCATCTTTACCATGAATATTTGTGGCAGTGATCTTGTAACGCTGAGTGTTCTTCCGGGTGCCCTTGTCAATGATGAACTTGGTATTGTATTCAGAGTGAATAACAGTGATATTATCAGCGGTGACAAGTTCAGCTCCCATGAGGGTCCATGAGGTCTCTGGACATGGCTCTCCAGTAATATTGACATCAAGCTCAACCATGGTTCCAACTTTGGCAGATTTGATTGTCAGATTGGTTCGATCAATCCTTGGTTTAACTGCAAATATTAAATGTTTAAAGTTTGACAAAAATCAAAATGAAAAATATATTATAAGAAATAGCAAATAGGTATGAAAATTGGAGCAGCAGCTTGAAAAAAAGTCTAGCTTGCCAAAATGTATAAAAAATATCAAAAACTTTGAATTGAGAAAAATTGTAAAAATAAAATTAAAAGCAGAATATTCTTATGGCTTGCAGTCTTACGTTTTCTGTGCTTGACGGTGTGAGTGGGTGAGGGGTCGCTTGGTTCTGATTCTCCACCCTTGTTCACAGCAATAACTCTAAACTGGACCTTGGTCTTCTCTACTAGACCTGTAACCTTAAACTCAAGCAATTCATTACCAGTCGGAGTCCTCAACTTATCAACAACCTCCCAGTCTTTAGATGCTTCTTTCTTCTGGATGATATAGTGAGTAATAGGGGAACCGCCATCACTTGCGGATGGCCCCCAACGAATATCAGCTGATTCATTGTCGTAGTCAGTGATTTCTGGTGTTCCAGGCTTGCTGGGTTTGTCTAAAAAGGTTATTACTGCTTTTAAATATTCAATAAAAATGTATGGATAATAATTTGCTGCCCTCCCCCCTTATGTTTTATCTTCCAGAAAAAATTTTACATTTTCCGGGAATTAGTCATAATGATTCCTGAAGAAATCTTTCTCCTTTAAAAATAAAAAAAAATAAAAATGGAATATGATCAAATAAGATATGAAAAATAAAACGACAGCAAATAATATGAAAACTATTTTTTTCTCAAAAAAATGCAGCAGCACACCATTTGTCAAAAAAAATTTGCTAATCGGATAAAGATTCAAATGCAAAATTTCAATTTTTTTTCAAAATTAAGAAGGAAATATAAAATTTCTTGTATCATCATAAAAATTAGATTCTAGAAAAATTATCTTGATAAAAAATATTCTGATTAAACTAAATCAACTCATCTAACCTTACCATCTACACATCCGCAACAAAATGAAAAAAAATAGATTATTAATGTTCATAAAACCTTAACAAAGTATACTGAAACAACAAAAATAAAATGTTAAAAATCCTTAATCTTATGAATATTATCACTGATATAAAAATGACCTGACACCCAGGGGTCGGGCTTCTTTTTTTTGAAAGTGAACAAAATTTTTCGTTAACGATTGTGTCCTCCAGAAAAAACGAATCATGAACGAATGACTCGGATTGTTCAGAGAAATGAAATACGATTAATTTTTTAAATGAATGAACGAAAAAAATAAAGATTGAAATGAATTGAGTCTTTGAAACAAGCTCTGATTTTCTTATCCTTATATTGTCCCAACCAAATGTCGTAGACCTTAGATATTTCAAACCATGAATTCTGTTAGCTCAACTAATCTAAGTTTGAAATATCAAATGTTTACAACATCATGTCGCTAAGATATTGGAATTCGAAAATTTAAGTTTGTGGCAAAAACTAAATTCCTTTATCGAACAAACTTGAAAAACTATCGTTTTTTTAGTGCAAGAACAAAACTTTTACTGAAGAAAGGATTTTCGTGAACGAACAATTTTACTGTATGAACGATTTTAATGAACGTGAGAAATCCAAAAAATAGATTGGAAATAAAAGATAACTTTGAGAACAAACGAACTAAACGATTAAAAAAAAAGAACGAAATGGGCCGTTTAAGAATGATGAACGAAAAAAATAAAAAAGGCCTAACGTACCCATCTTGACCGTGATATTGAAATTTAATTAGTATTTAGGAATATGAAAATTATAGAATGTTTGAATTTTCTACTAAAACTGTTCCCGTGAATTTTCTTTCAGCTTTGGATTCAATATTTTGAAAGAAAAAAGAAACATTTTACATCATATTCAGTGTTTTGAGTTTTACAAGTTTTTGCAATTTTGCAAAATTTAATCCCAGCTTAAAATTTTTAGATTTACGTTATTGCTTATGTATTACTATATAAATATAAATATAAAAATTTAGAAAGAGATGTTACAATTTTTAGAACAGAAAGTAGAAAGTGTTAAAACCAAAACTAAACATTTAAAAATATAAATATTTATGTTCAACAGAAGGAAGAAAAAATAGATATAATGTGTATGTACATTGTACAATGTACACAAATAACAAATAACAAATAAAGCAACTATAAGTGTAATGTCAAGTGACCCTCCATACAACGATGACAATACCAAACTTACAACGGTAACCTTGAAAACCATGTCTGATCAAGTATGAATTATATATCAATGTTTTTGTTTCTTTAAACTGTTTTTTTTCATTTGCGGTTTCTCTGCGCATTAGTGTTTTTAAGCACTGGAGAAACTAACTTACAGAAATTAACACTTACCTCTCGGGTCAGAAAAACAATGATATCATTCACAATTTTTATCAGAATAAGGTTTCAAGGGTACCGTTGCCAATCGGACATTGTTATCTTAGCATAGAGGATCACTTGAAATTACGTTTACAGTCCCTTTATGATATTTCATTTTGACTATAAGGTGGATAAATGTACAAATGTATAACATATCAAATTAGATTTTATTTTTTAAACAAAAATATACGAAAACTCAAAAAATGAGGGGAATGACAGAAATGAAAAATAAAAGTTTTCTTTTATTCGAAATTACAAAAAAAAATTTGACATTAAAGTTAATTTTTTTTAAATTTTTCCCCCCAATTGGACGTTTGCTTGAATATTTTATGTTACTTTAAAAAAATGTAAAGTCAATGAAAACTTACCAAATGGATTTTTTGCTTTGAAAGGCTTATCTCCTTCCAGGGGTTCAGATTCTCCTTCATCGTTTATAGCTTTAACCCTAAACATACATAGATCCTTTATCATATCATCAAATATCATTCATACTATACTAGCTGAAGGACCTGGCGTTGCCCGTGGAATAAAAAATAAAGGTTTAAAAAAATTCGAATTTGTTTCGCTTATGTCACCCCCAGGCTACCCGTTAGTGTCCACAAAAAAAAATTTAGCTCATTCGGTCCAGCCATTTGGTCGGCCATAGTGAAAAAATATTTGAATCTCTTGTTTTATTATATAGATATCCACTATCCATTATCCCACAAGATTACCCACAAAGGATGAGACTGTAAACCTAGACAATCGGAAATATAAATTTCGGTGATGGTGATGGACCAAACCTCTGTAGAGAAAAAAGTAGATGTTTGTTCCACATTCATTGAAAATATATTTCGGTCTGGGTTGACACTCGTCTGTTCTAACGATATAATGACCATCAAAATCGATGATAAAAAATATTAAGAACCACAAGAAAATAAACAAACAAAAAAGGTTATTAAATCAAAAATTAAAATGGGCTGTCAAATGGAAAAAGGGAAACGAACTCAGATCATGAGATGGAAAAAAGATAATTTGAAAAATATCCACTTTATAAAGGATGTTTTAAGAAAATTATTATTCATTGAGTGGTGGTGGGGGTTTATCTAATTAACGGACTTTTACGTAAATCAAGGGGGGGGGGAGGGGGGCGACTTGTTTAAAGAGGGGTATTTAAACCTTTTAAAGAATTGGACATAAACAACAGTCTTTTTTTAAAAAAAACAGAATTACAGTTTACAATTAACTAAAAACTTTTTTTCTGTTTATTATTCTGTAAAATTTATCATATATTCAGTATCCTGTAATTGTATTATCAATTTACTGTGTCTTGTATTATGTATCATTAATCAAGTATCATGTATCATGTAACGTATCCAATTTGCAGTATCATGTAACATATATATCCTGTATCATGTATCATGTATTTATATATATTTAAGCCAAACTGCTGGACAAAGGTACTACGAGGGGTAGGGGCATGGCTAAACAATTCTAATAATAACCAACCTGAAATTGTATTCTAATCCTTCTTCTAGACCATCAACATCAAAGTACAAGGGGAATTTATCCCCAGCCACCTAAACAGTAATTTTGTATTTTTATCTGTATTCAAAGTTTTTTTTCTTCTTATTTTGGATCCTTCTTTGTCTTTCTTGGGATAATCTATCACTGAAGAAGATTGTAGTTGGTAATGAAGATACGTCATGAACACAACAATATAAAATGTGTACTGCGCTTAGGAGGAAAGTAAGCAAACTCAGGGCTCCAGTGAAATAGATATATACCATGTTTTTTCCTCTGTTAACACCTGTACCTAAGCAAACCTTCATGAAGAATTTTGCCCAGGCCTAATTAACAAAGGTACGTCACTACAGTCCTCGTCGCATATATCAATACAATGAAGACGAATTTCTATTTCAATGTTGATTTTACCGGAGAAACGTCGTCTTCGTTGTATTGATAGAAACGCCTAGCACTGTAAATAAAGAAATGATGAATCCTAACTACGTGGTATCTTGCTGCCCATGGGGTTAATCAGTTACAAAGTTTATTTTACTTAGAACTACACTATTGTATTGTTGGGAATACAGTATATTTATAAAAGGAGTTCACGGCTATTAAATATATATATATATAAATAACAAAGATTGCTGGCAAAGCATAAAACATGTATAGCTGATTTTTTTGTTAAATAAAAAATTATATATCGGAAGGGGAACCAACAAAAGAAGAAAATCCGCGTAATTCGTGATTTCAAAAACTGGGGTAAATTGGAAAATAACAAATTCTATCCAAAATTAAAAACTAAAAATTTTGTGAAATTTTTCATTTTAAAATATTTTAAAGTAAAAGTTCATCCAGGAAATTTGATCATTCATTCTCTGAAATTAAACATTTAATTCAATATCAAGTACTTACAATTTTTAAATTTAATATTTGGTGATATTTGGTTTACTGTACTGTCTAAATTTGAACGTTACCAAGATTAGTTTAACTACTATTTTCGGATTTTACACAGTTTAGTAACACTTTAATCAGTTTGGTAAAACACTTTACTCTGTTTGGAAAAACACTTTAATCAGTTTGGTAAAACACTTTACTCTGTTTGATAAAACACTTTACTCTGTTTGGTAAAACACCCTATTCAGTTTCATAAAACACATTGATCAGTTTGGTAAAACACCTTAGGCAGTTTGGTAAACACTTTACTAAGTTTAGTAAATCACTTTACTCTGTTTGGTAAAACATTTTATTCAGTTTCGTAAAACACTTTAATCAGTTTGGTAAAACACTTTAAGCAGTTTGGTAAAAAACTTTAAGAAGTTTGGTAAAACACTTTACTAAGTTTGGTAAAACACTTTACTAAGTTTGGTAAACCATTTTATTAAGTTTGGTAAAACACTTTAATCAGTATGGTAAAACACTTTACGCAGTTTGGTAAAAAAAACTTTAATCAGTTTGGTAAAACACTCTAATCAGTTTGGTAAAAAAAACAATTTAATCAGTTTAGTAAAACCTTTAATCAATTTGGTAAAACACTTTACTCAGTTTGGTAAAACACTTTAATCAGTTTGGTAAAACACTTTAATCAGTTTGGTAAAACACTTAGATCAGTTTGGTAAAACACTTTACTAAGTTTGGTAAAACACTCTACTCAGTTTAATAAACCATTTTATTCAGTTTGGTAAAACGCTTTACGCAGTTTGGTAAAAAAAACTTTAATCACTTTGGTAAAACACTTTAATCAGTTTGGTAAAACTGTTTGGTAAAATACTTTACTCAGATTGGTAAAAAAATTTGGATTTAACTCAGTTTGAAACTTGGTTATATCTAGAATTGTTGAAGTCTGGTAAATTCTGGTCATTTCTTAATTGTTCGAAATTTAAACCGGTAAAATCTAAAGATATTGGGTTTTTGCCACAATTTCAACCTGAGCTGGGAACTTTAGAATGGATAATCTTTAATCCTATCTACTAAATCCGAATATCCACTGTGAAAACTTTTAATTTTAGTCCTTAATCCACTCTTTTTCTCTCTCTTTGGATATCCATACATTATTTTCTCCAATGATAGTGCAGGAATATAGGTCGTAAATTGTACTGACCAATGACAACCTTAAATATAAATTCTATCCCATGACAGAAATCCGAAATTTCTAACAAATAAAGAATATGTTGTCGGCCCTTTTCTAAATTAATCGGCCAAGAAAAATATTCAATAATACGTTTGAGATTCCTTTTTAACCATTTTAACTAGTTTATTTATAAATAAAATAGAAATTAAATGAAGGCCCTTTCCGTCGAGAAAACAAAGAAATCAAATTTGTTGATCTACACATTTAAACTGGAGACTAATATAATCACGAGATTATGTTAGTCTCGAGATTAGCAAAAACAGAGGATTAAGCATTAATCCTGATATCCATCATTCTAAAGTTCCCAGCTCTGATGGTTTAAATATTTGATATTGCAATAACTTTATTTGATACAAAAGATTACATAATTTGAAATATCTGAGGTCTACTACAAGGATTGAAAATCAGAGTTTGCGACAAAGACTCAATTACTCAACTCAATTTGGTGTAAACTGGTACAATCTGGATTTTGTCTGATACACACTGGTAGTATCTGGATTTTTATGAAGTCTAAAATCTGGATTTTGTTGGATTGGAATTTGGAAATAATAGTTGACGAATTCTTGACATTCTACATCTACAATATAAAGATGAATAGATGAATGGAGATTACATTCTCCAGGGTAAAAGAGACAATTATGATATAGAGAGGGGAGGTGCGGGGGGGGGGGAGAGAGGCCTTAAAAACACATTTTTATCGTTGACTCCTCCCCATAAAAATGTGCCGGTGAAAATTTTCAAATCTAGGTGCTTTAAGTAAAGTTATTTAAGTGCTTAAAGTGCTTTAATTAAATGCTTTGAGTGCCAAGCCTATGAGTGGTTCAAGTGCATTAATTGATCCTAGTGCTCTGCTTTCTAACCTTATTATTCAATTCGGCGACAATCTTAAGTGCCATGTCATGAGACATTGGCTGAAAAATTTAGTTTAGAAAATATTTGTAAAAAATATGTTTTTTTAGTTGATTCTTACCTTCCCCTTTCTAATCCACTTCTTAGTTTTAGGACAGAACATTTCAATCTCATACTCCTAAAAGGAAAAAAAAATAATGAAAAAATAATTTTTCAGCTAAATCCTAAGAAGACCCCCCCCCCCTTAATCCAAGTAATCTCTTTATTTTTGTCTGCTTTAATGTCCGATCATATCTAAGGAACCCCTTGACCGATTTGCCTCAAATTTTGATTTGGAAACAAAAGAATGTGCATATCTCATAGTTGCATAAGTAGGTTGACTTTGATCGGGAACACTTAGTTTGCAGGCAAAGCTTGGTTTCCAAGCTGGTAAGACAATATCTGACAAAAAGCGTGTATTTTATCTCGTTTTTGAAATTTAAATATAAATTCAAGACTTTTAAATGCAAAGTATTCCCAAAGCCCCCTGAAAACCAGTTTTAGGGTCACACTGTCTGTATTTCTGCCTGTTTAATAAAATGTAGGTCTGTCTGCTCCAATTTTATAAAAATTCCTTGTTCCAAACTCAAAATTATACTTCGGAATAGATAATTTGAAAAATTGGAAAAGTTTAAATATCATATATATGCTTTAATAGTTAAAATCCCTTACAGTTGAATGGGGGTAGGAGGGAGGAGGAAAATATTCTAAAAAAAGATTGTTGCATGTTTTAAATTTTTAATGCAGCGTCAGGTTTAGATTCAGAGAAATATCGGAAACAGAAAAACAGACATTGAAACCTCTCCAGGGAACAAAGTTAATAAATTAGCAGTTGAACTGCGTAGCTTAAATTCAACCATTTCTCTCCTGTTTGATCTGGGACACAACACAAGAGGTCTGATTGAACCAGTGGTAGTGGTTAAACTACTTTCAGTTATTCATTAAATCTGATCCCAGAAAACAATTTCGAAAAAAAAAAATCTAGTAAAATTGTTACACTTGACTCCACAAAATGTTGGAAATAAAGACCTTATTTTCTTAAAGGAATTGAATGTTTACTACAAACACAAATTTGTATATTCTTATATCTTTGTAACCTAATGGTGCAAACTTTTGATATTTTACCTAATAGAATATATAGTTTGAAATATCAAAGGTCCACGACATTAAGTTGCAAAGATATTGGGATTAAAAAATATGAGTTTGTTGCAGAAAGAAAAGAAAATGCAAGATTAAAAATCTTATAATCAAATTTTAGAATGAGAATAAGTTATGTATTTACTATTGAATAATCTTGTTTTTTGACAGAAAACAAATTTCAATTATTTTTAAGTTTTAAAAATAAAATTTACCTGGATTGGCATGCCACCATCGTCTAGAGGTGGCTTCCATCTTAGCTTGCAACCATTGGCAGTTATATTGGAGACCTAGGAATAGTATTATTATTATTATTATTATAAGTAGTAGTATTATTATTATATTATTATTCTCATTATTATTATCATCTATATAGTAAAACAAGACATTTTTTTTGGGCTTATGGGGTGGCGGGTGTTAAAGGCCACATTTAAAAAAAAAAAAATTTTTCACGAGTAACACCGGCGCTTCAGCTAGTTATATATATAATTAAACAAGACATTCGTAAATATTTTTCACTCATGGGTAGGCGGAGAGTGAGGCTAAAAATATTCGAAATCTTTTTTAAATTCAAAAAACCTCTAAAGGTCCCTCAGGGCGAGCAGGTCTTCCTAAAACAACAAGCTCCACCCACTCTTCATCAAACCTAGTTAGATAGACGGATGGATAGATTGATAGTTTGATAGACAGATAGATAGATAGATAGATAGTTAGATAGTTAGATAGATGAACAAACAGATATATAATTAAACATATAAATTAAATAGCTATAACTTACCATTCCTGTAAGCATTTGCGTGTACAAATTATATATATAATATTTTTTACAGTTTTACAAATATTAAACCGAAGTAATAAAACTAAGATTTTTTAATATGTTAAATATGGAATTATAATTCAGCAAAAATAATGTTTGTTTTTTAAATCCAAAAATACTAGTTTTCTTACCCATTCACGTTTTCAGCTCGGACTTTGTACTTCACAGTGTCCTTCCTGACCGCGTCTTTGATCTCAAAGACGGTGTTGTAATCAGTATTTGTGATCGTTATCCTAGACATATACAGTAAGAACCAGAAAACTCTGGAATAGGAAGACGACAAGCCAGCAATAGTTGATTGTTTTACTGATAACTTATAAAATCACTTAAACAGGAAAAATGGGTTTGTTTACATACGTAGCACAATTGCTGTAGCCTGTGTGACATTTTTATTGAACTAATAAAAGTCAAACCTTGAATCTTGCAGTCGTCTTTAAATTTCAGAGATTCATGGTTTTCAATGTAGTTAAAAACTGACTTTAGGAACTTATAAAATGATTAAAGAATTGAATTTGTAGATTTTTAAGAATTGAAAACAGTTTTGTTCTTCTAAATTATAGCTCTTTATAAAAAAATGTTATGATTAAAAAATATTTCTATTTGAATAAATCAATAATTAATTGCGTTTTAGAAACCAAATAATTAAATAATTATTATCAATTATTAATAATTACAGTAAAATAAGATAAATTTATATTTTCTACTTGTTTTCAAGCATAATTCTCTCTTTTGAAAAGATATCAAGAAAAACAAAAAACAATCTTACACAAAGGCTTGAAATAAAAAATAATGGAGTTACGCGGCTACAAAGCCGTAATCTATCTATCTATCTATCTATCTATCTATCTATCTATCTATCTATCTATCTATCTATCTATCTATCTATCTATCTATCTATCTATCTATCTATCTAACTATTTACCTTTATGGTTGCAGTCCTAAGGTTGTCCCTGACAAGCCTAGGTTTCACTGAAAAAATATAAATATCAACTATCATTAACTGCCAAGACTATGTAATAGTATTTTAACAAAAAATGAAAATAATAGCATGCAAAATAGTGATTCAATCTAAAGCTTAAGTAAAGCCACACAAAATGAAGTAAACTGGGTTTAGTAGATTCAAAATGAAGTAAAAAGTCAAAATAAAAAAAGTTAGTAAAAAAAATCTCGTTCCCTCATGCTCCAAGCTGCAAATAAAATAAGTATTAATAATTAAAGAATAAAAATAAATAAAAAATTTACGAATAACTTAATAAGTTAAGAAATTAACTCCAAATATATTGTATAGGAAACTAAATGGTTGCAAGATGCCGAAATTTGTATTTACATTTAAATGTACAAAATATTTTATTAATCATGCTGTACAATATTGATTCTAATATTCAGACGTTTTCTTATAGTAAATGGTAAAAACTGTACATGTTTAACGTTTTTATATGAATTTTCTAAAATAGTTAAAAGTGGTCTTACTATTTCTTTAAATGTTTAAATGCCGCTAGGGATTTTGTATCTTAACAAATTACAGAAATATAGTAGCGATATTTAGAATCAAAAGAAAGAGTAAAGACGAGAATCATTTTATTTTTCGGCCATGACTGTATACTTACAATTCCTATGCTTAGCAGTATGTTTATTTGTAGGACTGGATGGATCTGAAGGACCAGCTTTATTCACAGCTCGGACTCTCCACTCATAGACTTGTCCTTCACGTAGTCCTTCTACTTTACAGCAGCATTCAGAACCTTTACACAGATCAAATATAATATACCAGCGTTGCCCAGGGTATTCATATTTACTCCCGCCGTTTACCCGTGCTTGATCTTAAATTACGAGTATAGCTAATTTTCCCTTAAAAAGTGAACCCTCTCGATTTAGAAACTCAAAACAAAGTTAAGAATATTTCCAAGGTTTTCCCGAGTTCCCCAATCAAAATTTGAGGCAATTCGGTCATGGGGTTCCTGAGTTATAATCGGACAAACAAATCAACTGTATTCAATTATAAGATTAAAAATTAAAAAATAATAAATTGTTTAAAGTCTAAATCATATTTTCCCTTCTGCTCGACCGTGTAGTGAGTGACCGGGCGGCCGCCATCTTGAACCGGCGCAGTCCAGGTCAGTTCAACCAGCTCGTTGGTCCAGTCCGGGATACAAACATTCTAATAGGGTAAATTTAGTATTTATCATCATAATCATGGCCCTTATCAGCATTCTAGCTTTATAATGATATTATGATTATTTTTCTTCAGATCATCATTATAAATTTGATTAAAAAATTGATCATAATGGCCATAATGATCATCGTGATGGTATCATTATAATTATCATCATTATCATCATTATCATCATAATCATCATTATCATCATGATCATCATTAACATAATTATCACCATATTCATCATATTCATCAATATAATCATTATCATCATTATCATCATTATCATCATTATCATCATTTTCATCATTATCATCATTATCATTATCAAGTTTGCTAACTTATCTGTTTCTGCAAAATAATTAATCTTCATTATTAAAATAAAGTTAAAAAAAAAAGATTGTCGAGTAAAAAACCAAAAAAGATTCAGCTAAAAAGAATAAATTCAGTAGAATTTGAAAAATTGCATTTCACAGTTTTAAACCCATAAATGAAGGAGATATGGGGGGCGCGGTGAAAGAGTATTACAATCTTTAAGGAATGTTAAAAAGTCACCAATCAAATTGTATTTTTATCTTGTCTGAAGAAAGTATGTGGAATATTTTGATTATTTTTTTTATTTTCTTATTTTCTCAGCTTAATGAACGCCATAAAACACATTTCTTACAAGTTTTCAAAAAAAATTTATTTAAGACGTAGTTTTAACATTTTTAATTTGAAATCTAAGTAAAGGGTTAACCACAGAGGATGAGACTGTAAAGACGACCTGAAAATCTTTAAATTAAGTCTTCTGACTTGAATAATGTCTTTTGATGGCCTGTTTATGGACATGGCAACGAAAAAACCAGTTTACAGTTGCAGAATTCTAAGGAAATATAAGGAAATAGATAGTATAAATTCTGTACAGTCGTCTCTGAAGTCTCATTCTTTGCGGGTCTTATTTCATGATTTATCCAAGTCAGCTCATGAAGAAAGAAAAAACAGGCACACCTTGATAATAATGAATTAAAATGAGGACAATATGTTTATTGTGATAATACATAAACATTATCTTACACAGGATGAAGGATTCTAGATTAATAGATCTTGGCAATACTCATAAATTATATTTATAAAAACAATTATCAATGTTTGTTCACATCAACCCCTACAATCAAAGAGAATAGAATTTATTTTAGAGGGGAATTTACTAGAAAAAAGTGTAAAACGGCCATTTTGTTGTACTGTTTCCATACTGCAGGTATACTTCACATATTTTTGCTATATAACCTTTTGGGCCCTGGAATATCATTTTATAGAAAATCTAAAATTATTGTTAAAAGAAAACCAAAATATGAAATAGGCGGGTTTATAATTGACCAATGATCACTTCACATAGACTCTATGCATTTCACTTTACAAACGATGATTTTTCGTTATAACTATAAATCAAATGATGTTTTTTATTCACCTAATTCATTATAAAGTTTATTTAACAGTTTTAAAAATTCGAAATTGAAATGAATAGTCTAGGGAACATACTGTATTCATGTACACTTTGAACTCCCTTTCAGGCTGAAAGGGACTGAAAAAATTCATACCGAGAGATTCTTTAAATTCCCCTTTAATATACATTCTATTCTCTTTGCCTACAATGCCGTTAAAAATAAAAAATCAAGTTTTTATCTGAAAAATAACTTCTTTTCTTATAAAAAATTTCATTTCTAATAAAAAAGACAAATATCCAATCCAAGTTTACTGTCATTGGAGTAAAATGTACTGCATTTTACCCTTGGTGGTAGTATAATTTGTGCTGTATGATTGTTTACATTACTGTGGTGGGTCTGATACAGTATAGTGTACTGCATGTTTGTTTACAATTACCTGTGGTGGATCTGGAACAGTATACGGGTTGACCGCTTTAACAGCATCCTCAGATTCCAAAGGGTCAGATTCACCCTCACTATTCACAGCCTTCACCCTAGACAGTGTTTAGGTATTAATGGGTCCGATCATTAATATTGTGGCATTTCTGATTCACAACGATACCCTTTAAACCTTTTCCTGATCAAGGATTAGTGAGATATCCTTATTTTCTCGTTGAAAATTTATTAGTTTTAATTGTGGATTCTCAAAAAAAGAGACTGCAGAATCGATCGAGGTAATTGTCACAATTAAAATTTTTTAATAAGCTGGAAAAACAACGACATATTCGGCATCATTGAACAGATAGAAGTTTAAATAGTTTAAATGTCATTTTTATTTTCATGCTAGTATTACAGTTTTGCCTCATTCCATTCCATCCTAGAGTAAGACCCTACGACATTTAAAAACTAACCTGAACTTGTAGGTTTTCCCTGGGGTTAATCCGTCCACAGTAGTTTCAGTAGTGTCGGCATCTACCTCGGCACAGGGAACCCACCTTCAAACAAAGACGACATTCAAAACAAGCTGTGGACTTTTCAAATTTCAGTCACGGTAAACTAGAGTTTTGGTTAAAAGTCTAGTGAGTCTTGATTTAAGAACACAATTTTACCCATTAAATGTAGATTGCCGTATTTACTTGTTTTTACTTTTTAGTTCGGTCATGTATTTAAATCTGTTCAGGTTTTTTACGAGTTTTGATTAGAAGATAAAATGATTCTAAAAATTGTCCAATTCTTTTCAGTTATCAAGACAGGCTGTGGAAAGAAAATTCACTGGAATTTTTAAAGGAAAATTTGATTTTTTGGTGATCAAGGAATAATTGGGACAGTTTTTCTCTTGTTGTATTTGAATAATACTTACCGGCCAGTGTCAACGTCCATTTTTTCAATGATATATTTTGTGACAGGAACTCCACCATCAGATTCTGGTTTATGCCAACCAACCTTGGTTCTCTTTGCTCGCACTTCAGTTATCTAACAAGAATAAAGACATTGAGAACAATTAATAAAAAGAAAAATGTACAGGGTGTCCCACAAACATACACCATTATTATCCAGATCAATCTGCAGGATGTCCTGAAGTTCTCAGAACAAAAATAAAAATTAGAAAATAATTCTAAAGAGCCCCATACAACTTTGATACACAAGTTACAATGTTGAGTAACTGTATGCGTTAAATACTCAACTTTTACATGAGACACAGCAATCGTGCAGTTTTTAAGCTATTGGTATTGTCGTCTTCCTGTTCTACAGTTTATTGGGGATCGCTGCATTTTTTTCTTTTGTGTTTTTTTCTTTGTGTTTAAACATAAATACTGTTTAATCTTGATGTTCTAGCATGTTCCACTAATGTGACCACGACCAAATATAATTATATTTTTCTTTGGTAAATAATATTTTTGGTAGATATCAAATATAAGATCTTAGATATTTTCTTGATGTTTCCCTGGGCAATAATATGAATAATAATATACTGGAGAGCTCTTATCTTTCATGGTTCATATCAGAGCAATAAAAACCTAATCAAATAGTTCACTGCATTGTGAACTAGGGCTGGCCACGTTTAGACTTTTTCAAGCCGATCGTTATCGGTTAATTGAAATGGGTAACCTTTACTTACTTTTCAGATAATAGCCGTTCGTACTGAAGCAGGAAACAATGTGGAGAGAGAAGCATGAAAACAATTCTTGAACGGATAGAATTTTTTTCTTTTTTTCTAATACTTTAATAATCTGCGGTCTGTATACCGCAGTAATTTGCAGTACACTTACCGAAGTAATTTGCATTACACTGACCGAAGTCATTTGCAGTACACTGACCGCAGTAATTTGCAGTACACTTACCGAAGTAATTTGCAGTACACTGACCGCAGTATTTTGCAGTACACTGACCGAAGTTATATTTGCAGTACAGTGATCGAGGATATATATATTTGTAGTACACTGACCGAAGATATATTTGTAGTACACTGACTGAAGATATATTTGCAGTACACTGACCGAAGATATAGGGGAATTTAACAGAGAGTGAGCTACAGAGCGTTCCATATAATATTAGATTATCTCCAATCTTTAACGCCAAAATACGCACATAATACTTGAAAAATCTAGCAATTTATGCAAAAAAAATTCTATTAACATTATTAACGGTTTCAAAATTTTTTAATTCTTCTTAAATATTCTGATTTGTCCCGCAAATCGTAATTTAGACCCATTGACACGGTCTAATTTGATGTGGGACACCCTGTAGAGTAAGCTGTACACTAACAGTACAAAGACAGGCTACAAAAGGCAAAACTTGGCAGTAGACCAATTGAATTATCTCCCTCTATTGGAATTCATGTGATATATACTCCAAGAATATCTGGTACTTTATGTTGAAGTGTGATCCTCACGGATACCAATAAAATAGATAAAAAGAACCAAAATTGCCGAATTATTCACTCGCAGAGGAAATCCTACTTTTGGATTATTTTAAAAATATCATTCTGAAGCTTGGTTTTTAAACTCTTAGCTTTACTTTCATGTTTTAAATTAATTGCCATTTAGGGTTTGAAATTTAGAAAAATTATTTACCATTATTATTTTCTATTTCAATAGTTGGTCCTATTAATAGAAGACTGTTGTTCTCAAGTTTTAATTTAAATAGTCCCAATGAATATTTATACAGCAATCGTACATTGCACAAAGGCCCATTTCACTAAATAAGCTTATTTATAGCTACTCTCGACATTGAATACAATTAAGATATCTTAAATGTCGTCTTCTTATATCATATATCACATTGTATAGGAGACCATCCCTTTAGATTGTTTTTAGACTTTGATAAATTGAATTAATGGAAGGAAATCTTTTATCCTGTTTTTATTAGACAACATTCTGCACAGGGCTATTTATTTACAAAACCAAAAACTACCAGAAAGGTTCAAGTAAGAATAATTTAGTAAGGATTATTTTTTGGACAACGAATAAATTATTATAAGAAAGGTGAGTTCGAATTTATAGTAGACAGTTTGACGTATCAAAAGTTCGAATATAGTTCAAAGTGAAAATATCTTAGGGCTTCTCATTGACTGGATGTAAACTCACAACTTTAACAGCATGAAAGGAATGGAGTATGATATATTTCTATTATCTTGATATCCATGGATATCAAGTTTTAGCCAAATAATTACCTCAATGGGTCCAGTAGGTCTTGATGGTCGGCCCAGTACCACACCATCAGCTGATGTTTCACATTCTCCGCTGTCATTGGTCAATACCAACCTAAAACAGATCAATCCTGTACTCTCATTGGTCAATACAATTCTGAAAACCAAACCAAACTAAAATAAGTATTTGCGGATTTTCAAATCTAAATGTGCTGACCTGTATTTCCCAGTATCAGCTCTACAAGTTCTTCTAACGGTTAGCACAGTATTCCTTTGATATTTGTCAACAGTCACTCTTAAATAGTAAACGTTTTTAAATATAAATTAATCAAAAGGTTATCGATATTCAAAACTGGATTTACACAATGTTTTTGAGAGAATTCTAACAGTGCAGAAAAGTGGAATTATAAAAGTTAGTCAAACATGCAATTTAAAGAATCTAAGTTGTTAAAAATTAACTTTTTTTGTGGAAGTAGCTCCAACATTTTTTTACTTGAAAGGAGATTAAAAACCAAGATGAAACATGTTTCATATGAATTATCTCTTTTAGACAAAAAATATAAATGATCGACATTCATGTATTTAAGGTTTTGTACACGTGCACGGTGCATGCAATTAAAGATGTATCTGTTGAAGGGGGGGGGGGGAGTTAAAATATTACTTAATATTTTGTTTTGTTTTTGAAGATACTTTTTTATTAATTTTAATCAGTTCCTAAATCAACTTTACCCCCACTACCCCCTTCCAAAGTTTTAATTACACACAGACAGTTTTAATTAGAAAGTTGTATCCAAGAGCCCACTTTGATCCTTTAATTATGTATAATTATGTTTAATTTTGTTAAATTTGTTTAATGTTTTGAGCAAGTTTTACATTAAGCTTTCAATCTTTTACACTTTATTTTGATTCTTTTGAAACTTTACAAACTAACAAACTAAACGTTATTTAAAATCACAAATTCCAAGATGCTAAAAGACGTTTGAATTAATTAATAAAAAAAACATAATAAGAACAAAGTTTTAATTTATTTTTTACATTAGTTAAAAAGTGTATGGAATAAAAACATGAATTATAAGTTCTTCTTTTAAATCATACCTTTGTCTTGTACTGGTGTCTAAACTGTAATAAAAATAACAAATATTTAAAAAATTCAAAATTCACACAAAATATAAAATATATATGTACAAGGAGAAAAACAGCAATTTATGTACATTAAAAAATATCTTTACAGAAGCTCAAAAATAGCAGAAAATTGTTTACCTTTCATCGGTTTTAATCTCTTGGTCGTTAAAGAACCATTTAACTTCTGGATCAGGTTCCCCGCCATATTTGATATCCCAGCTGATTACTTTCCCGCATTTTACAACAACGTCCACCATCTTGTCTCCGATAATAAAGGGCCTGAATTTGCGAAATTTTTATCAAAGTTTCATTGTGTATTTTCGAATCCCAAACTAGAATTATATGTACTCCTATACAATTCAGGGTTCAGTCGTTGATTATAAATGTGATATAGTTTTATTTGAAATCTAAATTGTCTTGAATTGAACTCACTTAACAAATCTGCTCTTGCATGTGACAAGTTTACTTGGTTCACTTGGCGCACCTTCTCCTGCTTTGTTTACTGCTTTCACTCTGGAAAAAATGTTAGAAATAAATCCAGGTTTTCATACAGTGGACACCATACCCCTTTAGGAATAAGAAGACGACTATGAGACTTAAATTATGATTCGAAATAGTTCAATAATCAATTTCACTTAATAAGTTAAATGCATGTAATGTCGTCTTCCTATTTCACAGTTTTATCGATTTTCTGTGAGAAAAAAAAGAAAATGTGACGAAAAAATATTTTTACCTGAATTCAAACTGCTTTCCTTCAAGAACATCGGTTACTCTGGTTTTCAGGTCAGCGGAGTCGGTCATGTGACATTTCACCCAGTCCTTACCAAACTTTTCCTTTCGTTCTGAAATAAAACTTATTAGATTTAAGAAATGCATAATTTGGATAATGAAAAACAAAAGTAGTTTTTGACTAAAATTCTGTTAATTTTTCAAAAACTTTTTCATGGACGCATTGACAAAAGCTGAATAAAAAGTAAAAAAAGAAGAGCATGATAATATTGATATCTCAGAACTTAATTTGATGATTAAATCTATTGAGCCAGAATTAAAAGTTTAAACCAATAAGTGTTACAAGGTCTAAAATATCAGGTTCTAAAAATACTTAGGCATTAGGAAAAGTAATCAGTTCCTTTAAACATGATAAATAAACCAATATGTTCATGTCTAACCTATAATATATTTCAGAATAGGTGCTCCTCCATCTTTTTGTGGAGCCTCCCAGCTTAGATCAACATAATCCTTATCCCAGTCTAGCACCTCAATATTCAGAGGAGGGCCTGGCACATCTAAAACAGCAACACAATAAGTTTCAATAATTATAATCATAAATCAACAATCCTGTCCAATTATTACCGAAGACAATTCGATCTTTTGGTTTACAAATGTGCAAGATTCACTTAGTTTTATCTGATCTAAAGTTTGGCAATGATATTTTACAGGGGGGGGGGATAATAATAGATTTTACAGGGGGGGGGGGTAATAATAGATTTTACAGGGGGGGGGGATAATAATAGATTTTTTGTTGTATTAGATAAACTTACCCCAAGGATCTTTAGCAAGGACAAAATCTTGAAGCTCTGCAGGTAAAGAAGTTCCAATTTTGTTTAGTGCACGAACTCTAAACCGGTATTTTTGACCATCCACGAGTTCAGTCTTAAATGTCGTCCTCCCTGCCACCGTTTCTCCAATTTCCCGCCAAATTTCTTGGTTTGGTTTGGTGTCTGCACTGCACTGCTCAATAATGTAATGTGTGATCGGGGAACCGCCATCATCCTTGTAAAAATATATTTTTTTAAATCGCAAATTAATTATTTTATGTAATAAGTCGATATGCCTAAAGTTTCTGCAATGGTCTTTCTTGCTCTTAGGTCATGATGTGACATGTTTTCATATAAATATAACACAGATATAACAAATTATAACTTCATAGAATCTAATCAAATAAGTAATTAATTGAATAAAGAATCAAAGAAACTGAATCGAGAAACATCCAATATAATTAAGAACGTGTCTTCACCACACATAAACATCATTAAGAAAGAAAGAGTTCCAATAATTGTAGAATCAAAACAGTGAAAGATAAACACTTAGTGATCTCTGCTCTGCAATAGAAGATACAGGCCTATCCCACAATGTATGAGTCTTTAGAGACGGATGTACAGAAATTTCTTGTTTCTTTTTTTCAAAGATTTTTCTACCCACGCCACAAAAAATATTTACCGAACTTGAGCTTTCGGGGAAAATATATTACATTCATTAATGAAAAACAACAAATGTTGCTATTTTGATATTATCATCAATTGTTTAATCTATCGAAATTTTATTTATTTGTTAGATATAGTTAACATTTTGTTACCTGTGGTTCTTCCCAGCGAAGATTACAGAATGTTGCATGGATATCGGAGACAGACACACCCAATGGAGGGCTGGGCACGTCTAAATGCACAATTAGATAATTATTTCTATCTAAAAAATGAATTTTGTTAAAAATATCATTATTTTATACTTTTTACTTACCCAGGAAATTGACCATAAAGTCTTTAGCTGTTGATCCACCCTCATTAGTAAATACAACAGTGTATCTGATAGATAATCATTTAACACATTTTATTCAATTTTGAAAGATTTTTCTACCGCATTTTTACTCACAATTTCATGATCTTGGGTTTACAAAGTTTCTTATTTGTTCCAAAGCAAATGAGTAAAAGGCAAGTTTCCCTTTTTATTTCGCTGATTTTGATAAAAATAATCGCACATTTTTTTGAAACTCGAAATGAAGAAGCTTAGATTTTCAACTGTTTTGGGTTATCATTTGGGAAATTATTTTTTTTTGTTGGGATTTTTATCTTTTTGTTTGTTTTCTGTTTAAATTCGAGAATTTTAATCACTCATTACGTTCCGGACTACAAATCTTGAATTTAAACCTTTAACAAACAAACAAATTTAAATCCTAACCAAAAAACATATTTTCTCGCATGACAGTTATACATAAATAGAAAATACTGCTTCTTAATTTTTAATTAAATAATTTAAAAATATTTTATGAATTTTAAATCTTAGAGATTTCTTCATATTTGAAAAGTTTTAAGAAAGATAGTTCTTACAAAATTCGCCGTTAATTTGGTGCAACAGATTTATGTTTATTCTCAAAACAGAAACTTTATGGAAAATAAATTGAAATTTTTTTTTACGATAAATTTATACAATTATAATTTTTTGTGAACACTTCCTTTAAAACTTTTAGTATTTTAAAATTTTTATTTGAGTTGAATGAGAATCTTCCCTGCCAGAACGTGGTCTGAACGGTTTCTTGAAGTTGAATGAGAAGTTATCCCCGTCTTGTTCCAATGTGTACTGATCCAGCGGTATATCGACACCAGCGCCATCTCGTATTATGCCCACTAAACTGCCCCCACCACCCTGTCGAGCTACAATGTTGATGAACATGTCTTGGTTGTTCATTTTATACACAACACCGTACACAAGTTCAGTGCAATGTGTATAGAACACATGATTGCAGTACAGAACATGTGATAACGGTTTAAAGAAAGGGTCAGAAGTAAACAATGGACAAATACTGTGTCTTTTAACAGTATTGGTAAAAAAGTCAGATTTGCAACATATAAATGTAAAACTGCATAATACTCTATGAGTACAAAACAATATAGATCAGTGTACTTGTACTTGTTGTATGTCACAGTCACAATAATCATAACAATATCATTAAGAAACATTTTAATTGACATTTTTATCAAAACTTACCTACATTTCATAAATTTGACTGAACATTTTTGAATTTTTTGAAGATGACTTTTTAGAACATTGATAATTTTAAATGACCCAATTTTTATATGAATTTAAAAAAATTACCTTTGGCCTTGACCTTGACCTTTCCCCCATCAGCATCTTGGTCTCCAGCATCAACATCAGGGGGGTCTAGGGTACGGTGCAAACGTTTTTCACATGACCACAGGGGAAGGTTTGTGGAGAATCAAAATTTTAAAAAGTAGCCTCCAACAAAATTTTGAAAATCTACCAAATTAAATTTTGAAAATCCACTAAATTTTTACAAAGAGAAAATGTTCACAATTGAAATAGAAGATGGGTGCAAGAAAGCCTATTTTTTTTATTTGACTGTAACACTGGTAACGTAGGTTTGTTACTACCTTTCATTAATGAATGGTTGTTTTTATCCTTCTTCAAAAATCAAACGCCCTATCTTTGTTAATGAAACAACAAAATAAAACCAAAACTAAATTAATTAAACTCCCCTTTCTTTCATTGATTCATAAAGACATGCAAAATAAAATTAATTGTTAATTAAAAAAAAACTCAAAACAATTCTCCTAAAATGATCTTGTAAAAATATAATTTAAAAACAAATTTGGATTGTCATGGTTTTTATACAATGGAACGAAGGGAAAACGGATTTTTGAATTTTAACAAGCTTAATCCCTAACTTCAGTATTTATTTTTAGTCTTGCTTATTTAGCTCTTTATAAAGTTAATGCCAGATTATGTGACTAAATTTAACCCGTAGTAGTTTATTTTTGTAATAACCAGCTGCTTATCTCTTATCCCTGTAAACATATTAGACAGCTTTAACTTTAAGTCCCCAATTAAATTATTTTAAACCCTTTTTAAAACTTTTTCCGAAAATAATAAAACATTTTTTCTAAATATATGTCTGTAATCACCTCTCTTATTGACCATAAGCTGCGCTGAGGTCTCGTTTTGACCAACACAGGTACAGGTCACCACGCCGGTATCGGTCAAACGAGCGTGCAAGATAATAATCTTATGTACACCCTTGTCAAGCTTCTTGATCTGAATCCTAGAACAAACATTGTTAGAAATGTGTAGAAAATCCTATTAAAATTAACGAAAACGAAAGTCTACACCTGGCCTCTGTGAGAATTTTTTAACACTAATTTCTCATTATTAAAGTGATATAAAACTGGTCGCTTCTGATCGGTTAAAAAAACAGTGATATCAAAGCACTTGAGTCTTTGCCACTTAAAAATAGAGGAATTTCTAATTTCCATAAAAAGAGAAGGGAATTTTTGAATTTCCTTAAAAGATAAGGGAATTTTGTAATTTCCTTAAAAAGATAAGGGAATTTTCTAATTTCCTTAAAAAGATAAGGGAATTTTGTAATTTCCTTAAAAAGAGAAGGGAACTTTGTAGTTTACAACAGTTTAGTGAGCGGTAGATTTGTCAAACTCAACTGGAAGAAATTTACACGTTATCATAATTTTAACACTGAGGATAAAAATAGTAAAAGAGAAACATGATTTATGTCTGTTTGGATAAAGGATATAATATTTCAAACTTGTTCTATTACAGAATTTTATAGTTTGAAATATCTAACCTAACGTCAACGACATTGGGTAGCAACTTGAAAGATGTAGGGATGAGAAAATCATAGTTTGTGAGAAGGATTCATATTCCATAGTTCGTTGCAGTTCGTTGATCATAGTGCAACAGAGTTAAGGATATCTAATCTACAGGGTTACCCACACAGGATGAAACTTTAATGCGGACACCTGGAACTCATTAAATATAACAATCTGAAGATTGAATTATATTTCTCTGAAATGTAGTCTTTCAATTGTATACTAATCAACTTAGCCACGAAAGAAATTTTACAGTTTCAGGGACATTTTAGTGTGAAAAAATGATGGAAAAATGTCCGTTCAGTGATCTCTGAAGTCATTTCCTATGTGGGTAACCCTGTATTCCCTATCTATCTATCTATCTATCTATGTATTGTAATTCTTAAAGTCTTACCTGTCATTTTCTTTGACAACTTCTCCAGCAATTTTCCACTCTGCCTCTGCCTCTGGATCTCCCATCTGGCATTCGAAGATTACTTGATCCTTCTCCTGGCAGGTTTGGTCCTCCAGGGGTTTCAAGAACTTGTTCTCCGGGACCACACGGAGCTTACACTCCGTCTCATCCTGGTTCGTCTTGGCGGTAAATCGACCTTCAGCCCCAAGCGGGCAATCGGTGATGACAAGTTTACGCTCGCGGACATCGTCAACGAACTTGATGTGATCGAACCAGTCGGGGTAGCCCTTGATGATCTCAATATCTTCAAAATACCAGGTCACATCCGCCTCTTCGATGTCAACCTGTAAAATTTCAAAAATATATACAAAATTGTTTGAAAAATTAAAGAATAAAAAAACTTTTAAATACATTTTTTTCATTTTTCATTTCTTGTTTGAGATAAATTGACTGAGTTATCACACTTTGTCTTTCTTAAAATAGATAACTTTCCATAGCGGATTTAAGTAGTAGGAGATAAAGCTGAAAGTAGTCAGGGTACAATTGAGAATCGGAAATCCAACATTAGATAACTCTTTAAAATTATGTCCACAGTCCCTTTAAAGTATATTGAGAGAGAATTGAATTTTCTTTTCTACATTAGTGTTGAAAGTTGTAGAAGAGAAGTAAAGTTGATTACATTGATTAATTAACAGTGCAGTAAAAGTTGGCACTAATCTCATAAATCGCTCAAATTAATGTCTAGGCCATTAGAAGGGAAATAAAGAGTTAACATTAACATTATTCTCAATCTTAAAGGGACTGTATACGAAATTTCCTCAGTCCTAAAGGGACTGTTTACGAAATTTAAACCCTTTATGTGTAGAGGGTTATGTCCGGTAACCTTCACACTAAATAATGTGGAAGATCGTCGTTTTAACTTGAAAAGTGCTTCTGAAATGCATAATTTATTTTAGAAAAACCGCCATGAAATAAATTTATTTTTGCATTTTTGGTCAGATAAAACATTTTGGAAATCGTTCATGTGTTAATGGAGAGTAACTTTAAAATACGCCTACATTCCCTTTAATAGGAAGATAAATAGTTTACATTAACAGTTTTCTTAGACCTTGATAAGTTAATTTAACTCTTTATTATTATTTAGTTAGAGCTGGGCGAGTTTTCATTCTTAATTTCAAAAAAGAAAAAAATGTTTTAAAACTAATTTAATACATTTTTTTTTACTGAAATCGGAAGAGTTCATTCAGTAAAACTGAGTTCTTTTTCGACTTTCGATGCACATTTCTATGCACATTTCTATGCACATTTCGATACCCATTTCTATTCACATTTAGATACCCATTTCTATAAAACATTCCAACAAACAATAACTTGCCAATAGAGATATTAGTTAGAATTGAATTGAAAAAAACTTATGCTTTTCTGTATTTTTAAAAAATGATTAAATAATAATATTGATTTAATGATAGGTTTATTGAATGCTTAAAAATGTTATTAAAACAATTAACTAATTGATTTGTATTATTGATGAATAATTGATTAATTGATTGAAGGTTTCATTAATTGATTAACTGAGTGATACAAGTATTAATCAACTAACTAATTATTTAACTGATTTGTTGACTCACTATAGTTTCAGTAGAAGTAAATATTTCCATTTACTGATAGCGCCGATTGAAGGATTCATATAATTGGTTAATGAGAAAGATAGAAAGATAGATGTTACCACCATACAATATCTATTGGTTTAGAATAGACAACAAACACATGACTAACCCTGATTGGATCAGGCACTATTGGATTCGGCATAATTGATTTTTTAAATAATTATATCATTGAGCGATTAAGTGACTAATTATTAGATTGATTAATTAACTTATTACTTCATGAGTCATTAAAAGATTGATTGATGAACTGATTATTTAATCAGCTGATTTGTTGAATTGTTGAATAAAAGAATGAATAATCAATTGTCTAATAAGTTAAATAATTGATTGACTGATAATTGATTGATTAATATAATAGATTAGTAATTAGTTAATTGATCAATTAACTGAGTTATTAGATAATTGATCAATTAACTAATTGATTTTATAATGAATGAATAATTGAATTATTAATTAAATACTTATTGGTTTTTCAAATGTTTTATAAATAATTGATTTATTGATTACCTGGCAGTGTAGAGTGACTTCTCTATGTTCTATTTCTCGTTTGCTCATCAGCTGTTTAGTAAAGTAGCAGGGTTGCGCTAAAATAAAGAAAATAATTAATTTCTGAAACATAACCATTTTAATTTTTGATATTTTTTAATTTTTAATTTTTGATATTTTTGATACCCTATCAGAAAAGAAAAGAAAATTATTGTAAAGTCTTAGAAATAAATATCACTGCCTAACAATTTGTTTAAGTCTAAGTGATAACAAGAAAACCTTTTCATTTGTTATCATCATTTCTGACAGTGTAATATAAGAAGTATTTTTGGTTTAAAATTTTTATGATTTTTAGTCTTTAAATGGTTAATCATCTATTATTAAGAACTACTTTACTAGCAAAATTTTCTCAAAAAGTAATTGTAAACAATTTAAATGTTTAATTTAATAAACCCTTAGAAATTCATAATCTAACTTAATTATCCCAAGAGGCAGTTAGGTAATTTAAAATAACATAACTACAGCCTCCAAAACAGAAATAATTGCTTCAACGTAAGGTTCATGTACATGCAATTAAAAATATAGCAAAGAATATAGGCACACATTCACTAATCCTAATTCTAACTTGCAGATAAGACAAAAATGTATATTATTTTTAACCTATTTCAATATATAAAGAAATGAACCTTTCTGGGCTTTTTAAAGAGAAAAAATTGCGAAATTGTTTTGAACTTACAAATTCTTTAGAAATCTATTGAATTGAATCAATTGAGGGCACTTTGAAGACACTCTAGACTTAAATAGAAAACTTTCACGTAAATCTCAATGAAGCATTTCATTCTATTCATTAAAATAGATTGAGCTGGCTGCTTCACTTTGTCCTTCTAAATAATGAATGTGTTTTGAAATTTTTTTATAGAAGTAAAAAACACCCGTATTTGGATATTAAATACAATAATTTTGAAAACATTTAGAAAAGCAATTTGGAAAGCATCGATCCAGAGAGCTCTGAAAAGTTATCAAGACTTTAAAATGTCGCAACACCATAACCTTTGATTTTACCTCACTAACTCACTTCAACTTTTTTGTAGCCTTATACATGTACATTTTACAACTCCAAAGCATTTGTTTTAACTTTAGTTTTCAAGAAGTAATTGGAAAAATTCTCATTGATATTTTCGCGAGAGCTTGCAATCTTTTGATGACTGTGCTATGCTTAAATTGTCAATAAGCATAGCACTGTACTATCCTATTTACTATATCTTTGAAACCTTATGTCCAAGACTCTTGATATTTCAAATTATGAATTATGATAGATTAAATAGTCTAAGTTTAAAAAACAAAGGTTTACACCATCAGGTTCAAAAGATACAGGGATTAGCAAATTAGATTTAAAAGTGTTCCTTCGCTTTGTAAAATTAAGAAAAGTTATTGCCAAGTCTAAAATATCATTCCATGAATGTTAATTATTGCATACTGCTTTCTTTTAATCAATTTTAGCTGTTCTGCCCCTGACATGGGTCAAAGAAAAATAATAAAAACAATCTTATTCTAATTGCAAAGTTAGTCTTAATCTCTTGATTGCAATGTAATGCACCAAAACCAATCAGAAATATACTTAAACGTTTATTATAACGATGGAATATGTTTATTATATATAATAATATAATGTATATGTACACAGGGTTGAGACTTTAGAGAGTCCATTCTATACAACTGTAAACTTGTTTCTTTCTCTTTGCTAAATCATTTAGAAAAATATTTTAGACTAATACTTAATGATTTAGGAGTTTCAGGTCGTCTGTACAGTCTAATTCTTTGTGGGTAGCTCTAGAAGCTCATAAATGTGGAATGCAGGGATAGCTTAAGGTATTCGCATGGGGGGGGGGGATGGGGCAATCTTTTTTCAAATCTTTCTTATTTTTATTTCATAATGGTATAAAATTGTTAAATTTACGTGATTTGCACAAAAAAGGCATTTTTTATTATTTAAAAAAATGCATTTATTTTTGTTTTAAGGTCTTATTTTTGTAAGGTTTTCAGAATTGTTATTGCTCTACATAGCTCTCCGCTTTCTAGGGAGAAGTCAAAAATGGACTCCCGTTGCGAAAGGGCTAAACTCCCGAAAATAAAAATAAATTAAATTTTATTACTTTAAACAGCATTTTTTGATTTACAAGAATAAAATAACTCTGAACAACTTTGTTAACAAAAATCAATCATCTTCATGAATTTAAAGTAATTCAAGTTAAATCCTGCTCAGCCTTCATCCATCTCTAGTTTATAGTGTTTAAAGGGACTGTAAACCTTCATCCATCTCTAGTTTATAGTGTTTAAAGGGACTGTAAACCTTCATCCATCTCTAGTTTATAGTGTTTAAAGGGATTGTAAACCTTCATCCATCTCTAGTTTATAGTGTTTAAAGGGACTGTTAGCGTAATGTTACGTGACCCTCCGTGCAAAGATGAAATTGTCCGATTTACAAATTACATCGGTACCCTTGAAACCTTAATGAGAATAAAAATGTGGAAGATATCGTCGTTTCTCTGACTTGAAAAGTATTTCTTCCTATTTCTTATAAACAAGAACTGCGCAAGTCACTTTGAGTAGAGACACCGCATATGCAAATAAACAGTTTAAAGAAACAAAAACATTGATATCTAATTCATACTTGATCAGACAAAGCTTTCAAGTGAACCGTTTTAAATCGGGAATTCCCATTTTTGCATGGAGGGTCACTTCAAATTACGCGTAAGTCCCTTTAACCATCTTATCTAACTTTAAATTGGCTCTACAGCCTACAGTTAACTCACTGCAGTCAATTTATCAGATTCAACAGGATTTACATGGACCCAGTGAAAATTGAGTTTTATTTCTTCGTTAAAAGTTGTTCTTTGAAAGTCTATACATAATGATGCACTAGTGAGTAAATTTATGAAAAGTTTGCAACGATTTACTTTGCACACTTTTCACTGTATCTTTACTTTAAATTGTTAGGTGGTTGTTTTAATGCTTCTTTTCAATGCTTCTTTTATATGTCTTGAATTTTCAATCAAACTGGTTACATAGTTATAACATTCAGTGTACTCAATTTGACACAATTTTCTAGTTTTAACATAGGAAAAAGAAGTTTATGCAATTTTTGAAAAGAATGATATAAAAAAAATATTATCAAGTAACAAGGTCATCATTTAATTGTTTGTACAGGGACCAAAGGAGTTGAGTTTTTGCCACAAACTCTGATTTTCTAATCTCTATATCTTAGTATTCCAATGTCGTAGACCTTAGATATTTCAAACTATTAATACTAATAGATAAAATAATCTAAGTTTGAAATATCAAAGGTTTGCACCATCAGGTTGGAAAGATATTGGTATCAGAAGATTTGAGTTTGTGGCAAAAACTCAATTCCTTTAATGCATTTGAACTGCCAACCGCCGCGCCGGTTCAAATTCGAATCACTGATTGAAATCCTTTATCAATATTTAATTCTAAATCAGTGGCTCAAATTTGAACCGGCAGTAGGTAGTTTGCAGCGACGTAGCTCAAATTCATTGAATTTTATCCCTGGCTCTTTACTTTACATTTTATTTTTTGTTCGAGTGATAAAAAAGTATCTTTAACAATGGAGTACACTACAAGTATGTTTGAAAATGTTTTTATGTTAGATTTTATAAAAACTCTATTATTCCGAAGTATTTTTGGAGAACCCGGAGTCATTTCACTTTTATCTTTATTTTTATATTCAAGGTAGTCTTTTACTTTTTACCTTCGTATTAAAAGTTTGCTCGAAAACCTATTTCCTCTCCTATATTATTATATCAGATAAATGTAACCTGAGAATTTCTAGAATTTTTACTAAACTATACAATATGTACAGATAGTGATTATTGTACGGTTAACGTTGTTGTCTATGTACAGTGTGAATTTAGTATGTAGTGTACAACTATACATGGGTAATGTTCAAATCTGACTTTTCAAACTTGATTAGTAAAAAAAATGAGGAAAAAGGTTAGAATTTTGTTCATCCATGCAGAAGTATTCAATTGATATTTTTTTTAGGCATGCAAAATGAAAAAATGAGAAGTAGGTTTTTTTTGTAGAAAGGTAACAAATAAACCATGCCCATTGTACCTTTAAGAACAAATTCTGTTTTGGTAAAACAATTTTTTTCTTTCTCTCGACCAGCAATTCTGCAGTGATATTTCGCCATGTGGTGTTTTTGCGGATTTTTAATTGTGAGCTTACAGATTCCCATAATGTCTTTGTCAATTTCAAAATCACTATCTGTCTCTAATATTTCTTTGTCATCCTATTGGTTTAAAACCTCAATATCGACACCAAGACAAACAAAAGAAAAAATGCTAAAATTGAAAAAAATTTAATTTTTTAGATATTGAGGTTTATTTTTATATTCCTTCCACCAGCGTACACTAGCTTTATAGCTGTTGAGCGTACACTGCATTGAAATCTCTTCCCCAGGTAGACTTGAATACTGCTTAGCAAGCTTTTTTGTAAAGTGATAGTCGGGAGGAGCCTCTGAAATGTTTATTTTTTAATTCGCCATTTTTGCGGAGTCCGCAATTTGAAAAATCCGGGAAAAAAAGACTCAGGTCTAAGCTGTCATCGAGACTAATTTACGACTCGAGATTTTGGATCCAAGTTGGAACTAATTTTCCAAAGGGTAGAGACAGGTTTAATTTTGTATTTGGCGGATTTACATGGTTGTGAAAAAGAAAATTCTACGCATGAAGTTTTGTAAATAAATCTTTTGTTGCAAAGAAAAATAACAAAAGGCCCCTGAGGGAAAATTCAGTAAGGGGGGAGGGGTTTCTTCTATAATTTATGACTCTGCAGAATCAGATGAAAAACATAATTCTTGTAAAATAGAAATGGGATTGGGGTGTGAAATGTAAAAACTGTAGAAATGTTAAAAACTGTAGTCGTCGTCGTATATATCAATACAATGAAGACGACTTTAGATTTTTAACTTTTTAAGCTTTAAACTGCATAGATACAAATTAAAATGGAAACAAAGAGAAGCTATCAATTGGCAGCTTCTCTTGACATTTGAAAAAAGTTTGTTAGAAATCAAAACTTAAAAAGAAAAGTCGTCTTCACTGTATTGATATAAAAGCCGACCACTATATATCTGTAAAAAACTTCAAATCTGTAAAACAAGAAAGCCTCGGTTTTGTTGAGGTTTATCACGTAGATAAAACATTAGGAAGAAAAATGTCATAAAAGTCTCTTCCTTAAATGTGGCGGTTTGAAAAAAAAATGTCAAGAATGACTTACCCTCTACGTCTAAATATGAAGCTGTTGTGATACCACCGATATCACACACATATTTTCCCATATCCTAGAATATATTCAGAATTAAAAAGATCGTCTGGAAAATTGAAATGGGTATGGATAGATGGATGAATGGATAAATGGACAAATGAATAAATGGCATCTAAAGCTTAATAGTTCTGCGGGGTATATATTTATTTTCAATTAATATAACCTCCCTCCTGATTTTGTCACTGAAATGGGATAAATCAAATTTTTATTTAAAGAATCAGAATGACGAAAAACTGCTGATTAAAAAATAACCCATTTGTGAGATGTGAGTTGGGAAAGTGAGTCCTTAAACTGACCTTATGCATTGGTTTGCTAATCGTTAGCTGATGTACGGTAAGTTGACCGTCTTCATCCTCCAGCTGTTCAATCTTATAGCGTGGGCCCTGGAAGAGCTCCTGAACAAAATAAAATGTTATTCTCTGGGCCCTAGAAAAGCTTTAAACTAAATTCTTTAAATAGCCTAGGCTTTGAAACAGAAGCTATTTGACAAATAATAAATAAACTGATTTAAGTTCTTTATTAAATAAACGAGCTGAGAGTTTGCCCAAATTCTGAGTTGTTAATTATTATATTTTTTAAACCTTTATTAATTGACACTATGAATTCTGTCAGTTTGAAATATTAAAGGTTTACACCATAGGTTGCAAAGATATCGGGAATATAAAATTTAAGTTTGTTGCAAAGCTTAATTAATTTGACATATTTAGAAAGCACAATTATTTTTATTAAATGAAGTATATGTGATTAATGGTCAATTTAAATATTTCAATATTTACACTCTTTTAAAAACCATAACTTAGTTCAATTTTAACATATTTGAAGAATTCCTTTTAATTAAATTCTTAATTTTCTTTGCAATACATTATCTATAAATTCAAATTCTAAATTGTAAAGAATGGACACACAATTTATTTAACCATGATAAAAGACCAACTCTGTTTTTAAATCCATTATATCTTTGCAACCTGATGTTGAATTCTCTTTGATTACAGTAGCACAGTTTGAAATGTAAAAAAGATTTACGCATCAAAGATTTAGAGATTTGAAAAGTAGAGTTTATGCAAAATGTTCACTTTTTATCTAATTATTTTGCAGAATTTTTGTATTTTTACAAGATTAGATGAACGCAGGGTTAAGATTGTTCTACGAGCAAAGTTAATCCAACTTTTAATAAAACTTTATATTTGAAGTATATGTTCTTCATGCTCTTTAAGGGACTAGTGTAGTAATTTCCGAAATATTAAACAGATGTTCTCTTGAAATTACGACTTATTTACCTCTGGTCTGTACATCTAAAAAATATAATGTTTGAAACAAAGCAAATTCTAAATGAAGATAAACTGTGCTAAATTTTGAACTAATAAATAAATAGTAAATAACTTAAAATGATTTTTATAGATTTCTTGAAGAACACAATGAAATCAAAAAACCTTCAATATCTGTCAGAAAACTACTTCTACTACTACAACTATCAATCACGTGATTTACCACTTACACTATGGAGCCCAGGGGCCGGGGGTGGGGTTGGGGTTGGGGGGGCATAATAACATTTTTTTATGGCTTTTGGACGGCATACATAAATAAATTTATGTACATATTCAAACATAAGTGTACTGTTTCTCTACTCTACATCTAAAATTGAAAATTAACTTACTTCACGCTTATAAGTCCACTTTGCTTTTTGGTTCTCTTTACTGAACTGGCATTGGAATACAACCTAAACAATTTCAAGATATTTTAAAGAAGGTGATTCTTCAACTCAAAATCTATTTTTTTATTCTTAAAATTTGAAGACCTTTGATATCTAAAGTGTTAATTCTGCTGAATAGCATCAGATTAAAAAACCAGAATTTAAGTATAGAGAGTAATCAGTTCCAAGGTTATTAAATAATTTTCTCATACATACAGTCCTCGTCGGTTGTATAAATACAATGAAGACGACTTCCTATTTCAGTTTTTGATTTCAATTTTTAAAAATAAACGCCAACACTGTACTTAAGAAGTCAAGGGCGTACACAGAAATTAATCTAGGGGGGGGCAAATATTCGCGAAGTAGGCATTCCCCCCCCCCCTAGGAGCTCCTAAGGGGTGGGGGGAGGCAAAATTTTATTGTAAATTCAAAACATTTGGCTTCTTGGTTATTACCTTGCCGGCCAAGTACTACAGTGAAACCCTTAATAACGAATACATCGGAAGAATTTATCAAATGTCGTCTTGACAATTATTCAATGAGTTTTATACTATATTACGTAAATTTCAGTATTTGCGAAAATAAATAAATAGCCATGAATATGCGGGAACAGTTTTAAAGAGTTCCATATAATCATTTAATTAAAAAACTAAATATCTGCAACATTCCATTATCAGAAAGTGAAGAATACGACATTCGATGAATTCTTTCGATGTATTCGTTATTACGGGTTTCACTGTACTTTATCTCTCCTTCAAACAAAACTAGCAGAAAAAAAACAGCAACTAATTTGTTATGCTCTTCACTCTTTAGTTTCAGATTTAAAAAGTGTGATAGCTCTGAGTTCGGGGGCGGGGGGGGGGGTGGCCCTGCCCCCTTACCCTTCCCCCCTCTCTGTGTACGCCATTGTAAGAAGTAGATGATACCTTAAATAAAATGAAATATCGTAGTGCTGAATATCAAACTATAGTATTTTTATTCACGTTAAAAGAACATTTGAAACTTTTAACTTAACAAATATTTTCTATTGTTCTCTTATCTTTAATTTTATAAATGACAGTGCAAAACCAACTAAACAGAATTAGAGGGTCGATATGATGCGACATTACTAGAACGCATTGTATTAGAAATCTAAAATATTTTTTTTCTTATCAATAGTTCTTCAATAGAAGGCGTTATTTCTAAAAACATGATTCAATCTAACTCCAAATTAACTTTAGTTTTACGTAAATGATATGCAAAGTTGTCTTGGTTATATTGTTATGTTATACCTTCTTATCTTCAATTTCTTTAATAGTTTTGTCCCTGAGTGGAATAACCCATTCCTCTGGCTTCTAAAATAAAAATTAGGAGGTTAATAAGTTTTCTTAACTAGGCTAAATTAATAGTTTTATTGGTGTACACAAATATATTACGTAAACTTTAGATCGTGACATAACCATTCAGATATGATATTAAACTGACTTTCAAAATATTTGAAAAAAATCTAAATGTTTTTTGCCACTTTTTGTCACATTTTCTCATGCTCGAAATTTATTTTTTCCGTTTAAAAATGTGTTATTATTATTATTTTTTTTTAGCAACTAGTTCTGTTTCCTGATTACACATTTTAACATTAATACATTAAATAATGCTGGAAAAATCAAATTTTTGGACAAGAAATCAATTTGATTTTTCCGTTTACAGTTAACAATTTTATATGATTGAACATCATATTAACATTTATTTATAGATTCGCTCTACATGAATACATTTATAAAAATATTATTCCTGATCACATAGATATTGAAGTATTTTCATGCTGCTCCTTTTCATATCTTTAAATTACATTTAGATTAAATTTAGATTCATGGTTTAAAAGAAAAAAATGGGAAAATTATTTTTTTTTCAAATTTTGATAATTTTTTCTTTTAGGAAATGATATTTATATTTTCAGTTAAGTATTTTTTCCGTTGATAATTTTAGAGAAATTTGATAACCTCCATTTTTTGCATGAATTTTTGAAAAGATCTTTTTAAAATGTTAAACCATGATTTAAGGTTAGAAGTATACATTTAGGAAAGTTCTCATCTGAACATATAGATTTCATAGTTTAATTATTCAAACTATAGAAATAAATATGACTGAGATCTGAAGTAAGGATTATATTTTATCTTTAGTTTAGGTTTTTAGTTTTTGTTTAATTATTCCTTGTGGAATATTTTTCCAGGTTGCATTCAGCCTTGTAGGTTTGCGTTAGATAGATATATAATAATGAATAAAAATATTTTAACATATTTAATGTTAAACAATTGTAACATATTTGCACTTTGTGTTATGCAGTTTTTAACATCTGCTATGAAAGCTATGGTTAAACAATTTCAATCATTAGAAATATCTAGCAAACTTCGTCATACACTAAGAAAAATGTTCTTATGCAAAGTATTAGTAAACGTAGTTTATCACCTAGTCCAAGATGTATGAGCATGGAAACACATGTATAACACATGACTACCAGTGATAGTGATATTAAACATGACTTTTACACAGATCAACCCGGCCTGTATTTTTTGCTAAAACCTCACATAAATCTTGCCATTTGTTGAACAAAACGTGCTGGGTCGACTCTTTACCGGATAGCCTCACTGTACAGTACGAGTGAATGCATATACAATAAGTGTTGTATATACCAATGCGGATCATGCATCTATTAGACCGGGGTTACCTGACCTGTACACATTGGGTACACTGGACTGGTAGGAACTGAATGCATGTACCGGTTTTAATTATGCAACTTTGGATAAAGAATGCTACTACTTTGCATTGGAACATTTTTCTCCATGTATTTAAGAAAGTGCAGACGGCTGATTTTTTTTGCAATCCTGGACTTCTTGTTTAGAGCATGAAACCTGCTTTTTCTGCCTAAATGGCTTTAACTCAGGCCAATCTGGAATGACATCGGCCAAACTGGTTTTTCTTGTTGTCGGTTTGGGTGTAGCAAGGGTCTGCAATATATACAATATGTACATTATGTACACTATGTTCAATGTTTATGTAGTATGTACAAGTGTAAACAATGTGTGCGCAAATTAGATTAAAACCATATTTATAACTTCATACTTTTAAAGCACACATAATGTTTGAACTGTTTTAAATTTTAACAAAAAAAAATAATTATAATGTTTAACTTGCGAGGAGGGGGGAGGGTCCTTTTTAATAAGAAAATAATATGAATATGTAGATTTTACGTTTTGATCGAATGGGATGTTCCTTGAATAAATGTCATGCAAAAAAACAAAAAAAACATTTAACATCGAGACATCGATTTAACCTCCATAAATGACGATTTCCTATTCCGTGAGGACAGGACAGGCCAATTGTCAAAAGAAGATTTCCTCACTTTATCCACCTATTTAATTGCAGCTGTTAAAGGGAGTGTTCTCAAAATTGAAAGGGGGTTATAGGCTTAAGGCAAATAATTATTGATGGTGAACGCTACCAATCTTACTTCTATCTGTTGCGTCTTTAAGGAGAAAGGAATTGAGTCTTTGTCAAACTATGATTTTCTAATCTCTATATCTTTGCAATCCAATGCCGTAGACCTTAGATATTTCAAACTATTAGAAAAACAGAGTTCGTTACAAAGACTCAATTCCTTTGTTAACAACGACTTGTACCGAAGAACGTGGCGTCCGTTCAAATTCAGAAGGTTGTAACATACGAATCGGATCGTAATTCCTAAAAAAACATTTAGGTACTACAACTTATAATCATCAATTATTTTTCGACGCATTCGTATATAGTTGATATTAAATTTTAATTTTTCGCAAACACTCCCATTAAACTTTAATTTTTCATTTTTTTTCTTGATTAAAAGTTTCGGACAAAAATTTATTGTCTACAAATTATGTAAAGTTTTAACAAGTTTTGCAAAATTTAATATTTTTTAAAAAATTTAATAATCTTTGCAAAATTCTATAATTTTTGCAAAATTTATTAATTTTTGTAAAATTTAATAATCTTTGCAAAATTCTATAATTTTTGCAAAATTTATTAATTTTTGTAAAATTTAATAATCTTTGCAAATTTGATAATCTTTGCAAAAAATGCTAAAACTATTTTAGATGGCATGCAATAACACTGTTAAAAATGTACTTCAAAGAATACTTCTTATTAAATGGGTTGCTCAGTCACCGATTTGAAAATAAACTTAAAACTAACATTTTTGGGAAGTTGAAAATATCTTACTTATGTAAATGTTTAGTTAATTGATAAACATTTTAATATTTTACCCCCCCCCCCTGGTTTATGGCCATCTTACGTTGTAAATTAAGGGTGTAACTGCATACTTTAAGCTTGTATAATAAGTACAATTTAATAGGTAAACATTTAAAAAAAATATAATAAACAAATTCATGTGTATTGTATACGTGTACTAAGATAATAAACAATGTTTATTTGCATTATGAGTTAGGGAGTTAGGGGGTGGGAGGGGGAGGGAGGATCCTTGGAATAATTAGAGTTTCAAAACTATCATAAAATGTTCTTTAAAGTTTTCAATTGGTTCCAAGAATGCAGCGTGTGCTGACACAACCCTGGCAAATTATGGAGGAAACGGTGCAAAAAGAAAAACAATTAAAAACCTGAAATACTTTCAGAGAAGCTTTATACAAACTCCATTTATTTGCAAGTTTCCTGGAAAGAAGGTTTAAATATTTAGTTGTACTTCTTGCGACAGCATTTTGCAGTAAACAAACCGATTCAAAATAATTGTTCTTTCTCAACCTTTTCAGATTTTTTTTTGAAAATACCATTTTTAATTGTTTAATTGTTTAGATCATTCTTTAAAACGTTGATTTTTTAAATACTTGTTTAGCTTTCATGCTCTGTAAATAAAATGTTTTAAAACAAAAATTATATGAAAATTATTTAAATAAAGTGAAAGCTTTCACAAGTTTAAAAAATCAAACATTGTTGAAAAGGCAGGCCTTTTAAATCATTTATATCTCAGAAAACCCACACTGGCAAAATCTAAGATTTTGTTAGAGATATCTAATGACCAATATCATTTCAAAATAAACTGTATAAAATACAAAGTATCAGCAAACATAGATAAAGTAATTGACATTCACATATCTTTAAAACCTGATTGTGTAAACCTTTAATATTTAAAACGTGAGATATGGCACAACTTATTGTTTGAAATACGAAAGGGTATATGTGTAACACATATGGTGATGAACAAAATTATAGTTTTAGGCAAGTTTTCAGTTCCTTCCCCTAAGAACATTATTCATTCGATATTTCGATATTTCTAACAAAATCTTAGCAATATCTCTCACAGTGTATTACATTAAGAACAACTAAAGGTCGAAGGGTTGGCCAGTCAGGAATAATTTCAGAGAGTGTGGCAGATCCCTTTCTTTCACTCCCTTGGGGTACCTAGCAGTGGGGTATGTACAACTTATGTACAGAATATGTAGTAATACAAACAATGTAAACATATATGCATAATTTATGTACAAGTTATATGAAGGAATATGTCCAAGCAAAAATAAATAATGTCAACAAGCAATGTAAAGCATATGTACAAGTTATGTACAGAATATGTATAAGCTAGGTAGAGGTCGATAGGTTAGGGTAAACCCTCCTTGAGTCCGTACTGCAGAAATAGAATCTTTTTTTCTAAACGCTATATCTAATTGCATCCCAGTGTGGTGTTAACCATTTATTTTTAAAATTTTTTTTTATAAATTACTCTTTTTGAATAGCACGGGTCTACACCAACAGTTTGCAATGATATTTAATAAAGAGTTTGAGTTTGAGGAGAGTAATCAATTCTTGTTGTTTATGTTTCTTCATCAATATAAGTTTAGTAAGATTAATATTAGTCAGATTTCAACATTGTTTTGTTTAACGCAGTTATTTACAAAGTGCAATAAAATGTTGTTGGTTTGAGCTGCAATATAATTTACATAATTTACTACTTTATTGGACTCAATTTATATTCCATAAACACCTTCCTCTTTTCGTATTACCCCCCCCCTCAACAGTTTTTTTCTAGATTCAACAAAGGGATTTAAACATTAAAGTCAGATTTATTAATTAATCAACGTAAAGATGATAATAGTCAACAAATAAAAAAATAAGATACTTTTCAAATGTTACCAAAAAATGAATACAACAATTGTCCATCAAAAGTTGAGAAAAAGAAAAAAATAGAAAATAAAAAATCACGAAACCTCATCTGGCCAACTACAATTTTAGTAAAACAGTATCTTCACCAATAAAAATCATTTTTTATTTTGCAAGTGTAATTTAAGAGTGACATTTAAATTAAAAAGATTTTTAAAGTTTAGATTTTATAGAGAAATATAATTTAGAAACTTAACTAAAATGTTTGATCATGGTGGTTCTTATTAACTGCGATCTATTAATATTAATATGGTTAATAGATTGTTCACCATATTTCAAAATGGAATTTTTGCAAGACTTTTTTTATAATATTTCTAAACTTATAAATCCGTTTTTCTTTGAATAAAAATAACACTCTGTATCGTTTAAAGGATTGCTAATTTCTGAATTTAGAATCTTATAAGCTGATTTCATCATATTGGAAAGTCCATTGTTTAAAACCCAGTTTATAAAATCAATAAAAGGAATTAAGTTTTTGCCACAAACTCAAATTTTCTTATTCATAGATCTTGTAAACCTGATGGTGTAAACACTTGGTATTTCAAATTTAGAGTATTTGATCTAACATAATTCATAGTTTGAAATATTTAAGGTCTACGACATTGAGTTGAAAAGATATAGAAATTGGGAAGTAAGAGTTTGGAGCAAAGACTCAATTCCTTTTCGAAAACAAATTGGTGAACGAACTTTAAAGACTTCCGACCAGCATTCAATGATTGCAATTCCAGAAAAAGGAAAAAATAAAGAAATATTTATAAAATATTTTCTTAGAAATTTGAATAAATTGAACAAGTTTATGGTTGGTACTGTTAAAAAGGAAAGGTCACTGAAAAGTACATCTGCAGTACTTATGTTACATAAGAGTACCTTTAATTATTAAGGAAATGTCACAAACCTTATCAATTTACCCACCATTAATATTTTCTTTGATTAAAGGTCCTTAATGATCATATAAATACTCCCTCCTTCCACTCTACACCCCCCCCCTCTTTCCCAAAACTTTATAAATGATTTCTACTGTTTCGTGTTGAGGAATAAATATAGATTTGATATTTTCCTTGATTTTCCTTTTCTATTTAGTATTTAGGCAAACATATTTCCATAAAAAATTTGCTCCCAAAAAAATGTTCTCGAAATTTTCACTGAAAAAGTAATTTTCTCTCTACCATATGCAATTTCTTTTTTTAAAGATGAGAATTTTCGGAAAAAATACAGAACAAAAAAACACATCCATTAAAGTTTTATTTTTTTTGTTTAAAAAATTTCTGTAAATTTTTAGACCCCTAAAATACTACTTGGTATTTTGGCAATATAGAGTATTTAGCATAATTGTTGAGAGATATTCAAAAAAAAATTGGACTTGCATCAGCTAAAGCACTTTCCGAAAGAACGAAAATAGAAAACTTGGGTTTCATAAAAATGCATGCTGCAGTTAGCAAACAATGTAAATAATATGTCTCATGAAAAATTAGTATTTCTTGGTGTTTAGGTTGAAAAAAAAATAAAGAAAAGTATATTTCTTTTTGTGTATACTCCAAGACAATTCTAACCCACAATTATTTATAATTTTATGATATTGAGCCATACCAAGGTATTTATATTAGAAATGATAAATACCGCATTGTAAGGGGCATGCAACAGGCATGTGACCCCCAACCATATATTCAGGAAAACCAAATATCATTTATATTTCCTATTTCTTCAGTTCTTGTGCATTGTGTAATATGTATACCCCTGATATAGTATATGAAAAATATTTCCGCATATCTATATATATTGTATACCTATTATAATTACTAATCCCACGTATTTAAGAACATGTGGAAAAAAGTACAAATGGGTACATTGTACTATACTTTACTAACTATACTATAATGTTTTTTGTATACAACTTTTTTTGTGTGGAAACAATCTGATTTTTGTGCAATCAAACTGGCGTAAACAAACAGTTTTTTGTATGCAGTACATTGACGTCAAACAATTGTTTACAAACAATGTACATCCATGTGTGTTCCATTTTTGTGTAGCTTGATTACCCTAGGTTGGCTGACAGACAGCGGATGCTTTCTTGGTTTCAGGAGAGCGCCGGCTCTTTTCCATTCCGGTTCCGTATCCGGTTTAACCCGTTTGACCGGCTTAAGTTGAGTCTTAATTTGAAGAAACGGGCTCCGCTCTCTCTCCGTTCGCTCCATACTTTGGAGCCGAATAGAAGACGGACTTTGGTCACGCTCCATACTTTGAAGTCGAGGCGAGCAAGCTCCCATCCCTGATTGGAGGCCTATTGGTTGAGCAGAAGGAGACGCTGGTCTAGAGGATGTAGGTTCTGATGTCCTAGCCGCTGCACCTTCACCTATTTTCTGAGTACCCTGAGAAACCTGAGAGGCATCCTGAATTGATTTTATCCTACCTTTTTACCAATAATGCATAATCATCAACCTCAACCTCAAGTATGTACAAATTCGGAAAATAATGAATATTAAAAACAAGACTTTTTATAAAGAAATAAATACCAGGAACTTCAATATATTTGTTTACAAAATAATCTGTAGTTTATATACAGAACACTTTTACTGTAAACAAATATATGCGAGTTTTGGCGTATGTTCCTTGGACCATAAATGTTACAGTCTATATAGTTTAAAAAATATTTTTTAATTATATAATCATGAAAATACAAATTGTAAAAAACTGTGAGAACTATAAACCTACCTCTTTAACTTTCTTCAGTTGTGGTTCTTCTTCTTTCTCATTATGCTTGAGATCTCCCCAATCTGGTCCTTCATCATCACCAGCCCACTGCATTCATTTATTCATTTATTCATTTATTCATCCTTTTATTCATTCATTTATTAATTTATTAATTTATTCATTTTTTCATTTTTTCATTTATTCATTTATTCATTTATTCATTTATTCAATATTTTATCTCCATTTGCCATTTATCTTTTGTGTACCATTGACATTGTACAATATATTCTACACTGTACAGGAGGGAGGAAATCGACTTCAAAATAAAAATAAAAGTAATTGTAATATTATCTTGTAGCCTGTCACATGTTATTTTGGTAACCCTCTGTACATTTCAATGTTTTCACAAAACCAAGAATTGAATTTACTCCATGTCAATATTTATTTATTTTCACCTTAGAATACTTTTTCTTTTTCAGCATAGATCTGAAATCCATTCCACTGGCATCTTAAACAAAAATATATTTAATATTATTTATCATTATTTTTATTTTAAAAATTGAAAATTTACTCGAGTCTTTGTTAAAAGTCAAAATTTGTATATCTTCACAACCTAATGTAACTTATATTAATAGATTGATCATAATTCATAGTTTGAAATATCAAAAGTCTATGACGTTGACATTGGGTTGCAAAGATAAAGGGGTCAGAAAATTAGAGTGTGTGGCCCGGCAAAGACACCAAAAGTTCAATTTCAATGAAAAAAAATCATTTAAAAACACTCTTCAATTATATAGTTATAATATGGAAATACAAAAAAAGACGAATATTAGATTATTCCAATAAGAATTAGTTGGAAAAATGAATATATTAATTTAATATTATCAGAGGGTAGAAGTAATGAAAAGTATGTTAGTATCAATAAACTACTTTTCATTTGAAGCCTAAAATGTTTTTTTTGAGAATCTCTGTATATATGCACACAAAGGATGAGACTACAGAGACGACTATACGGAATTATACTGTCTGTTTTCTTAAGTTAATGGTTCCCTGCGGTTATAAGGTTACAAGCCTAAATCGTTCTTTAATAAATTATAAAATAAGCCATTGAAAGTCTATTTGACAAGGGAGAAGACTTAATTTAATCTTGAAATCGTCATATTTCAAGGGTTTCAGGTCGTCTTTACAGTCTCGTTTTTTGTGGGTAACCCTGTTTGTTATGAAGTGTGCAAATTTAAATTACTGAAATACTGGATATTTTAAATTTAAACTGCTGATATGCATCCACCAAAAATGTATGAAGTAGAACTCGGTTCAATTTGTTCTCTAGCCATTTACAAAAATTCTGCAGATGACATTAAAAAAGGCAAAACATTAAAGCTCTGTTTTTTTTAATGTCAAAACTTTTATCATTCCTTTATTTTTACTCTTTATGTAAATCTACGCTATTTTAAAATTAAATTATTTGATCTAACATAATTCATAGTTTGAAATATCTCAGGTTTACGTCATTTGGTTGCAAAGATATTAGGATTGGAAAATAAAATTTTGAGACGGAGGCTCGAATTCTTTTTGCTGAAAATATCTTTTTAAAAAGAATTATTCAATTACCTGAAACGTAGAGCATAAACGATTTTTCATCTTTTCCATGTTCATTTTCTATGACCACCCTGTATTCTCCTTCGTCATTGGCTTTGACCTAAATCACGAATCTTGAAATTATGCTGAAAAAAATGGCCTGAAAAACTCAAATTTTTTAAAAATGATATTTTTTCAGACTTAAAATTTGTTTTTGTAATTGATAAATGTGAATGAATATTTCCGCGGGTGGTTATTTTGCTTAATTGGCCCAAGGGACGTAAATAACTTAATGTCCCTCTGTTGGGTTGGTAAAACCTATGAATTATTAATGATTAGAATACAAATGAATACCTTAGTAATGGCGAGCATGATCATATTATTATTATCTCCATCTGAGACTAGCTTGTATCTGCCACCCTCCAGGATAATGGTGGAGCCCTAAATTAGGAAATTATATTTTTATAATTATTTAAGATTTGGAATAACCTGTAAAATATCATTTGCTGGAAAAAGTGACTTGTTCTTCGTATTAAATGGTAATAAATTTCTACGGGAGGAGTGGGGGGTGGGGATATTTTTATTTGTTACCAGTGGCCGAATTTAAAGAATTTGAGCGGCGGTTTAAATTTAAGCCGCGGCTTAAATATGGTTGATTCCACTTAAAATTGTATCAAATGTTTCAGGATTTAAGGCGGCGCTTAGGTTAATTTAAACCGGGTTTTGGCAGATTTAAACTGCGGCTCAAATTCTTTGAATTCCATCTCAGGATTTTAAATCTACTAATCAAATTATGCGTTAAATCATTAATAGATTTGTGTGATTATTCTTTTTATTCTATTCTTTTCTGTCTACAACATTCTAGTACACATCTTCCTGAAATGAACCCTTGTACGGAACTTGGTGGGAAGATTGTAACTAAGCTGAGTCTAGGTTAAGATTTTGTGCACACTTGTACATAGTCCCTCTATATGTATACTATAACCTCTTTTATGGCAAATGGTTTCACATATCGCTGTTGAAAAAGAAGACGCAATTATTTTGACGCATAAATAAGGCCGCACAATAACGCGACATCGCAGTTTATTTTATAGTTTATTGTTAAAATTGTTATTTTTTGTTCTTGAAAAATTTAAAATTATTATTGCAATAATGTTTTGGTTTAATATTGTTTAAAAGTTTAGTTAATTTAACATTATACTTTCCTGCCGTCGCGGTACTATAAAATGCTGGATTAGATTGTTTTAATTCATTAAGTTTTCAAGTTTTGAACATTAACGTGGTTTTATCTAGACACAGGAACTGAGTTTTTACCACAAACTTTGATTTTCTAATCCCTATATATTTGAAACCTGATGTTGAAACCTTTAGTTTTTAAAAATATAAATTATGTTAGATTAAATAGTTCAAGTTTGAAATATAAGAGTTTAACTTGATCAGGTTATAAACCTACAGAAAGAGAAAATTTAAGAGTTTGTGCTAAAAACTAAAAACTCAATTCCTTGCGACAATTTTTATTTTTTTTACCGAAATCCAGCAATAGTTTACTTAAAATGTGTTGGCCCCCAAAAACATTTTTTAGATAATACTAAAGAAAAAAACTGGATTAAGACTGAAAGTAAAGATTTAAAATTTATTTTGAAAATATTCAAGTTTGAAATATAAGAGTTTAACTTGATCAGGTTATAAACCTACAGAAATAAGAAAATTTAAGAGTTTGTGGTAAAAACTAAAAACTCAATTCCTTGCGACCATTTTTATTTCTTTTTACCGAAATCCAGCAATAGTTTACTTAAAATGTGTTGACCCCCAAAAACATTTTTTAGATAATACTAAAGAAAAAAAGTGGATTAAGACTGAAAGTAAAGATTTAAAATTTATTTAGAAAATACTAAATGAATCCTGCTAATTAAGGAATAGGATTAAGGAGTTAGGATTTAGGCAATTTAAATTAAAAGGAACAATTTATGCAATAATTATTTTAAAGATAAACTTCCCCTTGGATTATTTAAGGGACTGTTGCCGAAATTTCAAAGTGAACCTAGAGAGCGGCAATTTACATTTCGTTCGTTTATCGTTCGTTCATCTTAATTCGTTGATTCTTAAAAGTATCTTTAAAGGGACCGTTCACTTGTTTGGGTAATTTCAGGGTAAACTAAACAGCCTATTCGCTCTTGATTGGTAATAGTCTTACTTTTTAAAGACAACTGTGGCCGGAGAAAAAGCCGATTTTTCGTTCAGAATTTGAGCGGAAAGGGACGGTCCCTCTCTATAGACACTATTTGATGTTTTTTTTTCAGTAACAGCAGCCCAATAACATTTAAATTTATTATATTTGAATGTTATTATGTGTTCGTTATTATGTACTAAAATATGAAAACTTTTGATATTTGAGTTAGCAAGAAATTTACATTTTACGCAATAAAACATGTAAAATGTGTATACAAAGACGACGTCTCTACGACAATCAATTAATCATTACTCGTATTTAGGTTTGTAGATTTTGTAAAATTTTTTCCCGCATGTGCACAACTTTTCATTTGTCATGCCGCGTTCAATTCAGCTTTTTACACAGGCAATACACAATTTTGAATGCGATAAAATAGTGTTATTTTAGAAATAGAAAGTTAAAAAACAACAAAAATTAAAAAATAATGACATTTACAATTAACGATTAGATACTACAGTTTAATTTTATATTCGAAATGTATTTTGATCTACAACATACTGAAAAAAAACATCAATTAGTGTCTATAGAGAGGGACCGTCCCTTTGCGCTCGAATTCTGAACGAAAAATCGGCTTTTTCTCCGGCCACAGTTGTCTTTGTAAAGTAAGACTATTACTAATCAACAGGAATATGCTGTTTAGTTTACCCTGAAATTACCCAAATAAGTGAACGGTCCCTTTAATGTTTAATCTTTATCGTTCTCTTTCTCACTGAACAATAGTTCAGTATAATCGTTTTAAAAAAAAACTATTGATTTTTTCATTTTACTGAAAGATCCAAGTCGTTCGTCCATCATTCGTTTTTTCCTGAACGAAAAATATAGTTCGTTCGATCACACAAACAATGCCCATATTTAAAGGGAGTGTTCGCGAAAAATGAAAGGGGGTATAGGCTTAATGCGATAAAAAAGCGCTTTTGATCGCTACTAATCTTACTTCTATCTGTTGCGTCTATAAGGAGAAAATTGATAAAGACGTCTCATACCGAAGAGCGTAACGCCCATACAAATTGAGGAAGTTGGAACATACGACTTAGACCGTAAAAAAATCAAATTAATATCAAACAAATCATTCAGATATTACAACCTATAGTCATCGATTATCTTTCGCCACATTTGTATATATTTAATATTTCATACTAGTTTTGATTTTGTTTTTTAAAATAATATTTAGCTTACAACTTGTTTTCGAACATTCCTGGAAAATATGAAAATGTCGTCTTCATTACCAAAAATCCTCGAGACAGGAATAAACGTTTTTATAAGTAACTCTCAGATCATAACAATTAAAACATATTATGAAAAATCAACTATACATAAATGTGGCGAAAGATAATCGATGACTATAGGTTGTAATATCTGAATGATTTGTTTGAAATTAAATTGATTTTTTTACGGTCTCAGTCGTATGTTGCAATTTTCTCAATTTGTATGGACGCCATGTTATTCGGTATGAGACGTCTTTAACAATTTTCTCCTTATAGACGCAACAGATAGAAGTAAGATTAATAGCAATCAAAAGCGCTTTTTTATCGCATTAAGCCTATACCCCCTTTCATTTTTCGCGAACACTCCCTTTAATGTGAACATTATTTAATTGATAAGGATACGTATCAACTCTCAAGCTGCAGAAAATTAAAAAAAATCTTGGATTTATGAGACAAGTTTTCCTTGTCTCATATATCTGATTTATTGATAAATAATATGAATAAATGTACCTTGTAGAATTTAAACGTAGGAGCAGGATTTCCCTCAACGAACATATAACAGCAAGCAGTTTGTTCTAAATATCACAAATCATAAGGATTAGTTTTTGGTAAAATTATTTTAATAACTCAATTCGATTTTTCTGTACGGATATTCTTAAAAGCTGACGATTCGTGAGGACAATTCAAAACGCTCAGCAGTAAAAGACATTTCAGTTCACATTTTGCTTTCAAAAGACTATTTAAACCAAAATTACTCTACAGAAACATACCGATGAAGACATTTGATATTTTATGTTTCTCCATTTTTAATGGATTCCTTGATTAATCGGATGAAACATCGGTTAAACAAATAATAAGGATTGATTATTAGATTGATTGATTTACCTTCGACAGCGCTGTATTTCTCCTGAATTTCTACAATACGTGGAGGTCCTGGGTCCCCTGTAGCTTTTAGAGGAACTGACGGCTTTTCAAGTCTAAAGTTTAAAAAAGGATGTTTTAACAATTTCTGGTCATATGCATGAATTTTTATCTATGATTTTATTTAGGAATTTAATTAGGAATATATTTAGGAATTGGGTGAGAAATTTATTTCAAGAAATAAAGTAAAATTTTAAAAATATCTGGGTAATTTTTTATCAAAAGTGATCCTTTACTGTAAAATGAAAACTCTGACAAAGGAAGAGGGCACCATTAAAGTTAATTTGATATTGTTTTGCTAGGAAGTGAATAGTTTACTAAACACATAAAAATCACTAATTAAGTTTAATGGGTCTGTTAACACCCCCAATTGCGTATGCCTTATGTAAAATGTCATTTCTTGATTCTAAAAGTCTTCTTATTTTTTCAAAGTTTTCTGGTCATCAAATGTTGTTATAATTTACCTTCTCTCCCATTCTGATTTCTCATCCCCATCCTGTCCGCTTAACCTACGGCGCTGTACAGTACATAGATTAGTGCATTATAAAAATATGGTTCAAGGATGACAGAGACTTAATAAATTTTTTATTTTATCGAATGTTGCAAACAAAAAAATCTTTCATTTTTGAAAAATTAGTTTAAACTTGAAGCATGTAGTTCCTTTAACAAAGCTTCTCATTTATGAACTATAGATAATATCCAGTTCAACCCAGAAGTTTGGAGACATTAGTAGAATAAATAAACATGTCGTCTTCTAAACCAACTGATGGATTGAAAACTGCAGATATTTAGATTTTTTTAATTGATTTGAATAATCATTGGAGCTCTTAAAACTGTTCATTTACATTTAACTATTTACTTAATTTTATAAATAGTAAGATATGTTTTTTAATAGTATAAAACCCATTGAAAAATTGTTAAGACGACGTTTTATAAATTTTTTCGATGACTCCGAAGTTCTGGGTAAACTAATACAAAATAAGAAACTAAAAAAATTTGAAATTAGTGTATTTTTCTTTTAACATTAATTTTTCAAATTTGAGATTTTTTAACACTCTTTAAATTTTTTCATCCTTTATCAAATTAAACAAATATCTGCTTGATCTCTGTAATCCAATATTTTGCATATCAAAGAAGATTTTTGTATAAAAGTTTAATCAGAATTTTCCAATTTTCATAAAATTATTCTTTGATCTTTAGAATAAAATTAAAAACTAGCCTTTGTACAGTTTGTATATTAATTGGACACAAGATAGACGGGACAGAAAAGTTTTTTCAAAGTACATAGTACAATTTTGCATCCCCTCTATTTTATTATTACTATACTTTAAATATAAATTTTGCAAAACCTTTAGATCTATTATGTACATTGTACATCATATATGTACAGTATAACACACAATAGGGAAAGAAGAAATCTAACATTTTCTAAAACTTAACTTTTTAAAGAAAATTTCACTTCTTTTACTTAAATTTGCTCTTGTAGCAATCTTAAATTTTGAATATAAGACTTGTTAAAAATATCTATATAAATGTTTGCAAAAAAGATTTCCTTTCAAACATATTTCGTCGGTTTTTGTCAATTGTCAGAGTCGATGTTTAGAGAATTATTTAGTTTTTATTTTGGAAAAATATTGAGACAAAAATTTCTCAATGCATTGGAATTATTTGAAAATTAAGAAGTTAGGGGAGGAGGGGGTTTTTATATAACGTTGTGAAATCAAAAACTTGAAAGGACTTGAGTCTTTGTCACAAACTCAAATTTTCTAATCCTTATAGCTTAGCAACTTGATTGTGCAAACCTATGATATTTTAAACTTAGTCTATTTGATCTACCAAAATTCATAGTTTGAAATATCTAAGGTCTTCGGCGTTGGGTTGCAAAGATATAGGGATTAGAAAATTTGAGTTTGTGGCAAAGACTCAATTCCTTTAAAATGATTTTGATTTTATTTTGGATAGTAGAAGATGAATTAGTTCTTTATCTGACAAATTCTATTTAAGAAGATTTACATCTCTCCCCGTGGCTAGGGGAAGGGGATTGGGGGTTTGGGGTTTGCTGAAGAAAATACAGGGTTTACCACAAAGGATGAGACTTCAGAGACGACTGCATAAATTTTTTTCTGATATCTATTTCTGGATTGTTTAACTACTGAATTTATCTTACTTTGCCCGAATTATTGATAATTCAATAAGAATAAATATATAACAGGCAGAAGGCCAAGTTCAGCTTCACATTGAATTTTATCATTATTTTCAGGTCGTCATTAAAATATCATTCTTTGTGGATAACTCTGTTTATTTAGAGCAAATATTGTTTAAAAGATTATTGTTTCAGGGTTGTCAGGTATATATCAGAAGACCAAAATGGGAGGACAATATTTTTTTCGATTGTTATGGCGGTGATATGGGCTGGCTGGGGGGTGGGGAACATGCAGAAAAAGGGAGGGAAATATTTTTCAAGATCTGTAGAATTGTTGTAGGAAGGCCATTAAATTTCATTTTAGAAAAAAAAATATAATAATAAAGACAAATATTAAATCTGAAATTATGAAAAATTTGAATAAATGAATGGATGTTGAAGAATAAAGAGAAATGAAGAGAAAGAAAGGAAAGAAGAACGAGCATAAAAGAAGCCACACACAAAAATGCTCTTTTTTAAAGATTTCATTTATTTGTTTGTTTTGAATGCTGAAATTCGTGCAGTTTGATATTTTCATAAATGAAATCTTCATAGATATTCATGAACAAGGAACAAAAAAAGCAGAATTTATTAATATTTAGACTTTTCCTGGTTCATGAATTCAAAGAAAATAGAAGTTTAAAGTTTTGTTTAGAAGTTTTTAAAGTTGTCAGTCTTGCGTCATAGTCAGCATTTAAACCTATACGCAGATTTGCGCATTTTCCGAAGTTCACACTTTGTGTTTTTGGTAACAAACGGACAAATTTTGCGGATTTGCACGTTTGCAGAGTTGTGTATTTTCGTCAAACCGTTACTAACCGACTTTGTAATCTTAAAGTTGGGCCCTGCAGGCTTATTGGCTTCCTATAAAATTATTAATAAACATTTAGAAAAAAATATAAAATATATACAGACACTTTAGAAATATTTACAGGCATTCTAATTTTAGTATTTCAACATTTTTTAGCACAAAAATAAATTGAATTCAAAGATTTTCTACGCATATTTAACTCTAACTTAACCACTGTCGAAAAAGAACCGGGTTTGTTAGAAATACTTAACAACAGAAAGTTTTGAATATTTAAAAACTTTCAAAGGTACATTACCCACTGTTAGCCCCAAAATAACAGCAAAGGAATTGATTTTTTAATACAAACTCTAATTTTCTAATCGCTATATCTTTGCACCCTGGTGCACGTGGTTTAAAGCTTTGATATTTCAAACTTTATCTAACAGATTTTATAGAATGAAATATCAAAGGTCTACGACATCGGATTGCAAATATATAGGGATAAGAAAATTAAAGTTTGCGGCAAAAAATCAATTTATGTTTAGATAGTTTTGAGAGCTTATTAGATATTTTTAACTATTAACGATGATTAAGTTTTCCTAACATAATCTTAGTTTTTTCGGACAGTTTTTTTTCTAGATACTTTTTAAAATCTAGATACGCATTTTGCGTCACCTCTAATATTTCATCGATTGATAAATCAGATAAATCTGATGGAATATTGCGTTTTTTAAGAAAATCAATGAATTTCTCTTGTAGGTTCACACTTTCCTGAAAATTAGAATTCAAGTTTAATTAATGAATTAATTAGGCTGGCATACTGTAGGCATACATATACATATATATACAAAATTAAACTTATCCCAAAAATATCAGAGAGAATACAAATTATCAGAGCTTTCACAAAATTTTCCTCTTGTTTCAACGATTCGGGGTCTGACGTTTTAAGTTTTTAAGTTTTTTTTCGGGAATTCTAAAACGTCAAATTGTCTTTGATTTATGTAATATTATGTTCTCTCCTGGCCTATAGTTGGATAGTATTCATGGGTTTAATTTTCAATTTTTGCAATTTTATTTGAAAATAATAATTTATTTGTTTTGCTTAAAAAAATGTAAAATGTAGCCTAAATTGTAAAATATTTTTTTTTCATGCACCATTTGAAGAGTACAGGGGTACTGTACAGATTACATACATCATTGATGATTATGTAACAAGAGGAGGGGCACTGTACATTTGAAAAATTTATGTACATTACATCCATCTACCTGATCCAAAAACCCTCCACTTTTCGCGGCCTAAAGTACATGATGTACATAATTTAAAACTTATCTATTACATGTTATATTATATGTTATTATTCTTTTACACCATATACTTACACATATTATGTAACATATAAATATTCTTATACAACCTAACTAAATCTTTTTTAACTGTCAAGACAGGAAAGGGCTTTTAGAAGTTTTTTTTTATTAAATATAAATAATAATTATTAATATTAATATATATATATATATATATATATAAATATATATATATTAATAATAAAATATTAATGTTTTGTAAACAAACATATAAGATTTCTTATAATATTTCTGTTATGATTAACAGGATTAAGGGGCTATCACATTGCTTAAATAAAAAAAAATAACGTAGCTCTTTGAGGAACACAATAAAAAAGATCTAATAATAAAATGTAATTTTTCTCTTCTAGGTACAAGAAATTACATTTTTAATGAAAAACAATTATTGAATTCAGAGAATAATAAAACACTCATGATTTGCTTAAGTTTAATATTTCTCTGATAAAAAAAATATGAATGAAATAAAAATGAAATAATCTGCAGATAAAAAGATTAAGATTAAGTCTTAACAATTTATTTCAAGCATTGTTATTTTTGATTCATTTGGTACAATTATGTAAATCTAAATCTAATTTATTCCGAAAAATGTAAGTTTTATTTTGGACCTTGCAGTTGATAATTGCGTTCAAATTAAGATTTTTCGTAAAAATTGAAGCAATATGCTTGTAAGTTGTAAGTAGCAACCTCCCCTCTCTTTAAAAATATTGGTTTGTCAAAAAAGGTGTTTTCAAACCATTTTGTTAAACATCAGTTAATGAACAGATTTATAAATGGGCGTTTGGACATTTCATAGGAAAATATTACAAAAAAAATATTTCATAGAAAGATATTTCATAGGAAGATATTTCATAGAAAGATATTTCATTGAAAGATATTTCATACAAAAATACTTCATAATAAGATATTTCATTGAAAGATATTTCATAGAAAGATATTTCATAGAAAAATATTTCATAGAAAGATATTATATAGAAAGACATTTCATAGATAGGACATTTCAAAGAAATACATTTTATAGACGAAAATTTTATAAAGAGGAGATTTCATAGATAGGACTTTTCATAGATAGGACATTTCATAGATAGGACATTTCATAGATAAGACATTTCATAGATAGGACCTTTTCATAGAAAGACATTTCATAGGCTGACATTTAATAGACAAAGAAGATTTTGCATAGTCAGAGGAGATTTTTAATTTACGAAATTTTGTTTTCTTCGATGTATAATAAACAAGAAAAAAAGTAAATACAGTGCTCCCCATATACATAGCTACAGTACGAAACAATTAAAAAATCATTAAATATGAAGAGTAATTTATAAATTTGTTTAATTTAACTTAAAATTCAACTTTTTCATTTGTTTATAAAAGTTGTTCACTAATACTGCATTTGTTGAATAAAAATGCTCGTGTGAATTGTTAAAAAAGCCTCAAAACAAAATTGGAAAAACTGGAACTTTTCAGCTGTATTTCTGACGCTTTAGAAGGAAGACATGGCCTACATTTCATAGATAGGACATTTCGTAGATAGGACATTTCATAGATAGGACATTTCAGTGATAGGACATTTGAACAAAAATTGTCAATTTGTTCAAGTATTCTGTTCATTAAAACAATTGGACAGTTTGCGTTAGAACGCTTAAATGTTTTTCTTTACTTTTGTTAAACACAAACTTGCTCAAACTTTAAAATTATATAGCAACATCTCTTTTTTATGGAAAAATTATTTCTGATAAACTTTAATGCCCTTTTAAGGTCTAAATCCAATTCGATGTTACACTTATCTAAAAAGGCATTTTTAACATACACGTATAGTCCCACTTGTGACAGGAAGTTTACAGAAAATTATGAACCTGTTCAATTTTTAATAATTCCCCTGGTTCCAGGGCCCTAGTGGCCCCTGTAATTCCATCTATTGTTATTCTGCTCTGGAATAGTTTTCATAATCAAAAATTTCATTAATATTTAGATATTTAAGGGACTGTTCACGTAATTTTAAGAAACCCTTCACATTTAAAGCGAAGGTTACCCGACCCCCAACAGTGCTCTACAAAGCTTTGCCTGAGTAATCCATCATCTTCTCATTAAAAACTGGTTAGTTTAAATTGCTTCAGAAACAATAGGGGAATTGTCAGAATTCAATTACGATAACTTCAAGATTGTAGATCAGATAAAGCGAGTATACACTTGTGACTCGGGAATACCCTCCTTAAATCAAAGATCACTTGAAATTGCAAGAACTGCCCCTTTTGATAATTTGATATTGTTTTCTTAATTTAAGCAGGCAGGGTTTCTAAAGGGAAATATTGTGATTGCTACCTACTGTGCACAGTGCTATATTGATATATTAGCTACTTATATAAGCTTACACTAGCTACATAATAAACACACTATATCAACATTGGTATATACTCTTACTTTAAATATACAATAAATATTGAGTATTAAGATAAATATATATATTTTTATGATAATATCATTTTCCATCTTGTTGATAAACCATTACTTATTCCTAACAGCTTGCAAAATCTGGAGAACCTAAAACTGAAAAAAAATCATTAAAAAATGTCCATACCTCCTCTGCTTCTTGGGCAGCCTTTTCCGCTCTTTCCTTTGCCAGCTGTTCTTCGCGGATTTCTCTGTAGGATTTCTTCTTCTCCGGAACCTGAGTGTAACACCACGTGTAATAGATCAGCTGTTAATCAGCTGTTTCAAGGATCAACTTAAAAAACTAATAGAAAACTTAATTGATTAGATATTTTACTATTTCTGTATTTTTAAATTTTTTCTTTTTATTGATCCTTGAACAACTACCAGTGCAAGGTAGAGCAGTTTTGCTGTTTACATTAAAATAAAGCAAAACCGCTCTTAAGCTAATATGTCTATCTACTTCCATCAAATTAGCAAATATTTCCTTTTCTGCTCACTTGATGAGATGTGATGTTAGTAAAAAATGTGTAGGTGTAAAATGTTAGTAGACATTTAGCATGTTTTATTGTTTAAGTTTCATCTCTTGGTTAAGATATACTCGCGATTTTCTCATTAATGTCAATGTTATTTTGTGCTAGTGTAGTGCTACACTGATAAAAGTTATCCTAAGCGAAGTGGTGATAATGCGATGGAACTGATTGCATATAAAATATCACTATTGCTCATAGTTATTTAGATTCGAAATTCGTAAATATGTATGTACTATGTGGATAACTACAAGAAATATTGAGTAGTCAACCGCTCTCATCGCGATATCACTACAGTACATGGGAACATTTGTTTCAGTGTATTTCACGGATGTTATTTCCCCCCGGAAGGCCTGCCTTCCAACCTTGTACATATCTTCTAACTCTCCTACCGTCACGGTGAATCCGTTCAGCCTTATAATATATAAAAAACATTTATTAAATATCAAAAGGTGTTATATCCGAAACCAATTACTTTTTTCTGATTTTTAAAAGGCTTTAGATTAAAAAATTATAAGGGAGAAACGTAAGAACCTCATATTGAGACAGAATCCTTATGCAAATTTATTAACAGTCATATATATATAGATGATTGTATGTTTTTATTCTCTTCTTTTTGATTTATAACATTGTAGTATGTATCAAATTGTAAATATAAAACCTAAGGTCTGATGACGAACATAGAAGCATTGATGGAGTTTGATCAAGAACAACAATCTCAGTGGCTTGGCCTCTAATGGGGATTGGCTTGAGCAGTGGAATGGACATTCTGTAGAATTCAAACTATTATTTATTTGATTTAAAGCTTCTGTTTTGAATTTTTTTTAAATTGATAAGTTACATAATTACTTTCCTCTGGAATGAAACACTCGCCCCTCTGATCGGCTGAAATTCCGAACTCTGAATAAATAAATATTGAAGTAAGTATGCAGTGCTGAGAACTTTTATTTTACAAATGTTACGATTTAACAGGAAAATCTATGCCTTGAGTCTATCGCAGGACGAAGTGTGATCAGAAAAATCGTGGAGAAGGCTGCTAAAGGAGTCCTTACTCCCAAAGGTTGAGCCCGGTAGGGAGTTGTTCCTCGGTTTCCTAGGATTTCTAGTTGTAAAAATTTATTGGAAATTCCTAAGGGTTTGAGGAATTCTCTCCTCAATTATGAATTCTACTAAGCTGGTTTATAGAAACCAAGTTTTCTGAATATCTTACTTGTAATCCGCTAGAATTCGGTTTTTCAGATGTTTCTTAATCAAGGTTTTGTTGGGCTGCGATTCCCTGGATGAACTGGATATGACAGTTTCGAATTAATATATAGATTCTAGAGCTTTTGTTCATATTTACATCACTGTAGATTGGCACAATTTGTGACACGCCTTGTAATGACGAATGGTAATGCGATTGTAGAATATATATTTATATGTATAAATATTAATATGAAACTAAAATATGCCTGATTTTATCATTTCTTCCAGAATGATCATGAACTGGAAAAGGCAAAAAAGTTATTTAATTATTCTAAAAAATGTCATGCAGTAATCTCTTATTTTTATTACTAAATAAAAAATAAAAATTAAGAATAAAAAGAATTTTTTTTCTGCCTATTTCGGGAAGGGATTCAGAGCTTGTTTTCTCATATCTATCATCTTGATTTAGAAGTCCAGGTCTTGTAGAATACAGATCATATTTATCAAAATAAAAATTCATTTAGTCATTCTCAAAATGATTAAATTCAACAAATTCCATGTTGAAGTTTTTGCTGATTGTACTGTAAACATTAGGAAGAGAACTAGGACTAAAACCGGGGTGAGATGGAAGGAAATTAAGAAGTTCAACGTTGAAATAATGAATTGAGCAAACAAACGTAAGTTGTGAAAACAAATATGAGGAATTCCTGAATACTTTGAAATCTCTGAAATAGATAGAAAAATAAGAAAATAAGAAAAATAATAATAATAAGAAAAATAAGAAAAATAATAGATTAAGAAAATTAAGAAAAATAAGAACAAAGAAAATACGAAAATAAAGAAAAAAAAATAAGAACAATAATGAAAATAAGAAATTTAAGAAAAAGAAGGAAAATAACAGAAACACTATAGTATTTGATATTTTGATATAGTTTGCAGTATTCCTAACTATTTCTAATTTTAAAATGAAAGTTTACTGACCAATTGATAAAGTTTTTTTGTGTAATTTTAGACAAAAAATTTATTCCACAATCATATAAAAAGTAGATAGTTGTTCAAAGCTCCCCCATCAATTCTTTTTTAAGAACACATTTTTCTTCATTCCTTGCATCAAAATGAATGGCACATGAAACATTTTGAGACTCCAGAGTACTTTTTCCTTCTTCACAAAAAAATATCAGAAATCTGCGACTTCGATTTGTTTAAATATTAACTTTAAGATAATTGTATTTTTTTCTGCGTCCTGACTCCTGAGTGCTGTTTTTTTCTAAAGTTTCATTGAAAAACAAGAAGTTTAAAATTTCTACTCTTTCATTACTTTTTTTAATATTTTAATTGCTTAAAAATTAGTTACTTTTTTCTGATAAATCCCTAATTTTTTTGTTGGCTCCTTGGCACTGTTATCTTTTCTCGAAATTTCCTCTAATGCTAACTCTTTCTCCTTCCGTGTTTTTTGTATAGTATATTGATTAAAATTAGCAGATATACATTCATGGTTAAATATTTATGCAGTTTAGTCATGCATTTTGAAAAAAAGTTTTCATTCTTTAAGCATCATTTAGTTTAGAAATATTTGTTAACAAATTTTCCTGCATTCTGGTGTTTACAACCCTTGAATATCCCTATTAAAGGGAGTGTTCACGGGTAAAGGCTGAACCCAAACATTTTTTCACACCCTTTAAATAATTTTTTTAAAGTTTCCATTCATTTCTGAATGGCAGAGAAAATAACATGTCTAGATCAATTTTTTGAGTTTGGAGGTTAAACTGAAGTTATGTAAGTTCAACAGCACCAGTTTTTAGGAATAATGTGGATTCATTTCCAAAGAAAATAACACAAAAAAGTTTGAAACTACATGTTGTGGTTATTGTTACCTCTATAGCAACTTGAATTTTTTCCGCTTTAGAGGAAATTTTTTTCTCAGGTTTCTTAGAACCATGATTGTTAGATTCCATAGTTGTAAGCTCTACGCTCTCTTGGTGCTTGGACGTGACAATTTCAGAAAATCTCTTACGAGGCACAGGTTTTAAAGCAACTCCCCATGGAGTCATTTTTTCCGGCCCTACAGCTGGGATGGTTGTCATTGACCTCCGCGTATTAGACTTAAAACCAACTTTGGTCTAAAAAATAATTATTGGAAAGAAAGTTTGAAAATATGTGCTTGTGCTTGTCTACTTCTATACCTGAACTTCTTCCACTGACTGGACTTTAACAACGGGTAATTTTCTGGTTCGTCTTGTCTTAGTACTGATTCCCACTTTACCAGCACTAACACTGACATCAGCATTTTGTCCCGCATTATTAGAGACGTTAATCACTTGGGGTTCAGGTGGTATAATTGTTCTAGTGTCTTCAGTTGTGTTGACTTCTGTAAAGTTGTTTTTTACCATGGTTGACTTTAAGGTTGGCATGGCAATGGATTCGGAACTCTTAGGTTTCTTGTATTTTAAAAAGGAGGCTTTAGAGCTACTCCCCTCACTGCTTGAGGCATTTCTCTGATTTAGTATTTTCTTCATCATTTATACATTCTTTATTTTAATCTTTTAAAGAGGTTATGGAGTGAATGTAAATTGTAAATAGAGATGGGCCCGTTCCGATTTTTCATTTTGTTTACTCAGAAGGTTCGTTCAGTAAAATCATTTGTTAAAAAATCGTTCTTCAGAAAAAAAGATAGTTTTTTTTTTCAAAAATTTGTTCGAAAAAATAGTTTGTTCAGTAAAAAAGTTATAATTTTTTTTAAAAAGTTAGTTTGAAAACATTGATTAGTAAAAACTATATTTTTTTCAAAATCTTTCAGAAAATTTGTTTGTTCAGAAGCAAGCTATAGTTTTTTAGAGTGCAAATTAATGAACGATTTAGAAATCATTACCGAAAGATCGTTCTTTTTATTTCTCTAAATGATCCAAGTCATTCATCCAACGATACCCATCTCTAGATGTAAAATAGATATGTTTGTAAAATTATACATTTAATAGAAAGATGGGTTTTAAGAAAGTTTAGAGGGGGAAATGATACAAAATATGAAATTTTCAAATTTCCCCTGGTGAAGACAAACTTTTTATAAAAACAAACAGAGCAACTTTTACTGAGCTTATATAAAAGCAAGCTAACTTTAAAGGTAAAAAAGAGTCAAATCAAGTTGATGATTTGATTTGATTTGATATAGTTATTTTTTAACAAATTCCGTTTTTTTTCTTTTTCTTTTGTGTTAATATCTATCTGCTATATACAGTAAATAGATAAGTTCTAATATTCTTGCTGACAAATTAGATAGATAGATAGATAGATATCCAATACAGTCAATATTTACTGAGACAGTTGTTTATTTGTAAAAATATTGTTTATCTAATCATATATTGTTTTTTCTTAACTAGGCCTTCAGGGTGCTTCGCATCCTTATTGCCTGCAAAGATATATTTTTTTCCCTAAAATTCAAATACATTTTCTGGGTTTTTTTTCTTAAGATTATTTTTAAAATTATGTTTAACTAATTAACAGTTAAAAAAACTTTTTTTTTAAAGACAAATAATGAAAAAAAATATTTAATTTTTTCAAAAAAATCAAAAATAAATCGATAAACAGTGCAAAACATGTGGTTTAAAGGAAATCCCCCCAAAAAATAATTATAGATTTTCCCAAAATTAAATGTTTACCATTCCCCTAATTTTGTACTTTTAAGATTTTATTATACACCCAAATATTAGATATAAAGTAAAGTATCAAATATCTTTAACTTACAATACTGTTCCTGACTATGTATAATTGGTTCACAAGTTCACCCATTCACCATTAATTCATTAATTCATTAATTCATTAATTCATTAATTCATTAAATAATTACTTCATTAATTCATTAATTCATTAATTCATTAATTCATTAATTCATTAATTCATTAATTCATTAATTCATTAATTAATAAATTCATTTTCTTATCCATCCATCCTCTAATCCATCCTTACAGTAATACCCTTTTTAATGACATAAGTAGCTCAGCAGTAACTTTATATAATTCTTATTTCTATTTTTATCATTTTTGTAATTTTTATAATTTTATATTTATGCTTTTCATTATTTTCAAATGTGAAGAAAATACCTTCGGCCACATTTTTATCACTTTTAAACAATTTACATTTTTAGTTGTACTTTCTTAAAAAATAGAAATTTTTTTTAAAAATCAACACATTTGGGAAAAAGGAATGCTTTTCTCTACTGGAATTATCCCCCCCTTCCCTTCCCCCCTGAGCCCCGGATCCCCCCCACCATGCTATCCCCTGCAGGTGTGAAGGATCCCCTCCCTATGCTATCCCCTGCAGGTGTGAAGGATCCCCCCCCTATGCTATCCCCTGCAGGTGTGAAGGATCCCCCCCCTATGCTATCCCCTGCAGGTGTGAAGGACTAAATTGAACTGAGAAGAGAATGAGCAAGGAGCAAGGAGGTGTAGGTTACATAGGGTATCCTTTACACAGGAGGGATACAGGAGATAGATAGATAAATAGATGCATAGATAAATAGATAGATAGATAGATAGATAGATAAATAGATGCATAGATAAATAGATAGATAGATAGATAGATAGATAAATAGATGCATAGATAAATAGATAGATAGATAGATAGATAGATAGATAGATAGATAGATAGATAGATAGATATATAGATAGATAGATGAAGAAATATTAACAACTATTTTATTGTATCGTATCTACCTAGTATCGTATTGAATCCACCCAGAATTATAAAGTTACCAATGTTATATTTTATGCTAGTTTAAATATATCAAATATAAAGTATCTACCAATGTTATATTTTATGCTAGTTTAAATATATAAAAAATAAATTTCGGTAAGGCATAGAAATATATAGGCAGTACATATGAAGATGTTCAAAACAAATATATAATATCTATACTGAACAGGATTTTAGCTATATTTTTCAATCTAATTCAGATTATTCTTATAACACTTTTAAACAATTTCAAAGCCTCGACTCTAGACTGATTTTTCACCATGATACGCACACACTAGCACATTACTAGCACATTTAACATTGATCATGCACTTCTTCTCTTTCTTTATTTTCCTGATTTTAAGTTTTTTAGCATTTATTTCAGGGTAAGCAGGGTCAATCATTTCTCAATGTACTACAGCACATTCAAGAAATAGTTGTAATAGAAGCAATACAGTTGCACAGTTGTACAATTGCACAGTTGTACAGTTGCAACGTTGTACAATTGGATAGTTGTACAGCTGCAACGTTGTACAATTGCATAGTTGTACATGCGTACATGCTGATGCATACCTCTGACTTTGAGCTACCAGTGAGGGAAGAAGCTCTGGAGGATTGAGCAGAGCGTACTGGTGACACTGATGGGGTTCCCTGTGTACATGTTGTTTGTGTTTTTATGTATTTTGTGTTTATATGTTCGACCCATGTACATCAAAGTTAGTATGTACAAATATGTTTGTATCTGTATTTAAGTGACTGTATTCGTAATGTAGGGGACGTGTTAAATTCACAACAATACTATATAAACCTGATAGTTGTTTATCCCTGTGTTTGCCATTTCTGAAAACCGCGTTGGACAGATTATGTATGTATGCAAATGTCGAGTTCAAGCTGTACATTAGCGTACACTCTGCAGTTTCGGCAGTTTAAAAATAATTTTAGAGATAAACACCCAGATTATTCTGTTTGATGATAGGACAAATGTTTAAATAAATGGAGGGTCAATTGAAAATACACCTTCAGTTTCTTTAAATTGTTTCAACCCTGATTACGGATTTGTTTCATAAATATAAAATTTTAATCTTCAAAGCAGGAGAAAATAGGATTTTTCAACTTAAATCTTGTCATAATAGTTCTCAAAACTTTGAAGGAAAATATTCACAGAGGTAGGAAAAGTTTATTTCTTTTGGAGAAGAATATTAAAAATGCAAAATATTTATTATGAAATGTTCAGAAATATATGAAAAAGATAATTTCTTTTCTTTTTTTTTTAGAAAAAAACTATTTTTTTTTTAAATATAAACCTGATATTTTTTTTTTAGAAAAAAACTATTTTTTTTTTTAAATATAAACCTGATATTGTTCTAAATTTTGAAGAGAACGGAGAACACTTGATAGATATGTCTAACAATCTTTTTCAATATTCAAACAAACGTTAAGGGTTTTATTTAAATTTTTTTGGTTTAGACTTTTCCTTTAAAGATATGGTTCCAGCTCAGATCTATCTTTTACCTTTCTTCAGATAACTTTACAAGGTTTAAGAATTTGATAAAAAGACAGATATGAATGAGATTTATTGAACCATGAACATCTTTTAATTTATCTGAGAAAACTTGAAAAAGGAATAAACCACTTACAGTTCTCTCTTTAAAGGGATTGTAGACGTAATTTAATTGTTCCTTCATTAGCAAATGGGCTTTTCCATCTCACTTTGGTACCCTTAAATCTCATCTGCCCTACAGTAACGAGTTAAAGGTCTTTTTTCTATCTCAAAAAGTTGTTAATTTCAACAATCTTTTTCATCGTTTTGCTGCTTTGATCCGAAGTCATAAATGTCGAGAAACTTTTCAGTTTTTAAATCAAAAAAAAACCTTTCACTCTTGATCAGAGAGTAATGTTGAAAATTAGACATGCCTTTTTACTTGAATCAGCGGACAGTCCCTTTAACTTTGATGAAAACTTTGCTAATATATCTTTCAGCTCCTTTGTCAAAACTTTTCCTTCATCCTTCAGTAGATATAGCAATAGGTGCCAGTTTTCTGTGTGTTTGTGTGTAAAAGCAATTTTCATTTGCTTTTAATTTTAATGTTACATGCAATTTTTGATATGTCTGTTACATAAAAAATAAGAAATATTCTTACCACTTTTTGCACTTCTTCTTTCACCTCCTAAGATTAAATACAAAATTAATTCTGTTCTCCTGAAACCATTTTTCTGTTATTTTATGACTTTTTTTTGTTGAAAACTAAACAGAAAAATGGTTAAGATAAAATATTGAAAAAGAAAACAAACTTGCACACAAAAGTCTGGTCGTGAAAATTTTATGTCAATAGTCACAGTAAAACGTCCCTAACGTCAACATTGGTAAAAATTTTATAAAGATAAAAATATTGTATTCACATTTTACTATTATGCATGCAGTTTAACTATTTATGCATACAGATGTTTGATGGTATCATCAAAGAAAGGAAATAAAGTTTTGCATCCAATATTATTATTGGGTAGGTTGGGTAGGTTATGCATTCAGTCAATAAATGGAGACTGACAAATACCCCTTGTCAATGGAGAAGATTTCAATTTCTCCAATTTTCCTTAAACCCATTGATTTTATTTGTTGGTTAGTGATTCATTTCAAAAGTAAATTGTTTTTAAAAATTATGTTGTGTTTTTAAAAAATACGTTATGTTTTTAAAAATGTAGAGTTTTTAAAAAATAAAGGGAGCGTTAACTTTTTTTACAGTGACCCTTCATAACAAGAGCAAAGTTAAAAATGGAATCTATTAAACTTGTATCCAAGATATTTTGAGAGAGAAACAATCGTTATTTTGGGAATAAAAAAGTGTTCAAAAACCTCCGGTATGGCTGTCAGAATACAGATTGCCAATTTTCAGACCGAAAAATATTGAAATCTCTGCCATTATTTCTTAGACAAACGTACAAAGAGTACGAGCAATTGTTATGAAGTGTCACAAAAAATGAGGCATTGTTATTTTAAAGGCTGTTTTTGGGGACTCAAAAGTACCTCTTTTTTCGTTTCAATAACTTTTGTGGGTTTTTCAGGTTTGGGTTGAGAAATAGAAGAGGAGTCAGGGGTAACTGACTCTGGTTCCGGGTGTGGACTTGTCTGTGAAAAAATGTATATTATGTTCTTTATGTTCATGTAATGTTTGTGTAATAAATGGTATTTCAACAATGAAATACAAAATTTTGTTAAATGCGGAAAATTACCATGTTGTTATAAAGTTTTTCAAATAACACAAAATGTTATCAGTCATTACATGTTCTTTCGATAACATTCTGAGTTTGCAGTAAAAAGGAACTGCTTTAAACGTAGACCATGAGAATGTAGAACCTGAGCTGTCCATAAACAGTGAGAACCAGAAAACTCTGGAATAGCAAGACGACTTTTAGGCTCAAGTTATAACTTAAAATAGACCAATATGAACATAAGACAAAGCAATTATTCATTTAATCAGATATTTAATCAGACCCATTTCACTCAATAAATTATTTAATAAGTTACTAGTAAAACTTTTGTTTTGTAACAACTTAAGCATTGCTTTCAGATCATCTTGGACTATTGCACAGTTTTTGGTTCTCACTGTAAAACAATGAAAAATATAAACAATCCCTTTCCCCCTTATTCTTAGTTCTCATTGTTGAAGACCATGTATACATCAATGTTGTGTTTTGTTAGTTTTGATTAGTAAAAATGTATGATTTGTAAAAACTAACTATTGGGTTAATGATATCAGCAAAAAATCAGTTTGTTGTAAAGATGAGACAGCTAATAACAATTTGGAAAAATATTTCCATCTGGTTTTTAAAAAGCACATGAATCTTTTACACAATTGTAATACCTTTTTCCAACTCAGAATTTCTTTTTTAAATTGTTTAGGTCTTTTATGTTTGATATTATTATTCAGAGATTCAAAATCAGTCATGGGAATTCCAGATGTTTCATGCTCAGCCAAAGATTCAACATCATCCTCCGTTGCTGAATATTCAGAGGTGAAATCAGTTTCCATTTCTGTTTCATCCTCCACGACAACCCTAGGAGGGCTTAGTGCTTTGACCGCAGACTTAACTTTTGTTGGTTCTGCTGGTTGAACTGGGGATGTTACTTTTTGAGCCTTTGTTAATTTCTTAGTGCCAACTTTTGACGGGACGGATTTTGATTCTGATGTGACTGATTCTGAATCTCTGAAGGGTTTCGCTGTTGGTTTAGTATTTTTTTGGGGTTTGTTTTCATGTTTAGGAATTTTATCCAATGTAGTCTCCGGTGCAGTGTTTGTGTGCAAATCAGAATCCTAAACATATGGCTGCTCATTTCTTAGAAACATAGTTTATTTTCAAAATGAAATGTGAGAGTTTTTATTACTTTAGCATCACACTTCTGTTTCCCTTGCTGCAGATCAAAAATCAAAAGCAAAAATGGGAATTTTTAATTAGAAAATGTTATGATTCTGAAAAGAATGTGTTACCTCAAAATAATTTTCACTTGTATAAATCGTGCAAACTTTTTCAGATGTAGACAAAGCATTTCTATTTTGTTCATTATCTTCCTCACTTTCATTAATAGACGTGGTGTTTAGAACATATTTGAAGCTTCGTTTGGGCATAAGAAGTGGTGTTATCTTTCGTTGAGAGAATTTTTTCTCCAACGAGTTTGGTTCTCTTGGGGAAAGAAAAACATTTTCTTCTGCAGAAGAACTTTAGAAACAAATCAATCTTCTCACCGTAGTCAAAACAATCAGTACTTTTACACAACTCAAAGTTTACAAAAACTAAATAGAATAACTCCAACTTCAACAATCCTTTATTTTTGGTATTTTAGAAGAAACTCTTAAATTTTTTTAAGAAATTAAACTGAATGTTTAAAACTTCTGAAATGTATCCAGCAAAATCTTGATTAAAATTTCTAGGAATAGACTGAAAATTGATTCCCTTAAGGTATGCTGTTTGTTGTTTTGAAATTGCTTTCTCAAGGTGAGTGATGATTCATCAAGTTGAATATTAAATGTTTTCTCTAAGGTTGGACTATTAATCTCATTACTGTCAGATTTTAACCTTTCCTGCCTCTTAATCTGCTGCCTCATAGCTAAAGAAAAGTATTTGTTTTGATGGAAGTAAACTTGTAATAACTCAAATAACCCAGAAAAATGTGAAATACGCATAAAAGGGGGGAAAAACAAATATTTTCCTTTTTCTTCGGTTATCCAAACAACTTTAGCGTCAGGCGCTTTATCGTTTAAAAGGACTGAAACTATAGGTTGCTGATTGTCTACATCTGAATGGGGTAATGAGGGTGGGGATGAGGTTGTTTCTACTCTAAGGTTGCTAGAAGAAAGATCTGGTTCTTCTGTTATCTAGATAGGAAAACATGTTTTCTAATTTAGAATTTCAAAAGCTCTTAGATCTTAATTATGTACAGAAGCACTAAGCAGGTATGTAAATGCATACAATGTGTAAAATACCAAATTGTATTAGGTTGGGATTCTTTCTAAAAATTATTTAAATTTCATGCTTCAAATTTTATTGCAGAAAATATATCAGAGTTTTATCGCGGAAATTACCTTCACTGGAGTTTCTGGGAGAGAGTCAACCTCTGTGATTTCAAGAATCTCTGTAGTCTGCTAATTTTTAAGTGATCAAAATGTTACCTTATATCGAATTTTTCAAATTGTCAGCTTTTTACAAAAAGGAAATGAGTCTCCGCTTTACTAATCTTTGAAATTTTGCCTTTTTCCTTTTTGAATTAAAAATCTATTTAAACAAAACAAATTACCTTTTTTGAAGGTGTATCGTCCCCTGTCTCATCAGGGATTTCGATTACAGCAATAGGAATAGAAACCACCTTATTCTGAATTTTAAACCTTTTATTTCTAATTCAGTTTTAACAAGGAGCAAAAAATGCTGGTAATCCTACCTGATCTATGATCCCATCATTTTCGTCAGCCTCAACGATTTGCAGATTGTCTAGTTTTTCTGCAATATCGTCTAGAGGCTCTTCTATAACTGGCTATATAATAAGATAAAACGTTAAAATTTATAAATTCAAATATATCCAAACAAAATTATTTTAAACTACCTCAGAATCAGTGACTGTCTCATCTGTCATGTCTGATTTTAACACTGTGATTGGGATTTGCCTAAAGTCATCTTCAGACCTTGCTTTCTTTTTTGTTTTTGATATTTTAACAGAAGGTTTAGTTTTTTTAACAGATTCTGAAGAAGTATCATCATCTTCCACAGTTTCTATGGCTTGTTCCGCAAATTCAGGCGCATTCTTCAGCTCTTGGGGTGTTTCATCTTTGACAATTGATAATCCTTGTTCAGAGGGAAAGTTTAGGAACGTTGGAAGTTCTATTTTTTCATGGTCTGCATGTTTTTTTGTGATTGCAGCAGCAGGTTTAACAATAGGATCTTTTTCCTTTCGCTCCACTTCTTCTGTAACCAACTCATCTTCATCTGATTGTGGAATTTGAGGATTAATCTCCTTCGGTATTTTCTTTTTTATTTTCTTTACTTTTTTATCTTTACCAGGTAGGGCCTCATCTGTAATTTTAAGTTTTATTCCTGTTTTTTCTTCAGCAGGAATATCCAAAGGTTTAGACTCAAAATCATGGTGTTTCAGTTTTACAGTTTCTCTTTCTGGTGTTAGGTCCTTGGGCCTAGGAGGAGGAGCTTTTTTTAGCTTTGGAATACCGGGCTCAGGATCTTCAGGTTTGGTTGGTAATGCCTTTTTATTTGATTTTTTCAATGGTTCTTTTTTTGGAGTTGTGTCACTTTTTAGATCAGACTCCGGTTCACCTTTTACTGAGTCAATATCATCAGATTTGAGTGATATAATTGATTCATCATCAGATGTAGAAGTGTCTGGGTTTGAATTATTATTCGAATTTTTCACTGACCTTTTCATCTGTTTAGTTTTCTTTTCAATCTTAGTGCCTGTAATAATTGAGCTATTCATTTCTATTGCTGGATCCAAGGGAGCATTTTCAAAATCATGATGAGCCAAGTCAATTTTTTCTAATTCTGCTTTCTCAATTGGTCTTTTTATAACTTCAGACTTTTTCAGTTTAACTGCAAAGGCAGGTTCTAAATTTTCTTCAATTTTATTTTCTGCCACTTCTTCTTTAGGCTTCACTGGTGTGGGTTTTAAATCTTTAATAGTTTTTAACTCTTCAATAGGTTCCACAACTCCTTTTTGTATGGGAGTTGCTGGTTCAGTTTTTTCAACCGCTTTCTTTTTGACGGTTATAACTTTCTTTTTCTTCTTTTTCGGAGCATCATCTTCTACTACATCAGGAATGTCTTCTAATGGTTCTGAAGCAAGCTTTGCTGCTGTCTGCATTTCTGGCTCTTCCTCTTGTGGAGAAGATTCGAAAGCATGATGAACTAATTCTACAACTTCAAGTTTAGTTTCTTCAATTGGCCTCTTCACAATTTCAGTTTTTCTCAGCTTTTTTGCAAAACCTGATAAGTCTTCAACAACTATCTCTTTTTGTTTTGAAAATTTCCTAGGTGTCTTTTTGGTCTCCAGTCCATCTTTTTCAGTCAGCGAAGGCTTGTCCATTTCCTTTGCAGGAACAGATTTTCCATCATCTAAAATTGACTCTTTTTCCTTTTCAGATATCTTTATTTTAGCTGTAGTTTTCACATCTTCCTTAATTTTTACGTCAACACTTTCTTCTTTTTCTGATAATGTTGCTTCATGCAACCTCACTTCTGATTCTTTCCTGGGTTTGCATTCTCCAACTGGAGCCTTCTCCAGCTCTTTCAATTTTTGGGCACCTTCATCATCCTTTTCTGAAATCATTACTTTTTCCTTCTCAAATGTTTTCATTTTTGTTGTTGTCTTTATTTGTGTGGAAGTTTTTCCTTCTTTATTTGTAGTTTCTTCAGACAAGATCACTTCTGATTCTATTTCAGGTTTACTTTGGACCAAACCTTCATTCTTTTTCGTATTTTCTTTAGTTTCATCAGGTTTTTTAACTGTTGGAATATCAGCTTTTTCCTCAGATACATTTTTAGTTGTTTTTTCAATTTTCTTCTTTTTCTTTTTCTTAGAATCTTCTTCGCTTTTGCCATCCTTGAAGGGTTCTGTTGCGATCTTAACATTGGTTTGCATTTCTTCTGCTGTAGTTTTAGGAGTACACTCAAACTCATGGTGAACTAGTTCTACTGTCTCAAGTTTTATTTCCTCAATTGGTCTTTTAATAGTTTCTGTTTTTTTCAATTTCTTGGCAACGGAAGTAAAATCTGGAGTTTCTTCTTCGGTTGGTTTAGAAACCACTTTTTTAACAGTTTTTTTAACAACCGCTTTTTTGTTAGAATCTAATTTTGTGGAAGCCTGGCTGGGAGCACTGTCTTCATCCTGCATGGTCTCTTGAGTGTTAATTACAGGTTTAGTCTCATCACTGTGAATAGTTGAAATAATTTCTTCATGCTTGACATCTGGACTATACTGCTGTGCTAACTTTAGTTGCTCAACCCTAAAAATTATTATAATAAAAAAATGTAATCAAAGTGACTGAGTTTTTTGTCTGAACTTCTAATACTCTAATCCCTATATCTTTGCAACCTGAATGGTGTAAACCTGCAATACTTCAAACTAAGATTATTTGCTATAACAGAATTCATAGATTGAATATTAAAGGTCAATCTTGGGCTGCAAAGATACAAAGATTAGACAATCAGATGTTAAGGCAAAAACTCAATTCCTTTTCTATGGCTACATTAAATTGATTATTTAGTTTTAGCCAAAAAAGCTCCAACTTTTTGGAATAATTAAATTAAAATTTATTTATGATTTGGCTTCAAAAAATGAAGATGTTTTGATAAATGTGTATTTTGTAAATTTCTACCTGGTTTCTGCTGCGGAAGCTAAATCAAGTTTAGCATCTTCAATATCTTCCAAATACTCTTTAGTTTCAGAGACCTGAAAACAAATCAAAATTAATCAATTAGTTGGACAAATTTATTCTGCCGGTGAATATATGAAATTATGTATCTGAGTGTTTGATCAGTTTCTAAACCTACTTTTGGCTTTCAATTGGCTCAAAAAGTACTATTCTCTACTATTCTTTGACTGAACATTTAGCTTCAAATCTGTCTTAGTTGTAAGAGTCAAAATTAGTATACTTCTTAATGATAAAATTTTGAAACATATTGTTTGACTTGAGAGACATTTCAATGCCATCAGTAAACCAAAAAAAAATTGGAGTTAGCCAGCCTTTTATATATAAATAAGTATAAAATATGGGGGCAAACAGAAAGTAAAGAGGGGAAATTAATAAAATAAAAAATTACCCCGAATGGCTTCTCTTTTTTTACAGCTCTATTTCTGCTTTCCCTGTGAGTTGAACTCTGGCCTGTTGATTGTTCTAGCTCCATGTTCTCCAAAGCAGATGCTTGCTCAGATCTAGTTTCAAATCCTTGCACTCTGGGCCTAGATGTTGCTCTTTTATTGTAACCAGAAACAGCAGTTGTTTCAGTGGCGGTTAAAGTTTCAAAAGGTTTATTCAAACCTTCAGAAGATGTTTCCTCAGGCAAATACACCTGCAATTATTAATCATTAACCACTGGTGATTTAAAATACTGAAAGAAACTTCACTTTTTCATGCAAATTTAACAAAACAGAAAGCTTTAAAAGGGTTTAAATATGTATTTAGATATCTTACCCCAGTTTGCTTAGTCGCACAGAACGCCCGATTAGTATCTTGTTTTGGAGTTTCAGAGGAAGTTGCTAAAGCTGTTTTAAGGATTGACTTTTCACTTGAATCACAAGACTCTTCCTTGGGTTCAAATCCTTGTTCCAGACAAACTCGTTTTGCTCTTTCACTGCTTTTGCTCCTAGTTAGCTGAACTTTTGGTAGTAAAGGATTTTCCAAATTGTTTTTTAAGTCATTTATTTCATCTTTTTTAACATTTTGTCCAATTAGCTCTGATTTTTTTACTGGATTCTGAAGACAAACCTTTACAATGCCTTCATTGGCTTGCTTAAGATTTGGCTGAACTAAATCTGCTTCCTTTGCAGAGTCTTCAGCATGGTAAATACCCATTCCTAATCCAATGGACTTCACCTTCCCAAATACATTTCCAACAATCTTTCCAGTCAATGATTCCCTTTTCTCTGGATTTACATCAAATACTTTAGCTTCCTCCTCTTCCTGATAATGCCCAAGAGATTTATCACGTTTCTTTGCTTTTTTTCTTGTTTCAGATTGAACTTTAGCTTCAGATGCTTTGCATGTTTCAAAATCATCTTGACTGAAATCTTTTATTTCTTCCTGATGTGGTTGATATCCTTGTATGTAAGAACTTAGTGTTCCTTTATCTGAATTACTATTTTCATGTAATATTTGGACATCTTCCTTTGGCTGTAGTGGTTCAGTTTCAAAATATTCCACTGTGAGCTCTTCCATATTTATTCCAACCCTACGGTCAATAGATTTTGATCTGTGTCTTTCAGATTTAATTTTGGATGCTTTAATTTGTACAGAAATATCTTCTGTTTCATTTATATCCTCACAAACTTCTTCTTTTGTTAAATTACCAATTGCTGCTACTGAATTTATTGACCTTTCAATGCTTTTTGGCCGTTCTTTTCCTGCTTTAGCAGTCATTGTTAGAGATTCTTCAGATGGATTACTTTTTGTTGTCTCATTTTTTGGCATAAACCCAATTTTTGAGGAATTAGATACCACCCTCTTCAACTTTTTGATTTCACTTGTAGGCAACGCAGTTACTGCCTTCAGACTAGTCTTAAGACTAAGATCCTGAGTAGCTAGTTCTTCAGCATATATCCCCAATTGTTTATCAACTGATTTACTTTGTCTTTGATACTTTCCAATTGTTTTTGACATAGCTGTTGCTGGTTTATCAATCTCATTCTCCATATTTTCAGTGTTGTCATAGCTAACATCAACACCAAATAGGTGAGGTTTCAACTGTGCCTGATCAAAGCTTACTTTTTTATTTAAGATGATGCTTGCATTGCCCTTTTCTTCTTCAGTCGGGGACATCTCCTCCATCGTTTCAGACATCTGTACATAGCCCTCATTCACAGATGTCTTGCTGGGTAATTCAGTGGTTAGAGCCTGAGAGGAAATATCTGCTGTAAACTCTTTAGCTTGATATCCTGTTGGCATTTCCATAGTTAACTCATCAACAATGGCATGTCCCATTTTCCTGTCAATTGATCTTGCTCTGTGTTTTGGCCGCATCATGTTTTCTGTAGGTTCTATGCTCTTGTAGTTTGAGATATCCTTTTCAGAAAACTCAGTAGGTATCATGAGACTATCTGTCAATCCAAGCTGCTTCTCACATGCCCTTGCAATGCTTAGCTTTCTTTGGGTTTCCACCACTTCTGTGGCTTCAACCTCATTTTCTTGACCTTTTAGATCTGTGGCCTTGTCATTAACATTTACAAACCCTTCTTGTCGCTCAATAGATTTGACTCTATCTTTGTAACCCTTTCTGTGAACCTTAGACTCAGCTTTTTCTTCTCTTGTTTGAGTTTTAGGTTTCAACTGTTCACACTCATCTGATTCCTGGATAAGTCCTTCTGATCTCGCAGAATAAAGGGAGGTTTCTCTTACATGTTTTTCTTTAACAACCGCAGGTAGGTGCCCACTGGGAAGAACAACTTTCAAATCAAGAGTTTCTTCTGAATCTCTTTCTTCTCCAACCAATTTTTCAACAGATCTTGCTTGAGCTTTAGAATCTTGCTCATATTCCATAACAGCAGTGTCATGTATTGGAACTTCAGGCTCTAGAAAATCTGAAATTTCTTGTTTCTGTAGAGCACCCATGCTTCTTTCAATTGATGTGGCTCTGTTTTTTGCTTTTTTGCCACCAGTAGTTGTCAATGCTCTTGTTTTTTCTGACATAGATACAGGCTCAATATCCTTGCACTTTTCATAATCCATACTTATGCCTTGATTTGTTTCTCTTTGAACAACTATTTTTTGAATTTTAGACTTTTCTGAAGTTGAACAAATTTTATCAGTATCAGGGATTCTTGAAATATTTTCCTCAGCTATTTGTACAGAACCTGTCTCTCCTATTTGTTTGTCTACTGAGGTAGTTTGTTCTGTTATTGGATTGTTTTGTTTTCTTACTTTTGCAGTTTTAAGAACTTCTAGGCCTGGGTTGAGTTCATCAACAGACTCTTCAATGAGTGATATGCCCAGCTTATGATCTACAGATTTTGCTCTATCCCTTAAAACCTTTGCTTTACTAGTGCCTATTGTAACAACTTCCCTCGGAACTTTCTTGGAATCAAATTGGGATGTTGTTTCTTCAATGTGTAGAAGATCAAATGTCTGATCTATTGATTTTGCCCTTTCTTTTTGTAAAATTTTTGTATCCAGATTTTCATATTGGTCATATGAGTAACTTAACCCTTGGGACGTTACACTTTTCTTTGCAAGGTCTGCCTTGTTACCTTCTTTCAAAGTCACAGCTTGGACAGTAGAAGCTGTTGCATTATTGATCTGGGAGGTAGTTAGAATGTCCGTATCTATACCTTCAATGCGTTCAATTGACTTAGGCCTTAAGTTTGTCTTCTTTCCCTCTTTTTTCAGAACAGCAGTTTCTCTTGGAGATTGCTCTGATTGTAAACTTTGCACTTCTTCTGTATGATCCTGCCCAAGCTCAACAGTTTGATTAGAAGATTGTTGCATCTCATGTTTATCCTCCAAAGATAAATTTGCCACTGTTTGCATGGTGTTCTTCAGTGTTTTATCATCAAGGCCAAGGTCTTCAAAAATAATAGTTTCAGTTTTCTTAGTTAAATTAATAGACCCTGGGGCTATACTTGGCTTTAGTTTGACAACAACTTCTGGATTTTGAGAAAGGTTTATGCTTTCTTCACTTGTGCTCTGTTCAACGATCTGCAAAGCAGTTGTCTCCATTTTTGATCTTACACCTGTCTGTGCAGAAGCCCCAACTTTATTGTTTCCTGAAAATGTCCCAAGCTCTTCATCTTTTTTGTGCTCTCCAGATTCAGTAGACCTTAAAACTGCTTGCTGTAAAGCAGATTTAGGAGTTAAAGAAACTATTGCAGTGCTAGATACAGCTTCTTGTTCCAATATCAGGGAATCTTCAACCTTTTCCTCAGCACCAACCTGTTTAGAAACTCTCTCGGCTTTATTTTTTCTATCTCTGACTTCAGAGCTAGTTATATTTAGGGGGGTTGTCTTCTCAGAGGAAATTTCAAGACATGAATCTATCTCTTCTGTATCTACTTTTGGTCGTCCAACTACTTTTGACATCTTTTCGGCAACTTGACGCTTTGAAATTGCAATTCCTGTCCTAGCAGTAGTTGTCTCCTTGATTTCTGGCACTAATTTCTCTACTATAGAGAGCGGTAACTGCTGTTCAATCTCAGTTGTATCTATTTCTATTCTTTTAACAGTTGCAACTCCCATGTTATCAGATGAATTTTCAGCAAGCATTTCAGTTCTCTCCATTGATAAGATTTCTCCACCTTGTCTAGTAATCAGTGTTGCCTGATTTTTAGAATTATCCTGAAATTTGGTCAAATCTCTTACAGTCTTGTCATGCCCAATCTTTTCAATTAATGGCATCAGTGCAGATGCCTCATCCAAAGGTTCTTGAACTTCTCCTTGTTTTACTGAAAACTCTTTCAAGTTTGAAGTTACTTTGATGTTGGTCCTAACTTTGCTTCTGGCTTCTGGCTGATGCACTTTTACAGTCGTTTCTTTAGAGACATCCTTTAAAATATGCACATAAACAGGGTGTAAAAATAAGCAAAGGCAAAAAATGTTGATTTTCTTTGATTTCAAAAATATTATCAGAAAAATCCGAATTCACACAGAAGGGGACAAATTGACTTTAAATGTACAATCAAATATTTAAGTAGAAGATTGAGAAATGAGATCTTACCTTGAGTTTATCTCCGCCTTCTACAATTAGACCTGAGAATCTTTGCTCAACACTCTGAGATGCCAAGATTGGAATCTTATCTTGTTTACGAACAGCTTTTAGAGGTTCAACTTCTTTCAAGCTGAACTCCACTGAGCTTTCAACATTGGATGAAACACCAACTGTATTTGCTATCTGTGTAGATTTGCCGCTGTACTCTTGATCATGAACTTTTTGAGAAGCTGATATTTGTTCTAATTCCACTGTTGATAAGGTCTGAGAATCTTCAACTTCTTGAGTTTCCTTTAAAATAGTAAAAATTACCAACCATGAAATTTTAAACAAGGTTAAAAAAGACATCTTAAAAGAGAAAATCATTTTTCTCCATTCCATAAAATTTTTTGTTCATTTATCCTTCATTTGGTTACTTTCAAATAGTATTACCCCTTGTAGTTTCGAAGCATGTTGCACTTTCATTTCACCATCAGTGCCAGTGTTTGATGCAACAGCATGGATTTCTGTGAACTCGTTATCAGACATATCTTTGATCATCATTTTCTCAATAGTGTCAGTTCTATCTGTTATCACTGGAAGATCTCCGCTGATTAGTTTCTTCTCTGTTTCAAGTCTGTTCTCTTCCTGAAACAATTTGAATACATGCATATTTGTAAAATACAAAGTTCAACCCAAAATGATAAATCAATGATAGCTTAAAAAATCCATTTTTTACACATTTGAAAAGTTATTTTCTTAATTTTTTTAAATACCTAACTCAGTTTTTCAATGCTTTTATTCAAAAAATAAAAGGGGTAAAAAACTAATAGTACATTAACCCTTTCTAGACTCAAGTATACAAAAGATAGTTTGCATCAAAAAATATTTACAAGGCCCTATATCTTTTCATATGTATACACAAGTTCTTAAGTATCGCTGCATTTCTAAAAATAAACTGTTTACATAACTCAAGGTTAGGAGAGTAATAGTATTACTCACACCTAAATACAGGGGAATATATCATCCTCATAAAAATCATAACCAAAATATTTTTTCATAATTTTTTAAAAGTTTAAATTTTCCATAGTTGCGCAGTTTTTTTGTTTGTTTAAAAAGAACCATTTTAGTGAAATATTTAAATATTACTCTTGCAGTTCTGGAAAATATTAAACCCCTATTTAAGAACAGCAGAGTATTTTTTTAAAGGAATTGAGTAATTGTCACAAATTCAAATTATCTAATCCCTATATCTTTGCAACCTGATAGTGTGCACTTTTGATATTTCAAACTTAAATTATTTGAACTAACAGAATTCATAGTTTTAAATATCTAAGTTATACAAAATTGATTTATAAAGTTATAGGAATTAGAAAATTAGAGTTTGTGGCAAAGACTCAATTCCTTTAAATTGACCCTCCATTGAAAGAGTGGCTTCAGAAAAAGGTACCCTTAACATTTATTTTACAATAAACTAGACATCCATTTCTATTTCTGGTTTTTCTTTTCAAAAGTGACTTGCGCAATTATTTTTTCAGAAGCAATGGAGAAATTTCCAGAATTAAACACTTTTGAAGCCGAAATATCTGTTAAATTATAAGCGTTGAAGCGACCGGTGTGAATCAAGCATGCTTCTCTTAAAATTATGACGACGCTGTTCGTTAATAAATAAAATTTTTAAAAAGAAAACTGATTTTAAGGAAAAACAAACAATAAAAGGAAGAATTGTAAGGTACTCCAGTGAATCGCTAATGGCATTCAATTAATTATATTCCTCTTAAAATTACGTTAGCATTTGCTACATACACTTAGTAAAACTTTTAATTCTACCCCAAAATATCGGTATCTTTATCCTATTCTCAAAAGAACAAGGTTACCCAAAGAAAGTGAAAATTTAATGAGGACTTGAAACTTTTTTGTTTCTTCTGGTCTTATAAAGATACCAGAATTGTTTGACACGAGTGAAAATAGTTTCAAGATACGTGGAAACATCAATAAGTCTCTCTGAAGGCTCATCCTTTGTGGGTAACCCTGTATAAAGAAGGATGAAAAGTGGAAACATTTCCTCAGGGGATTCAGGATTTAGAGAATACATCATTGAACCATAGATACCACATACAAGGATTTATACAGTATACAGTATACTGCAGCTTATACAGCTAGGACAAGAATGATAGTTTTCTTCGTCATAATCTTATAACGTGTACAGTGTGTAATAACCAGAAAACTCTGTAATATAAAGACGACTTTTAGACTCTAGTTATAGCATTAAAAATTTTGCAGTGTAAACAGACCCATTTAAAATAGGTAAGCAATCGAATAAGTGTCTTTTAAAGCTCTGTAACACCATCAAATAAACTCAAATATTTTCAAAATGTCGTCTTCCTATTCCAGGGTTTATGGTTATCACTCTATAACCTTCCAGCATTATTTAAATCTAGTTTAAAAATAACTGTGGTTCTTTAGTAGTTTACAAAAAACGTGACTTTTTTATATATTGCAAGTTTCCCCTTCATTTGATAAAAAAATTTACCTGAGCAATTTTTGATTGAGTTTGTATCCTGATATCAGTTATCTGGGTATAGTCTAAGACCGGGAGACAGGTTTCTAAAATATCTGGGTATAGTCTAAGACTGGGAGACAGGTTTCTAAAATATCTGAGTATAGTCTAGGAACGAGAGACATAATTCTAAAAAATCCAAGGTTTAATATATATGTTGTTGAAGGGACTTAACGGCATCAAAATCAACAGGGATTTAAAAATATTTTAAGATTAGATCCATAATTTAAGATTAACACCTTTCCGACAACTCAACACGTTAAAAAAAATCTTTTTCCCCAAACTGTTGGAATAGACGGTCAAGAAAAGAAGAAAATAATTAATAAAGAAGGAAACTAAGATGACAAGAAGAATTGGAAAAATGCTTTAAAAACACTTTAGTTTTCATTTTGAACGGCTTAATGTTATAAAGAAAAGGGGTACTCTTGACATACACGGTCAAAGAACTATTGATAATGTTTTTTTGAATTAATAAAATTGGGGTATGGGGAAAATCTTGAATACTGGTGAAGTAAATGTCTTTATAAATCCAACCACGTGAAATATATTGTTTGTCATCATCTAGAAGAAAGGTGATATCCTTGAGCACCAATCCAAAAATAAAACCAAGAAAAAAGAAAGATCTAGAAAGAATTTTCTCGGACAGTTTCTGCGTATTCCAAGTCATTGTACTTGGAAAAGTCTAGATGAAGTTTAAAAGAGAATACTTATTTTACAAAACATACTCAAATAAAGATTCTCATACAAAAATGTGTAACATTTTGAAGAGATTAACAGCAGTGTATAAAACAAGACATTCGTATATATATAATATATCTGTTGTCTAGCCGGCCAAACGGCTAGACCGATTGGGCTAAAATTTTTTGTGGACACTCATGGGTGGCCGGGAGGTGGTATAGGTTAAAAAGATCTAATTTCTTTTCGAAATTTTTTTTTAATATAAAAAAAATTTTAAATATTTTTTTTAAATTTTTTTCACGGGCAACGCCGGGCCCTTAAACTTTTCTATAAAATAAAGCACCATTGACCTACATTTAAAAACCTTTTTTCATGATATACATTTTTTTACATAAAAAAATTCGAAATATTTTTTTTAAATTTTTTTCAATATTCACGGGCAACGCCGGGCCCTTTAACTTTTCTATAAAATAAAACGAGACATTCGTATACATATATTTTGCGTATAGCCGGTCAAACGGCAGGACCAAATGGGCTGAATTTTTTTGTGGACACTCATGGGTGGGCTGTTATAGGCTAAAAAAAATTCAAATTTTTTTATCCACGGGCAACGCCGGGCCCTCCAGAGCTATATACCTTAATAGTCCTTAAGGAAATATTTTATATTTAGCCTAACTTTCAAGAGAATGGAGTGGCATGTTCGAGCTACAATTGATACCTTTAAATCTAAGTAAATCTAACAATCAGGAAATCTTGAAAAGTATTAAATTCTGACAATTTCCTCTCCATCTCTGCAGCATAAATTTAAATCAATAAACAGTTATCCTTGATCAAACAAATGTTTAAAAGTTTCTGTTGTAATTTCAAAGTATTAATTAAGATACTTCTTATAGAGATATACAGTCCTAATAAAACTAGAACCTTGAGGATAAAACTGTTTTGAAAATTCTAGAAGAATTGTCAATAAAATATTATCTTAGCATCTTAATACTATGCAAATATTAGTAAATGAAGAATTATATGGCAAATATCAATTAGATTAGCTCAAACCAATCTTTTTTTTCTAGAACCCCTGAGCCCAGTTTCGAAAATCGGTTTCACAAATGGGGTGCGGTACTTTAGTAGATTTGAATAAATTTTTTAAAGAAATATTATTTCATATGGTTTTATTTTCTCTCTTTATATATTTTATTTCTTAATGTAAATCTACACAAATGTTTAGACCCTAAAAAGTAAACTCGGAGTTCAACGATTCTATTTGACTGGCTACTGTATTTAGTTGTGTACAGTGTACAGGGTACAGTTAGATCTACACACGTACTTTTTACTTTAACAGACATTCTGTTCCGATTCTATGGCCAACAATTTGAGTGATAATATGACAATGTGCTCAAGATATAAAATGAAACAACCAAAGTTGTAACATTTATTCCTCGGTTGAATTTCTAGAATTTAATTTAATTCTAAATATTTAATCATAATTATGAATTTTTATAGATGTTTAACTCCAAAACTTTTAAGATGGAGAGTAATTATTCATTTCGGAAAAATTTCGAAAGTTAAGGTTTAAGGTTTAACCTTGGGAGCGAGCTAAATTTTCCATGGATGCCGAATGCCTTTTATCATTTGAATCAATTTAAATGGAGCGTTCGCGAGTAATGAAAGGGGGTATAGGCTGATCCCGAATTGAATTAGATGCCAATCGTCACTATAATTTTACTACTATCTGTTGCGTCTATAAGGAGAAAATGGTCAAAAACGACTCATGTACCGAAGAGCGTATAGGTCAGTTATTTGGCTGCTAGGTGTCTCTGCTCTCGATATTTAAGTGATTTCTCTTGGGAGCAAAACATTTTAAAAAGGTATTTTCGACAAGAATTTAAACGATTTAAACAATCGTTTTCATTTATTTACCTGTAATTTGTCCAGCTTCTGGTAGCTCATATTCTTCTTCAATTTCTTGACCATTCTCTTTTCTATATGAATCAAGAGTTTTTAATGGAAGGAAATTGGGGCTAGATTATTTCCGAAGATGGGATCTTTAGTATTGAAAGGTTTAAGTTAGAGGAGAATTATGAATTTATCAAAATTATCTCTCTAAAATATGAAAATGTTCATTTTTGAAAAGATTTACAATTAGAATTCAATGGCTTTTAATTCAAGACCAAACTTAAAAAGGATTTTCCCAAATAGCAACGTTTAATTGGCAAAGTGGCAACTTCTCAAATGTCAAATGTTTTAATTGGCAACTTCTCAAATGTGTAATATTCTAAAGGAAAACTTCCCAAAAGTGTAATTTTCTAAAGGGCAACTTTCCAAATGTGTGATTTTCTAAATGGCAACTTCCCAAATCGACAAAGAAATTTTCAAAGTGGCAGCTTCCATAATGTAAAAAATACCATTTGTACCAGCAACTTCCCAATTATACAATAACTAAGTGGCAAATTTATAAAACCACAACTTTCCAAACAGTAATTTCCCAAAATAAAAACATCATCTTTAATTAACAAAATGTACCAATTTTATAAAGGAAGTCTTTGCCACAAACTATGATTTTCTAATACCTTTATCTTTGCAACCAAATTTAGTAGACTTAAAATATTTCAAACTATGAATTCTGAAAACGATGTATTCGCTAGAAAATTGATCTGTAATAAGCGCTGCCCAGGGTACTCATAGTTACTCCCGCCGTTTACCCGCACTAAGACGATTTTTACCAGGAAACTAACTTTTCGCTATAAAAACCGACCCACTCAAATTATAAATTTAAAAACCAAGTTAAAAACATTTTAGTGGGTTCACTAATCAAAATTTGAGGAAAATCGGTCCAGAGGTTCCTGAGTAATGATCGGACAAACAAACAAACACCCAAACAGAGATTACAACTTTATATATATATAGATCATGTAATAATGTTTTAACACTAAGCTTTCAGAAATATAAATATTTAGGTTTTAAAAATTCTGATATTTCATATAATGATAAAGTTTGAAATGCAAAATACCATCAGGTTGAAAAAATATTGGGATTAAAAAATTTGAGGTTTTTACAAGGACATAATTCCTCTTTTTCCCATTTTACTTTTATTTTTAGTGTATGGCAGTCTTTTTAATTTCTTAGATATTGTATAACATAGTTTGTTTGATGGTCAATATCTTTCAAACTAAATATTGTTTGGTAAATTCCAAGGCTTGTGAAATTAACTTCTAAGGTTTTATCCCATTAAAATTTGAAATTGAAGGTTTTGGTTTAATTTAATAATTATAATAATAATATATTTTGATTAATCTGATGTATCCAAGGACTATTTTCTATAATTAGTTCAGCTCCCAGCTCTAAGTTTGCCCAAAGTTTACCATCTTTAACCAAATCTTCCTTTGTAATAATCCAATAGAGTTAAAAACATTTCTCTAGAGGCTCTAATATCTCATTGTATACATGTAGTTTGTATTGTATTTCTCTAGAGGCTCTAATATCTCATTGTATACATGTAGTTTGTATTGTATTTCTCTAGAGGCTCTAATATCTCATTGTATACATGTAGTTTGTATTGTATTTCTCTAGAGGCTCTAATATCTCATTGTATACATGTAGTTTGTATTGTATTAGCTGAAACCATGTAAAAGAAACCAGGGCAGATTCCTGTTTTCTACGGACTTGTGACCTCTCTAGTGGAATATTTATTAAAGGAACTAAGTTCTAGCCACAAATTCTGATTTTGAAATCGCTATATCTTTGCAACCTGATGGTGTTAACCTTTGATATTTCAAACCTTTATTATCTGATCTAAAATAATTCATAGTTTGAAATATCTAATGTCTCTGACATTGAAATGCAAAGATATAGGGATAAGAAAATCAGATTTTGGGACAAAAACTCAATTCCTTTTGCACACATAACCGTACTATCAGATGCCAAGGGGAGTGCAGAAGAAGAACTTTCTTGAGTAAAACTGTTCCGCAAACACTCTCCGAAGTCGAGATGAACTGATTAAGGTTCAACTGTTGAAGAGGGATGAAGAAAGAATCTTCAAACACTTCTGTCCACTTCTTATTCTCGCATTCATGTTTTACTATTCTTTTCCGTAGGACGCATTTTTGGGTTTGGGTGCTTTGCTTCTCGTCTATGTGGAATATGGTAGTTTCAGATACATGTTCAGAGCTATCCTTAGGACCTTGCTGTTGCTAAACAAAAGAGCTGTCTTTGAAGCTGTTTATAAAACCACTTTTCCTACCTTTTGTCATGTGGAAAAAATTAGACTTTTTTGTTAGTAAAAATACTAAGTCATGATAAATCATTCATGTAATTCATTCAATTTATAGATTTGGTTGTACCTATACATAAAATAGTTGTATATTATTAGACTGAGACTTTTTCAGTTAATTTTCATTTCCAAACTTTGTAATGGAGTAAAAGGGAAAAGATAAGTCTAACCTAACTTAATTACATGTTCAACTCTCTGAGGTATTCCATAGTTAGCATACCAATATTTAATTTAAACTCAAATAATGTGACTGTTTATCTGATTTCAGATTTATTTTAACTTTTGGAACTTTGTCTATATGTTTAAAGGGCAATTACCAAATTGAACGAGAATAAAGAGCTAGTTGTTAGTAAAATATGTCCTGTAATATGTTTACTTACCGCTTGAATAGTTTGTCGCTTCTGAACCCATGACCTTACTTGTCGATTCGTATTTCTACCAAACTCCTATCAATGTTTCATTATTTCTGATCTTTTACACGATAAAATATGACTCTAAGAATGAAGAAAATTAGCTAACAAGCCTATATAGTCATTTCAAAAAGTCTAACAAACTGGTAAAACACATTGTGCATCTATCATTTTGATATGAATAGTTGGACAGAAATTTAAAAATGAAGATGCTTGGAAGTATTAATTAACAAACTCTTAGCTCTTTTTCTTACAGTGTGCAGGGCAGTATATATAAAACTTGCCTTGGGGTTAACACTTTGGTTGAATTGATGTTTTGATGGTGTTTCTCAATGCTCAATCAAATAAATGAGAGAGAAAATTGGAATTGGGAAAGCTATGATATGAAACTGAATGAAGTGAGCTTTAAAGCAGAAATGTGAGATATCAACATGAAACAAATTCAAAATTTTGAATTGTTAACCTCTGATGTATTTTCTGCAGCGGAACTTCCAGATTTTAGTTTCTCTTCAAGTCCGGCAGATGACTCTGTGCTGAGATCAGTTGTCTTGGAACTGTCGTCTTCAACATCAAAATCATCCGAGTCCTGACTTTTCTGTTAAAATTATGTAAATAAAGCTATAGTAATTTGTCAAAGGTGTAAAGATATTTTTTTAACTGAAAGAAAATTGAGTAATAGGTGTAAGACTGTCTTACCCGTCGCACCTTCACAATTCGCTTTACAGTTTTCTTAACAATCTTTTTCCCGGTTTCTTTGTCAAAAGTTTCAATTTCTGGTTCCTCTTTGAAGGAAACAGATTTTTTCAACTTTTTAACCTAAAAATGAAAATGTAGGAAGTATGTGTGAGTTATGTGTGGGTGTACTGATTGGGGTTAGCTTATACCTCCTCTTCCTTCTCCTCAACCTTTTCTACTTCTTCCTCGGGGACCTGTTCTTCTTCAGGTTCTTCTTTTTCGTCCTCTTTTGCTTTCTTCTTCTTCTTCTTCTTCGTTTTATCATCTCCAAGATCAATATCCAAAGCTTTGCCAAGTTTTACTGTGCTTTTACCCTCAGGCTACAAAAGGAATTAAAAATATTTGAAAATTTTGCATTAGAAATAAATTACAGATAAAAAGAGGGTGACCAAGTACCTCTTCGTCCTGGGGCGGGCGTTCAAACTCGTGATGCTTTAGATCAACTTTCTCTAGGCTGTCGTCCTCCCAGGTTCTCTGAACCCGTTCTGCTTTCTTTAGTTTTATCTTTCCAAATGGGGATTCTTCTTCCTTGGGTTCTTCTTTTGGGAGTTGCTTTTGAACAGACGGTTTCTTTTTAGGTAGTTTAAAGGACGGTTCCTCCGATGAGGAGGGTTCAGTTTCTGGAACAGGATCTTTCTTCTCAACCTTCTTGGGCATCTTGAAGGGCTTTGGTTCAGGTTTGGGTTCTTCAACTTTCTTTTTCTCTTTTATTTTGTTTTCATCCTAATGTATTGAAACTTGTATAATTAGTAAATTGTCCAATTAATATTTTTGAAAAGCATTTTAATGGAAAATATTGGACAATTCACAATTGGTGTGTGGATAGAAGAAGAAAGGAAGGATAGTAAATGAAAGGAAGATAGAAAGAAAGAAAAGAAAGTAAGATCTAGAAAAGATTCTAAGAATTTGAAACGATAGAAAGTAAAGTTCTTGTTTCTCTGATTGGAAAAAAAGTCAATTTTTGTCTGAGAACACTGAAAACTCCTAGATTTAGTTTTTTTTTATTTTAGAAATCCATCAGATCAAAATTGGAAATCTCTCTTATTCTATTCGAATCTAATGGATTTACAATTCCATTTGAAAACGATCTATCAGAAAACAGATCCCGTGGAAAAGGGGAAATGACTTTCAAAAAGATTTCTTTTTCAAACACAATTGGTTTGCAAGAATTGGTATATAGAATTTCCAAAAAAACGGACAAAAAATTACCTCTTTTGGGGCCTCTTTTGGGACCTTAAAAATTAGAAAAAAATAATTTGAAAAAAATATTTACAGTTGTTGCTATTATAAATGGTGGAAATATTTCTTTGAAAATAAAAAAAGAGAAATTTTTATTCTTATGTTTTACACATTTTCTTTTTGCATTTTATGATTCTGGATCCAAAGCTTTGCCGCGAAAATAAACAAATTATATGTCAATAAACATTAAAAGATCAAAACACTGTTGAATATCTAAGAATAAATAAAACAGGCGGTCTCTCAAAAGAAGGTAAACAAAATAGAAAAAGCAACATTTATTTTACAGTGAGCAACAAAAAACTGTGGAATACGAAAATTTATATACTCGTTATGATCTAGATAGTTTGTTCAAACCATTTCCAATAATCTGTAGTTTTTAAGTTACTATAATAAAACTATTCGCGTTGTAAAAACATCAAATGCACATAAATATTACTTTAATGTCGTCTTCCTATTCCACACTTTTCTGGTTCTCACTGCGTAGATTTTTAGAGAAATAAAAGCTGCCTAAATCCTGATCATATTGCAAAAAGAAAACCATGAAATATTTCCACAAAGAAGCGTTATAAAATCTAACTACTGTGATGGAATATAATAATAATTCACATTTATTTACAAAATATTTATTCTTCTTCGTTCTCTTCTTGTTTGTTTAGGTGATTTTTTTTTGATGGATTTCACACAGGAAAAAAAATATAAAAATTTTGAGAGAAAAATTTTGTTGTTTGAAAAGTGTCAAAAAAGCCTTTTGATACTGATCTAAAGTAGATCAATTATCTGAAAGCCTTCTTATGGATACTTTTCCAAAAAAAAGGCAAAAATACCAATTCTTGAAAGTTTTCGTTTAGCGTGATCTGACGATCTTTAGGTAACACTATCCTTGGCTTACTTTTCTTTTGGGATCTTACCCGTTGGTTATCCTAAAATATCCAAGAAAAATTAGGAAAATAATTATTATTACTTTTCGGGTCTAAATTGAAATTTATAATATTAAAGAAGAAGATTTAGAAAAACTTGAAAATAAAAATAAATTTCAAATAGTAACTTACCTCTTTAACGTTGACCTTTCCTGAGGTTTCGTCTTGTCCCTTTTCGTTAGAAAAGACGACCTTATAGGTTCCGCCATCCTCTAGTGTACAGCCAATCAGCTGTAGAGTGGCGTACAGTCCATCAAACGTGATCAGAACTCTGGAAATGCGCGAAATTAAAGATTGAAAAAATGTTCGTAACTTTGAATCTATAGTTAATCAATGATTTCATTTTGTGTTTAACCTATTTGACTATATTATTATTGTTTGAACTATTTAAACAAAAGCTAACGAATTATAGCACATTTTTTTATTGCCACTTTTATTGCAACAGAAATAACATACAAAACGATTGGTAAATCAAGTGAAAATATGTAAATATACATAGTTTTGGTGCTCGTGGATTTTACCTATCTGAGGCAGTGATTTCAACGTCGTTAAAAAACCAGGTCATCTTGACCTCACCCTCTTCCATTTCCTCTTCAAGACGACATTTAAACTCGACATCTTCCCCTTCCTTTTTAATCTAGAATATTTATCAATTGTAACTGAGCTGAAAACTTTAGAATTTTAGATATCGAGATTAATGCTTGGTCTCCTCTTTTTATTAATCTGCAGATTAATGTATTCTTGCATTAATATCCGGAAAAGTTCCTATAGTGCAAGGTTGTAATGCAACAAAAGCTATTCCAGAGGTGTGCGCATTTTTTGTACTGCAGTGTACTGTATTTGGGCGGAAAAGTAAACACAAGACGGATGTCACAGCCTGACATGGAATCCATTTTTACAACAATAATTTATGAAATATATCCTGGTCGTAAGAAACTATAATTATGTGAATTATAAAAATCATCCAAATTAAATGCTTTTATCCTTCTCGGATACTAGACGAACACTGATGCATCTATTCTTGTTTAAAAATTCCGCCCAGAGAGAACTGGCTTCAATATGTACGCAGGAGTATACGGTACCGCAATAAACCTTCTTTGCTTTAGTACCTTGCTATAGAGCAACCAATTAGTGTCGATTGTTGAAACCGAATAGCCATTCAGAATCCAAGAATTTTTTTTAATTTTGGCGCGCAATCAATAAAGAACTCTCATTGGTCTGAACCCCAGAATTCAGGGTTAAGGGTATCCAGTAAACGAGTTTTCAGCTCTGATTGTTTAACATTTTACTCAAGGACTAATACGAACAAAAAGTTGAATTAAACATTTTTTATCTTAAAATTCATCTTGGAAGCTTTGAAATTTTAAGACATGATTACAATGTTCTAAGTTTGTGTAAGGTAAAAGTTAATCCTTTTCTCATATTAAGTTAAATCTAACCCATTCAAACTTTGAACATGGATACATTACATGCATAATGATTCTTCATTTTTAAGAAAAGTCATGTTCAACCTTGGAATACCAAATTAGAGGAAATGCGCCAAAGGAAACATGTTTGTATCCTGTATCGGGGTACCATGGTGAGAAATGGTAAACTTTGTTAGCTGGGTTTCGCTATTTAAACTGCTCTCTCCTCGTAAACCTCTCTCGGAGGTGCCTTGTACTGTACTATTTTTTTGTCTTCCTAATAGACTAAATGATAAAATGATTTAAACAGAAAATAAATATGCTTACAAAGTTTTTCAGGTAGGATGCAATTTCAGGAGCTTTAATCTCCTTTTCTTCCTCCTTCTTCTTCTTCTTCTTGACAACCTTCTTCTTCTTCTTCTTTACTGTCTCTTCGGAGGATTCTGTCGTCGCTTCTATTGAAACTTCGGCAGCCTCCATTTTTACCTTAACACGTTATTTTTTACTCTGGCCTTTTTTCAACTTTTACAATAATCTAGCGACTGAAGGAGATTTCACAAATTTTTTGCTTAGATTTCTTTAATAAAATTCTGCCATAATGATTCAAATCAGTAATATCAATTGATAAAATTGAAAAATTTATCTTGCATCACAAGCTGTATCATTTTGAAATGTTTCGGGTTAATTTTGTGAAAAGGCCCTTTTGACGGTTTTGTGTCGCAAATGTAGATAAATTCATTAAGCAGCCAACAATAATTTTGCACCTAGATTACTACTGTCTGCATTAAAACCAGTTGCCTGGTAATTTGTATGGAATGGTAGAGGGGGGGGGGTACACTGTACAGTGACTAGAGAATTTAAAAAATTCATTCCTTTTTTTAAAGTTTTGGTTGAATTGAATCTTTCTTAATTTCGAGATCATCAATTGCATGTTTAGAATCTACAAAAACGGGTACACATCTAAAAGTTAAGAAAATTATCGACTGTCAATAAAGTGTTCGAAATAAGTTTTAAAAAATGCCAATTCTCATCTTACGTCAAAAAATCTATTATTACCTCTTCAAATACAAATATTATTTAAAAACCAAAAACGAAAGATTCCGTTAACGAACGGCAAAAACCGGTAACTTTAAAATCGTGCACAAATGAAAATAACTGTTCATAAAAAAACGGAAAATAAATGTTGAACGTTCCATTCTTGGCTAAGAACAATGAGTATTTGACAAGTTGTTATTTTAAACGATTTAAACATACCTTGAACGAACAATTTGAAAAAAGTCTGAACGTTCCCTCCCACACACTGGATAGTCACGTGCCCCCCACACACTGGTCAGTCACGTGCCCTCCCACACACTGGTAAGTCACGTGCCCTCCCCCACACTGGTTAGTCGCATACCCTCCCACACACTAGTTAGTCACGTGCCCTCCCACACACTGGTTAGTCTCCCCTCCCACACACTGGTTAGTCCCCCCTNCACACACTGGTTAGTCCCCCCTCTCACACACCGGTTAGTCACGTGCCCTCCCACACACTGATTAGTCACGTTTCCTCCCACACACTGGTTAGTCCCCCCCACACACTGGTTAGTAACGCGACCTCCCACACACTGGTTAGTCACGTGCCCTCTCACACACTGGTTAGTCACGTGCCCTTCCACACACTGGTTAGTCACGTGCATTCCCACACACGGGTTAGTCACGTGCCCTCCCACACACTGGTAAGTCACGTGCCCTCCCACACACTGGTTAGTCACGTGCCCTCCCACACACTGGTTAGTCGCGTGCCCTCCCACTCACTGGTTAGTCAGTCGCCCTCCCAAACACTGGTTATTCACGTGCCCTCCCACACACTGGTTAGTCATGTGCCCTCCCAAACACTGGTTAGTCACGTGCCCTCCCAAACACTGGTTAGTCACGTGCCCTCCCACACACTGGTTAGTCCCCCTGGATTCGTCGCATTCAAACTAAATCAAACTAAAGAACTCGTACCGGAGTCTAATATCAGGTGAGAACCTAGTTACTAGTAACTAGAGAACTAGTAAATAGGTGTACAGAATCCGTGCCGAGTCAATTATCGGATTGGATCATTCAACTAAAATACCAATGTGCCCAGTCTTAATTATGAATTACCTGCTCCTCTAAAAGCTGAACTGCTTGGCTCTGGGTTTCTCCGGATACACTTTTAGCAACTAGCTTGTAATTACCCTTGTCAGTGATCTCAGTATCCTAGATATAAAAGGCCGATATTTGATTTTAACTTTAATTGATGCTCTTTCAGTTACATTTCGCGGATTTATTGAATTTTTTCTTGGATTTTTAGAAATTCACTAAAAATCATAGTTTGTGTCAGCTATCCTCTTCAGTTATTTACCTTAATCTCCAGTTGAACAATAGTTTCTCCCTCTCTTACTTCAGATTTCTTCTTCTGAACAGAGAATTTAGTTTCCTGTTTAGTATCAATGGCCTGGCCCTCCTTGAACCACTGGACCTCGATCTCCTGGTTGCCCTGGACAGCGCACTGCAGGACAACACTCTTCTTCTTCTCCACCTTCTTTATAATAGGACGCTCCCTAAATTCATAAAAAAATAAATAAATAAATGGATAAATGAATAAATATTCACAAAAAAAGAGAAATAATTCAGTAAAAAAGTAAAGAATCGCATAAAAAGATACATTAAAATCAAAATTCATACCTATTTCTAAATATCTTTAATTTTATATCAAATATTCGTTTTTTAAAATGTGATATATATCATATCATTCACAACATTAAAATGAGTGACTTTTATTCATGTTTCAAACGTTTTTTTAAAAATAAAAATTCAGACCATTTTTGAAAAAAGGCATATTTTTGTAAACCATTTAAAATATATATAAAACAATTGTTGGATGTCTTAAAATTCACATCTTACAAAATTTTGAAACGATAACGAATTTTTTTAGCACTATTTTTCTTATCTTAACATTTGAGACCCAAGTGGTGCTGACAAAAGTTATTAATATGTTCTTGACATGCTTGTTGGTGAATGTTTATCAGCTAAATCTGAACAAAATTTCTTGTGTCCTTGTTATAAATATACTTGCGATGAAGTCATTTCTGTTACGGTCATACTCATACTGCAAATGTTAAAAAACAATATGTCAAAACAAAATTATGTCAACAAGATGTTTACCACTAGGATTTTAGCGGATACCAATAGTATAACCTTATACTAGGCTGGGGGAGGGGGGGGTGGGGAGTGTACAGCACATAATCAAATTTTTAAAGATAAAATTAGTTTTTTTATAAAACTATTTTTCTAATGTAGTTTTTGAAATTGTAATTATAGGTCTTTAAAAATCCAAATAACAAACTATCCATTTTCACCAACCAGAAAAAATCAAGGATAAAAAAATAGGACCAGGGTTAATTCAAAAGCACTGCGGATAATTTATATTACAACTGTACACACATTTGATACACAAATATTCAAACAATGTAATTTTCCTTGCAAATTTCAATACTCTGCAAACTATTGTTGAAATACAATTTGCATAATGCGGAATTAGGAAACAGAATCCTTCCCTTGGTGGATAATATTTTCTATTTTTGTAAACAAATGTAAAAACATAAATTCAAATTTGAATATTTGCGAAACTTATTTGTATCATTTTAATTATCGTCAATACTGGATAAATCTATGAATTATTTGAAATCCGAGTGAACTCTATCCCTTTTATGGTCAGTAAATACCTAAGTATGAAAGTTAGAAACTCACAATATTATAAGCAATAACCTTGATACAGGGGCGTAAGAGAGCATTTGTGTAGAGGGGGTCTTGCAACATTGTGCCCCCCCTTAAAAACCCCTTTTTTGAAAAAATAACATGAAGAAAGCGCCCTCTATTTAAATTAAACATGATGACTATAGCGCCATCTATTTAAACAATACCTGATGACTGGAGCGACCTCTATATTGAGTGAAAGATTAGCATTAATCTCTCCGAATTGATTACTGACAATGCACTTGTACACTCCTGCATTTTCTGGCGCTGGATCCTAAAACAAGTAAAGATAGAGTAGGAGTACTGGTTTACTGTCAGGATACATGTGGTGCTTAACAACATGCTGGGTTGACATAGCACATGATTTACCAGCTTGGATCATGCTACTTTTACATAAACTATAGTGAACACAGACAAACTCAGTTTTTGCCACTAACTCAAATGTTTTTTATCTCTTTATCTTTGTACCCTAACATTTAATATTTCAAACTGTGACTACTGTCCGATCAACTAGTTTAAATTTGAATCATCAAAGGTTTATATTATCAGACCATTTGAGTTTATTGCGATAATTAAGTTCTTTGCTTTGTTTAAGTATGCATGATTCATCGTATGTTTTATCTATTTCTGAAAGGCACACACACACATGCAAAAATAAAAAAAGTAAAAAATGAAGACATACAAAAAATATGGTTAACGTTTTGATGTTTTACATTAATAATTTGCAAAATGTTTAAACTTTGTCCGCAATGTTAGTTGGGGTTTTGCTAATATATCCAATATTGTTTGCAGAGCTTATTGTACATTGGAGAATGATGAATGAACTTTTCTAAACATGAAGCAAGAACTCAAGTTAAGTTGGGAAAAGAAGATTAAAGGACAGGAGAGATGGAGGAGGTAAAAAATATCAAAAAAAAATTATAAATAAATATTTGAATATTATTATAAAAAATCTTATAAGAGTTTATAAACAAAGGAAAAGCATCCATGATTGTTTTTGTCATTTTTATTATGATAAAATATGTGGTAAATTTCCCCATGGAAAAACTGTGAAATATTGTCTATTCCCCCCCTCCACACTTCTTCCCCCCTGATATATACTCTGTAAAAATATGATAAAATATTCATGAAACTCTGTGCTGCATATTTCAAGCCTTTCAGCTTTTCCAGAAAATTAGTCAACAAAGTAGTCAAGCGCTGGAAACTGTAATTAGAGGGTAAACTAAGGGTTAGGGCTGCAAGCACCTTAACCTTAAAAGAGAGTAAATTAAGGGGTAGGGCTGGCCACCTTAAAAGAGAGTAAATTAGGAGGAAGGGCTGGTCACCTTATTAGAGAGTAAATTAAGGGGTAGGGCTGGCCACCTTTTTAGAGAGTAAATTACGAGGTAGGGCTGCCCACTTTATTAGAGAGTAAATTAGGAGGTAGGACTGGCCACCTTATTAGAGAGTAAATTAGGAGTTAGGGCTGGCCACCTTATTAACGAGTTAATAAGGGGGTAGGGCTGGCCACCTTATTAGAGAGTAAATTAAGGGGTAGGACTGGCCAACTTAAAAAAGAGTAAATTAGGAGGTAGGGTTGGCCACCTTAAAAAAGAGTAAATTAGGAGGTAGGGCTGGCCACCTTTTTAGAGAGTAAATTAGGGGGTAGGGCTGGCCACCTTATTAGAGAGTAAATAAGGGGGTAGGGCTGGCCACCTTAAAAAAGAGTAAATTAGGAGGTAGGGCTGGCCACCTTTTTAGAGAGTAAATTAGGGGGTAGGGCTGGCCAATGTACTACTTTCTCAATCCTTTTGTTGTTTAATAGTTTAGGAGTGGCATAAGAATAATCAAAATTCTTTCTATTTTTTATGGAATATTCCATTAATGTTTATGTACAAGCAGGTTTAGGTAGGTTGGTTGTTAGGTCGTTGGGTGCAGGTTTCAAATTATAGAATTTCAATATGTTAGACCAAAGGACTCAGGGTTAAAATACAAATATAAATAAATAAAAGAACATAATATACAGGGATAAAGGTTAAAAGGGATAAACGACCAAAGGTTAAAGAGACTGTCAGCGTTATTTCAAGTGACCCTTCGGCCTTCATGCAAAGAGGGCAATGATCGATTCACAATGGAGCCCTCAAAACCTGTATCTGATTTATAAGGTGGAATAAATTTTCATATTTCCTGGAACTTTTTGTAGAAAAATATAAATTTTCATTCTAAGATATATAAATAATTTAAGGGTACCGTTGTAAATCGGGCATAGTCGTCTTTGCATGATGGGTCGTTTAAAATTACGCGTTCATTCTCTTTAAAGGGTAGGTTTTGCATGCCAGCATACCGCCAACTCCATACGGGACTCAAAGTAGTCGCTAATCTTCTCATGAACGATCTTGATGGACTTGGTCTCGACAACCTTGGTCTCCTTGTAGGACCAAACACACTGGCACATTGACTCAGCACGATACTTGACAATCAACATAATCAGCTTTCCATCTTCCTTCGTTACGATTTTAGGTTTCTCCATGAAGGTTGGGGCAGCTCCGGCAGGGGCTGAGGCAGGCTCGGCTTCAATGTTAAGGTTGAGTTTAGCTTGCAGCTGACCGTATTCATTTTTCATCATACATTTATAATCTCCTCCATCGTCAGCGCAGGGTTTCTAAATTCAAAGAAAAGACTAAAGATTCTAAATTCTAAAAGTTTGTTAGATATGACTAACATATAGTTCTAAAACATTTGACACATTGTTAAAATAAACGAGTATACGATTAGATCCATTACACTCTGGTATAGAAAGACGACTTTATGACTTGGGCAGTGTGAACAGATCCACTTAATAAAAAAAACTATTTGCTTTGTAAGAGCATCAAATACACTTAGAATTATTGCTTTGCAGTCGTCTTCTACTTTACAGATTTTAGGTCCTTACTGTAGCAGGTTATAATTTTTTAGCCTTATTTCTACTTATTAATATCAACCAGTACTATATGCTTGATAAGTGTCAAATATTTTGATATTTTTAGTAATAAACCATAAACCAGAGGCCGAATTTAAAGAATTTGAGCCGCGGCTTAAATTTAAGCCGCGACTCAAATATGGCTGGTTCCATTTAAAATTGTATTCAATTTTTCAAGATTTAAGCTGGCGCTCAATTAAAACCGGTTTTTGGCGGATTTGAGACGCGGCTTAGATTCATTAAATTCGGACACTGGTTTATTTCTACACAATTTTCTTCACAGGGTTACCCACAATCAGAGACGACTGTACTAAATTTATACTGCCTATATTTCCTATCAACATTCATGATGTCCAGCAACTGTAAACTTGTTCCATTCTTTGATAAATCATTTAAAGATAGTTATCAAAACAGAAACCATTAATAAACTTTAAAATTGTCATATTTTCTGAATTACAGGTCGTCTTTGCAGTCTCATTCTTTCTGACTGACCCTGTATTTTAAGAAGTTCGTATAGATTATAAATTCTAAACTCTGGTTTCAAACCTCCCCTAATCTATAATGTATACACTCATTCTCGTATATTCTTGCAGCCGTCAAATAAACGTCTAAAGTTTAGTACTAAGTTACAATTAACTCCCAAGCCAATGCCACTGGGGTTGCAGGTGGTAGTCATCGTGGGACACATTATATTTTACAAAATTTAAATAAATAACAAAGTTAATTTTAAACATAAATATTAAAAATGAACAAAAAGAAAAATGCAGCGAATACAAAATTTTCAGCTAAATCGGTTTCATAAAGTATATTGTACACCACTGTATATATAGTGGTGTACAATGTACACCACTGTATATATAGTGGTGTACAATGTATACCACTGTATATATTGTGGTGTACAATGTATACCACTGTATATATAGTGGTGTACAATGTATACCACTGTATATATAGTGGTGTACAATGTATACCACTGTATATATAGTGGTGTGCAATGTACGGCGTACAATGTATACCACTGTATATATAACTTCAAAATATTCTAGTTCATATTTTTTGGCATATTAGATTTATAATCTAAAAGAGCAAATAGATTAAACTGTGATTTTTTATTTAAAGGATTTGTTTTCGCATCAAATCTAAATGCTTCCCCCGAATTTTATTAATTTTTGATAAAAATTGTATAAGCTGTATCCCTAAAAAAAATTTAATCCATGATTTGTACTTTGCATTTAAACAGTTTTTAACATTGTAAAAAAATGTATTTCAAAATTGGGGGAAAAGGAATTGAGTCTTTGTCGCAAACTCAAATTTTCGTATTCCTATATCTTTGAAATCTTATGGTGTAAACTTTTAAACTTTCAAACTTAGAATATGTGATCCAACTAAACTTTAAGTTCGCAATATCGAAGGTTTAAGACATTGGGTTGCAAAGATATAAGGATTAGAAAATAAGAGTTTGTAGAAAAAACTCAGTTCCTTAGTACTCATTTATTTTTAATATTGCATAAACTTTGTCCCTAGAAAAATCAAACTTTTTCAAAAAATTTTACTTTGAATACGTGTATAAAAATTCCTTGTCTATATTATTAGAACAAAATATATTTCTAAATAAGGGGGTATTTTCTTGTGTGCAACTAGACACCTCTCTGGCCGGCAGAATACAATCCTATTCTTGTGTGGAACTAGACACCTCTCTGGCTGGCAGAATACAATCCTATTCTTGTGTGGATCTAGACACCTCTCTTGCTGGCAGAATACAGTCCTATTCTTGTGTGCAACTATACACCTCTTTGGCTGGCAGAATACAATCCTATTCTTGTGTGCAACTGGACACTTCTTTGGCTGGCAGAATACAATCCAATTCTTGTGTGGATCTAGACACCTCTCTTGCTGGCAGAATACAACAAATTGAGAAAATTGAAACATACGTCAAAAAATCAATTTAATTTCAAACAAATCATTCAGATATTACTACCTATAGTCATCGATTATCTTTCGCCACATTTATCTATAGTCGCATGTTGCAATTTTCTCAATTTGTATGGGCGCTACGTTCTTCAGTATGAGACGTCTTTAACAATTTTCTCCTTTTAGGCGCAACAGATAGAAGTAAGATTAGAAGCGATCAAAAGCGCTTTTTATCGCATTTAGCCTATACCCCCTTTCATTTTTCGCGAACACTCCCGTTAAGACAAAACAAAATTATTGGAAAGCGTAACTTTTGCGAACGGATATATTGAAAAAAACTTGCAAACACTCCCTTTAAAGATTTCCATAATCCTTGAAAAATTGGAGTCAGCTTTGGTTAATTAAATACAGTCACATATTTTAACTATATCTAGATCCGCTGAATCTAAATCTAAGAAAATATTTTGAATAATTAATCTACCCTGGCTTTAGTATCTACTATCTTAATTAGGACATTTAAAACCCGTTTGCAAAGTTTCATTTTACTGTTCCTAAAATATTTTATATTCAAATAGAACTTTATTTTCTCCCAAGGCCAAAGTGTCCATGACCAGTCACTCGAATTACATCACGTCTTAAATTTTCTTTTTACTTTTTAGTTTTGAAAAATGCAAATACAAATATCAAGTTGACTGAAAAATACAAATATCAAGTTGATTGAAAATTTTAATCTCATTGATATGACTTCCCAAAAAAATTTCCGCATAAGTGACTGTAGACTTAACGAAATGTAGCCTTAAGCCAGATCGTGTGAACCTGTTGCAATACCACTCGCACTCCTCTGCCGCTTTAGTAATTGTAAATTGGCGGTACAGTCCAAAGTAGGGCTGCAAAGGTTGGCTCAACTCGGAAATTCAAATGAACACCGGTGAGGCGTGTGCACTAGCCCTTCCTACAGGATCCCTGCTGTAAGTCTGCCAGTGTAGTTGGTGTGCGGGGCAGTACATTCTTTAGGACCGTAAAGGTCGGTTCAGCTCAGACTCAAATGTACATGAGTTGAATGTGAGTTGGGGTTTATTTGAAATTACTTACCGAAATCTCGAGGATAATCTCGTACTCGTCTTTACCACAGTCAATATACTTGACGGCAAACTTTGATCCTTCCTTGATCTTCTGGGTTCCCTTGAACCATTGCATCTCAGCCTTTGGTTTAGCTCGAACCTATAGTTAAATGGATTACATAGACGAAATTTAAAAGAGAAGCTCTATTTTGAGAGTTTAGGTGAGATTCAGAACGAGGTGGTGGGGAAGGTAGAGGGGAAGGTGGTGGGGAAGGTTGAGGGAGAAGGTGGAGGGGGAAGGAAGAAAAATATTGATATTTGTAATTTCTTTCATTTAGATCTTAAAGGGAATATGCATTATCCGAATTCACATTGAACGGGTTACAATGATCTGAATAAAAAATATTTGTTGAAATCAATAAAAGAGCAATTTTATGTTATCAGTCAAATGCTTTTCTCAAGTCTAAAATCAGAAAAGACAAGCAAAAAAACACGAACAAAATTCTACAGCAATAGATGGAAAAATATAAGATATGTATATATTATTTGCAAGTTAAAACAATTTCAAATAAACAAAGATTGTTTCTATGTCTTTTTTCTATTCCAGAGTATTATGGCGCTCACTGTAAATACATAAGATAACACGATAAAAGCCCTGTCTGAGAATTAGAGTGAGGATTCCCACTTTTGATTTGTTATTTCTATTTAAAGAGTTGAAAGATTGAATTATTCCTGTCATTTGCACAAATTGAATCTAATTTGAGAATTTAAACTTTAAAAGGATTGCTTCTGTGTGAGCCTGTAAATTTAAATTTCTTATCTTTGCAACCTGAATTCGTATTTATTTGATATTTCAAAATAGAAATTGTAAAAGAAAAAATAGTTAACGTTTAAACTATGATTGGTTTAATTGCAAAATTTCATAAGGTTACCTAGATATAGTGATTATAAAGTTCAAGATTGCCTAGATATAGGGATTACAAAATTCAAGGTTGCCTAGATATAGAGATTACAAAGTTCAAGTTTGCCTAGATATAGGGATTACAAAATTCAAGTTTGAGGCAAGTGATCACCCCCTTAAAAGATGAAAAAAGTATAATGTTGGTGTAAGCTTGGGAATATATATGAAGTTTTTTTGCGAGATAATATTATAAAAAAATTTTTTAAGTCAAATCAAGATCAAAAAATGAAATTTTTGTAAATTCACATTTGGAAAATGCATTTTCAAAATTTCAGAAATTTGTTGAATGGGGGAGGGGAGGACTAAAATGTTAAACCTCCCCCCTCTCTGATTTCCTAAATTTTCAATGATCAAATGACCTAATAAAACAAAAATATCCTGAACAAAATTATTTTGAACCTAAATATTTGGCGAAGTTTGTTTAAGTAGAAACTTGTAAAAGCACTCGGTTAAACATTTCCAATATCTTTAAAACTCAGAAGTGTTTATTTTTCTATAGACTTAAAGGATTTAGGGGGATTAGAGGGTTCCACTGGTCATAGGGTCAGTGGTCAGTCAACCTTATACTCTTCAGAATTGTTATTTTCTTGTTTTAAGTTGAATTAAATTATTAAACAGGAATTGAAAATTATATTTATCAAAGGAACTGTAGACGTAATTTCATGTGACCCATCATTTAAAGTGTTGAATGGTGCCCTTTAATGAGGTAGATATTTTTTCTTAAAACATATCCAATTCTGACAATTTTAAGTAGTGTCAAATTTGCGTTAATCCACAAGTCTCTGTTATATAGAAACCACAATTAGAAATAAATTTTAGAATTGAAAAATAAGGAACTGGGGAAATGGCCTTTTAGCAAACTGTTTATACTTTTCTTGTTTTAGGATAATTGGATACCATTATTTTTAAATTCATTTTTATCTACAAAGCGTGTACTCTTTTCCATTCTGGAATTTTTTATTTGAAGCGATCAAGTTTTAAATCCATTAAAACCAGCCGATTTCTCATTAAAGATTTGCATACAAAGGGAATTATTTTAATCCATCAGGAGGGATTATCAATATTAAAGAGAATTGAGTCTTTGTCACAAACTCAAATTTTCTAATTTCATATCTTTGAAATCTATGGTGTAAACCTTTAATTTTTCAAACTTTTAAATTTTGATCTAACAGAATTCATAGTTTGAAATATCTAAGGTCTACGACGTTGTAATGCAAAGATATAGATATAGGGATTACAAAATCAGAGTTTGTGGCATAGATTCGATTCCTTTGGACCTCAGTTCGAACTACCTTGAATTTCATTGAGACTAAAGTTCCAGTTTCATTTGGAACAATTCTAGGTTTCTCCGTGAAGGTTGGAGGGAACCCATCTCCTACTGGTTTAGAGACTTCTCCAGGGACCTCTTGGGACCCTTGATCAGTGGCAGGTCCTCCCTCCTCTCCAGCTAGAAGCAAACAGTCTTTTGAGTTTGACATATTTTCGGGGATTTTTGCTTTTACGAAAAGTAATAAAATTGTTTCTAACAAGAATTTTCAAATTTTTATTTTTTTTTTTTGCATTTGTAGACCTTTGAAATGTCAAACTTAGAATTTTAGAACAAATATTTGAAGTATGATATATCAAAGGTTGTTATCATCATGTTGCAAAGAAATAGGAATTAGGCAATGTTAAGATTATGGCGAGTAATTATTTGCTTCGTATTCCAGACATAAGACTTATTTTCATTCCCGTTGTTGTTAAAATATCATTTTGTTTAAACACATTTTGTCGAAGAAAAAGAAGAAATATTTGACAATGTTTGTTTAATATTTGAAAAAGGATTTGACTGTAATGTAATGCTTGAGAAGTAAAGGGTAAAATACAACCCTAAAGTATAGGATGTATCTACAATAAATAACTCCAAACTTTGACTATTCGATTTTGCTGAGAATTCGAATTTCAAGATTCTCAATCTAGATATATCACGTACGGAGCAACACCGGAATATCAATGGTAATCTCAAACCGTGAGGAAATACAAATAAAAAGAATATATATATATATTAGATTAAAAAAAAATGAGGAAAATCATATCCATGAAAAAGTAGGCATTTACATAATTCTATCATGAATGGTGTTATAAATGAGATATACCGGGATGAATAAGGAATATATAATTTAGTAGATATCCGATATGGAAAAAAAATTTGCTGATAAACAATTTTTTCCAGAGAATTTCTGGCGGCACAAAACAGTGTAAAAGTTTACTGTTGCTGGTTTCTTACTTTCAAAATTAAGGTCAATATTTGCATTACTGTCTCCGTACGCATTAAATGCGTTACATCTGTAAAGACCAGCGTCCGCCAGACTTGGCTCCTGAACGGTCCAAAACAATCAAACAAAAAAACTGAAGATCTTTTCTGAACTCATAAATTTTGTGTGTTTGAATCTAAAGATCAATTATATATATCAATGATGGTCGTCTCCTGCATTGGATATTGAGTGTTCAAGATTAACGAATATTTCTGAGTTTCCGAAAAAAATCTCTTTTATTTTTTTTCTTCAGAAAATATTTGATTGATTTGTTCCTTTATGGTGAGTGTGAGAATATATTTATTCTTGCTGTGTTTCTTACACTCATATCTCATCCTAAACACAAATACAAATTTTATTTTTCAAACAATTGATAAATTCACAAGCAAAATACAGAAATCAAATATCCGAATTCATTCATGCAATTAAATCTTGTTGACACACAGGCACAGTTAATACCGTTTCTTTTTCTTTACAAAACTTTAAATTACGAAGAATTTAGGCCTACAATGTAAAGTTTTCTTCCATAAAATACAATGAAATTAAAAACAAAGATGTGAAATTTCTTAAAGTTAAAAAGATAAAGATCTCTAAAGCAAAAGAACAAGATATTGCATGCATTAATAAAATGATCAAATATAATTGGCTCTAATTTTTTATCCATTTCTCCTAATAAAATAGTGGGTTTATTGTAACTGTCACGGGCAGTCGTTGTCATTTGAATTTCCGAGCTGGGTCAACCTTCCTGGTCCCGGTTTGTACTGTACCGCCCGGACATTGAGTAAATAAAGCAGACACTCAATAGGACTAGCCGGTGCAACAAGTTTGACGCGGTCAGACTTTAGGTTGAATTTACTTTTACTGAAGGGTCAGGGGTGCGTGCTGTTAAATCTTTTAAATGTGGTCATTGTCGCAAAGATATTACTGATAACAGAAAGCCTTACTGACCAAAAGAAAAAGCAAAGACGACGATTGTTAACTATTATTATTTTGGTTTACAACGCCATCTACCTTTTAGTTTCTTCAACTCTCTGTTCTCCTCTGAACCATGTTATCTCAGGTAAAGGGTTGGCCTCAAGCTGACATTCAAGCACTAGGTTATCCCCTTCCTGCCTTATACTAGGCTTTTTAGGGAACCTAAATTAATTAATCAATTAATCAATAAATATAAAAATTGTAAAAATCTTCCAAAGGAATTGAGCCTTTTTCAGAATTCAAATTTTCGAATCCCAATATGTTTGCAACTTGATGATTTATAAACCTTCTCAATTTAAAACTTAAATTAGTTGCCAGATTAAAATAAAAAAGTAAAAAAGGTTAATTTCTTGGTTTATTAATTTTAAACATGGTTTAGCTTGGGTTTTAAAACTCCAACTACGAATTCCATTTATTACCAAAATTCTGAAAATAAATAATCCATCATTTGACACATTCTGCTACTGTCCACAAGAAAAGCCAAAAATAAATATTTGACATGAATGATGAGAAATATTTGAATTTAATATTAAAGTTTCAAATCCTTCTCTCTTCCAACACCCCCCCCCCCGTAACCAACTAAAATAGTATAGACTGGAGTTTAACTTTCTAGCTTAGCTTTATCTAAAACAAAAATTGATGACTCTGATCCACGTAAAACCAACTACAACAACCCTGTCTGTATCGATATATTTCCAGTTATATTTTTATCTCTAATTCAAAATCCGTTGATTTAAGTTTAGACATACCTAATTGTTTAAAATATATCATATAAAGCCCAACAAAAAAGGAAAGCATACAGTGAGAACCAGAAAACTCTGTATTTGGAATGCGACTTTTAAGCTCCAGTTATGACTTTAAAATGAACATGAGACACCGAATTTGTGCAGTGTAAACAGACTTATTTCACTAAATAACTGATAAATTACTGTTAAAACTTTTGGCTTTGTAAATATATGATATAGGATTAAGTATATATATATATATAATGTCGTCTATCTATTACACAGTTTTCTGGTTATCACTGTAGAAAATTAAAAACATGTTTATTTACTGGATGAAAATGGGTTCTAAACCTGGGGCTTTCAAACTTTTAACCAGGATCTCTAGATTTCTTTAGAACGAAATATAAGAATGAATATATTATATACCTGGGTGCAAGACCATCTGGAATCTTTGGTTTGCCCGGCCCACTGTCCTGGAAGGTCAAGTTTATGGTGGCCTGGGACTCTCCACTGCTGTTGCTGGCAACTGCTTTGTATTGTCCAGCATCTGCTGCCTGAAACAAAAAATTTACATAACTGCTATTTATTGTCCAGCATCTGCCGCCTGAAACAAAAAATTTACATAACTGCCTTGCATTGCCCAACATCTGCCGCCTGAAACAGAAAATTTACATAACTGCCTTGTATTGCCCAACATCTGCATGCCATAAATTGATGCTGAAGGGTATAAATACAATTTAGTTTCTATTTCTGTTTCTTACTCATAGAGTATAGATATAGATAGATAGGAAATAATTCTCAAAAAGTGTAAAACTGCCATTTTGTTCTGCTGTTTAAAGAAATTTCACTTGGGCCCGGGAGAACTTAAACAAACAATAAATTCTTTGGTAACTTCGATTCATTTGAAGTGCAACTACTGGGCTACTATAAGCAATTTGTACAGTACATATATTTATGAAAAATGCAAGATGGTACAGTACATGCCGGATAAATAATGATAATGATGTAGCACGGCGGACTAGGATCAATTTAAATTTGAACCATACCAACCCTGCGGCATATGCCTGCTCGGTTTCAACTTTGATGGCGCGGCCAGACTTTTGACAGTACCCGACCTATCATAGGCCAACCCCACTATAGCTTAGTTTAGTGTGGTACCTCTACATTGGATATCTCCAGACAGCAGAGGTAGTAGGTCTGCTTCTCCTGCTTCATTGTCATCTTGATCCTGCTTGTCTCCGTTAGCACCTTTTCCCCGTGGTACCAGGTCAGGTTCGGCTGCGGGTCTCCTGGAAATTTTATTTTAAAGTGAATGTTCGTTAAAAATGAAAAATAAATTTTTAACAATTGATATGTACTTCAATTTCTATCTGCATGATGTTTAAAAAAAACCAGTTTGGGTTTACTTAAACAATTTCCTTTTAAACTTATTTGTGATCTCTTTATGCTCCTCTAGTTTTAATTTTAAGTACAAGTTTAAGAAAACAAATTTTTTTTGGTGAGTTGTGGTTGAAAACATATAAGATTTAAATCTTATATGTAATATACTTGAGTTTGCCGCGTTCAGTTATACTACAAATTGTACAGTGTACTATACTTGAGTTTGCCGTGTTCAGTTATACTACAAATTGTACAGTGTACTATACTTGATTGAGATTGCCGTATTCTGTTATAGTACAAAATGTACAGTGTAATTTTAACTGAATTGTACCTGCAAGCCTGCACTGGAATATAATTGTATTCCCCTCATCAGACTGCCTGATTACTGGACGTTCGGTGAAGGTTGGCTTTACTCCCCCCTTGGGAATACACGCCTCATCACCTAGAGTATTATCATTATTGATGTAATTATTTAAAAAATATATGTATAGTACTATAACGCTGTTTTTATTCAGTTTCGTTTCTAAAGAAAACTGTCGGAGGGGGGGGGGGTTGTCTAAATCCAACTTCAATATGGTTTTCTTGCCTTTGTGCCCGCAATATGTAAAGGAACTGAAGTCTTTGCCACACACTCTGATTTTTTAATCCTGTGATATCTTTGAAACCCATTGTAACGGACCTTATTTCAAACCATGAATTCAGTTTAAAATATCAAAAGCCTACAACATTAGATTGTAAAAATAAAGATATCAGAAAAATTGAGTTTGTCGCAAAGACTGCAATTCCTTTAACCAAATATGAGTATCAAGATCATGATTCGAAATTCAATATTTAGAAACTGTGTAGAACGTTTTTGAACCAATGGTTTTCGATATTTAATAATAAACAATAAGTTCTACGGGAACCAAGATTCTTGCAGGTTAAATAGANAGGATTTTTGATCAAGAAGGTTTAATTCTAAGGAAACTAGTTTCTTTTTCATACGAAAATATGGTTATATTTATATTTCTACATTTTCTATATTTCATATTATATATATAGAGATATATATACGTAGATATAACATTATAAAGGTATAAAGGGAATTATGTATTTATTTATATTGTATAAGTAAATATAACATCATAAAGGTATATTATGTATATACGTACATATATAATATTATACAGGTTTTATGTAAGTATTTAGATATAAAATTATGAACGTATTATGTATATATGTATTGGATCTTGTTTTTGTTTATGATAAACGTAGATATAATTTAACATTATAAAATATAAAGGTATATTATACACTAGCTAAAGGGCCCGGCGTTGCCCGTGGAAAAAATAAATTTGAAAAAATTTTGTAAAAAAACCCTTTCAAAAAATATATCCATTTATTTTTTATTTTTTAGCCTATAACAACCCCCAGCCATCCATGATCATGTCCACAAAAAATGTCAGCCTAATCGGTCAAGCCGTTTGGCCGGCTATAGACAACATATATATATATACGAATGTCTTGTTTTATTATATAGATAGAAATAACATTATAAAGGTATTATGTTCTATATGATATACGTAGATATAACTTAACAGTTTAAAGGTATAAAGGAAATTAAGTTAAATTAAAGTATGTATATATATATATATTATATGATATACGTAGATATAACTTAACAGTTTAAAGGTATAAAGGAAATTAAGTTAAATTAAAGTATGTATATATATATATATTATATGATATACGTAGATATAGCTTAAGATTATCAAGGTATAAAGGCCATTATGTATATATTTATATGATATACGTAAATAAATAATATGGTTGCCAAAACCTGTCCAAGTTGATAAATCATCTCTCTTATTCTCTTTTCTTATTTTTGCTAAACAGTCTCTTGTCCTACGCTCTCTATCTTTACTACCCCCCCCTCCCCCAATGAAACCATTAAAAAAAAAAACTATGAAAATTTTGATTTAAAAACTTACTATCAAAATTTAAACTGATTGTTGCATTTGACTCTCCTAGGTCGTTCCTAGCGGTCACCTTGTACTTTCCTGTATCTTCTACCTAAAATACGGATAGATGGATTAGTGGAGATACCGTGGGAATCGGAAAACTCTGTAAAAGGAAGACGACTTTAATTACATAAGATACATTGATTGGCTAGTGTGTCTGGACATCAAATACACTTTTACTAGGTCGTCTTTCTATTTCACAATTATATGGTTCTCATTGTACCTTTCAAAATTAACGAAATTTAGTTTTCTTAGGACAAATTTTATTTTAAAAAAAGTATCGGGCAACCTTTTTTTGAAAAATTTACAAAGTTTAGAAGTTTAAAAATGTTAAATGTAAAAAAGTTAATATTGACTCAATAATGGAAAATGTAATCAAAACTTTATCTAGTTCCAATCAAATTAAATCTGAATAATCTTAGAAAACTTATTTAAAAGAAAAATCAATTAGGTTGAAATTAGGCCTAAATGCTGAAATTAAATTCTGCGTTTAATTTAGTAATATGAAGCCGACTTTTTTATTTAAGTTTTGATTTCTAACAAGCTTTTTTCCAATTACAAGTTTACAAGTAAACAAAGAGAAGCTGTTTGAACGTCATCTTTTATGTATTAATATAAACGACAAGGACTGTACATAATACTTACTGTAACATCACGCATAATAAGAGAGCTGTCGAATGTATACTGGTTTTCTTGTTTCGTTACAACCTAAACAAAACATTACTTGAAAATATTTCAAAGTACGAAATTTGAAATTTTTTACAGTATGACTCAGTATAAGATATGGGCATTGGTCATGATTAACGAACCACTTTTTAGAGAGTAAATTAAATTTTCATGTATTGTGGGGTCGTTTAAAAAAAATGGAACAATAGAAAAGCGACTTGGATCGTTCAGAGAAATAACAATATCTTTTTTAAAACGGACGAACATGTTCCAAAAACGAACGATTTTAAATCGTTTGAACGAACTTAAAAAAAAAATTTTTCAGTACAAAAGAATTTTTTAATTCAGTTTTTAAACAATTTTTAAAAAATATGCTTGAAAAAACGATCGCTTTTTTACCGAAAACACAATTTTACTGAACAATCGTTTATCGAGAAAATTAACGAAATAAATATCAATTGAAAACAAACTAAATTTTTTTTTGAACGTTTGACGAAAAAACTAAAGAAATAGATCGTTCACGAATGATGAAGGAACGAAAAGCCGAACGCACCAATCTCTAATGAGAAAGTTTTTACATAAAATATGCTAACATATTTTAGAATTCTGATTATTTCTCTTCAATTTAAAACAATTTTTAAAAGTTTTCATTTTTTTATTTGATTAATTTAGTTAAATATGAACAGTTTTGGATTTAAATTCCAGACAGTTTTTCAATTTATTTTCCTTGAATAAATTAAATATTATTTAGATTAAATATATAAATCATATAATGTAATTTCGTTTTCCATAAGCTGTCAAACTTTTGAGAAAAAAACAGAGTTGACCATTTAACGTCGGTGTGAATTAAATGCAAAGAAACTGAAATATTATTTTATTTTTTTGAAGTTTAGAACTGAGACAGATGTTAAACTTTTTACTGTTTCTAATTGCAGAACAGATTTTTCAAAAATGATCATGAGTCAATAATAGAACATGAGGAATATAGGTAAAATTATTATACCCCCTCCACGTGTATTTCACTCTCCCTTTTAGTGGCATGCCCCCCCCCCTCTTCTTACTATAGGGCCCGGCCTATATATCTCAACATTGGCAAAATTCCAAGGAAGGAAGGACACTTGTTTCTCGTATACTTCAACTTTCTCAATTTTTATCAGAAACAGTGTGATACAGGGAATACAGGGGATACATGGAATACAGAGAATACAGGCTATACAGGATTACAGGGGATACAGGGGATACAGGGGA